AGAAGTTAAAGTCCAACAACATCTGGGGAGTCATGGGTTCCCCATTTCTGGATTAAGGGGGAATCTAAAGCTGGTTTGAGTTTCCTAAAGCAGTCAGGAGGAGTGAGGTGGATGGAATGGGAAGAGGAAAGCAGGGAATGACTTTGGTAAGGGGGCAGAAATTGTTGTGTAACGGGGTTCTGGGTGATCCTCCTTTAATATGCAGGCCGTTTAATAGAGAGCGTTTGTTGTTTTAATTAATCTCCATATCACTTCCCTAACCAGAAGTCTGTGCCAAACCCAAGCCGTTCTCATGTGGACCTCATGTACCTTAACGTACCTACTTAACAGCCAAGGTTCCTACAAATGAAAAATGGAAATAACAGAGGTTCTGTGAGAGTAAATAAAGAGTAAAACTGTAACACCTTAGGCCAAGAAAAACACTCTGTAAATGATACATTAATGAAAACCAGAGGGAATGGTTTGCCTCTTGTTGACAGCACATGAGATGTGTGGCGAATTTATGGGCCTCCAACCCGCACCAACCCAAGCCTGCATGGCCATAGTTTGGGACGGTAGGTCAGCAACACCTCACAGGAGGATCAGAAAAGTGATGAGAATCATAGAATTGTTGAGTTGCAAGGGACCCCAAGGATTTAGTCTGACCCCCGGAATGCAAAAATCTCAGCTAGATCATACATGACAGACGGCCATCCAACTTCTGCTTAAAAACCGCCAAGGAAGGAGAGTCCACCTCCTTCTGAGGGAGTCCGCTCCATTGTCTAACAACTCTTACCATCAGAAAGTTCTTCCTGATGTTTAGTTGGAATATCCTTTCTTGTAACTTGAAGCCATTGGTTTGAGTCCTAGTATCCAGAGCTGGAGAAAACAACCTTGCTCCATCTTCCATGTGACAGCCCTTTAGATCTTTGAAGATGGCTATCTCCTCTCCTCTCTGTCTTTTATCCAGACTAAACATACCCAACTCCCTCAACCATTCCCCATAAGGCTTTGCTGCCAAATCCTTGACCATCCTGGTTGCCCTCCTCCACACATGCTCCAGCTTGCCAATATCTAAATTATGGCACCCAGAACTGGACATTAATGCAGAATGGAGCAGGACTATGGCTTTCCTTCATCAGGACAAATACTTCTATTGATGCAGCCTAGAAGAGCATCAGCGTTTTTGCTGCTGCATCAAACTGTTGACCCGTGTTAGATTTGTCATCAGGCAATGGGACACAATCGCCCACCATATCTGAGGGGCACCAAGCTAGCCTAGTGAGCAGGCCTCATGTCCTCCAGCTCCTTGCCACTCCACCTTGTGCCTGCTTGCTCAAGCAGATGGTGCAGTTTGTAGCTAATGAGCAGAACAACACATGCAAGAAATGCCTGCAGGAAAGCAGGATCTGAGCTAGCTGCCTCTCAGCCTGCTGACTATGCCTTTCCCAACCTTCCTGCGGTACACATTGGAAGACGATGACAAGCAAGATAGGCAGCTAAGCAAATGTTGCCGCCTCAGCTCATGAGAATGGGAATAGCCAGGGGCACATGGGGGTGGGTGCTCAGTTGCTGCCGTTCCACGGATTCTGTCACCTGAGGCAGCTGCTTCATTCTGCCCAATGGTAGGGCTGACCCTGAACTCCTGTGACTCCAGAGCAGTGTTAGAAACTGAGGTATGAAAGCTAGGAGCTAAATGGGACCTTAAACTTAGGTTATGGGCGCCACAACAGAATGCCTAGGCACGCTTTTTTATAACAAAAATGCAAAGCTGAAAATGAATGAACTGCAGCTAAAGTCTTATATTAATTTTTTACATGGTCTAGTCCTCATCTGAAGACTGCAAAAAACAGAGCCATACTTCCCCTGCCCACCTCCCTAATATTCTTATGAGGGTCCCTTCTCCCATCCTCAGAGAGTGGCTGGAAGTGGGGAGGCAGAAAAAGGTCCTCCTTTCGCTCCAGCAATGGCAATTTTAATCTGAAATCTTAGGCACTGCTCCCAGAGCTCAGAAACATCAATGAAATTCCCTGTCGCCTAGAACGTGCCTAGAACAATGGGAGTTTCGAACGCTGCTCCAGAGGGAAGGCTATTTCAGGCTCAACAAACTGTTTATTAAAGCCGAGACACAGTGAACACAGCAGCTCCCACCCAGAGCACAGTGGACGTGCTGATGTCCCCGTAGAATTTAGGTTACCCATCGCTAACTTGCTCGCTTTTCAGTCAGACAAGCGCGGCTACTTTTTGCTGGAACAGGGCCAACAGGTCTACAGTGACAGTTGCAGAAGCAACCATAACATTATTTATGTGCCAGCTCTCCACACCTGTGCCAGAGTTAGGGAACAGATAAATACAGCAAAGGGAGGAGTGTGCTCTTGGATTGCATCCAGTGCAATGATGCACAGGTAGCTGGAATGTTTGGCCAATCTAAACACACTAACTGTTCACCTAAGGCAGGGGGCCTTTTCCCTTCCACAATGATAGATATATGGTTCTCTCCTCGAAATGTGTGTATGGGGAAGAAAGAGAAGAAAATAGTAATTATATTGTTTTCTCTAATGGCTGCATCTAGGTAGGCTTGTTGGGGTTTTTTGCTGCGCAACCCAAAGTTGCACAGCTCAAACCACATCGATTTAATGAGAAAGTTCAGCACACGGTTCACTCTCTCCTGTGGAAATCAATAGGACTTTTAAAAAGTGCCCCACGTTGCTTGGATTGTGTTCTAAAGCAATTAGAGAATGAGAGAGAGAGAGAGAGAGAGATCCTTTCCCAGTCCCCATCCCCATACAGTAACTTGTCTCAGCTAGTCTACTTGCTGGAAGGAATATTCAAAGCGAGTTCACTGCTTGCTGGTTAAGAGTTATAATCACTGCTTCAACTATGTCGAATTTAAATGTAAGATACGGGTATGTGATTAAAAAAAAAAGAAAGATTTTTTTTAGCACATATGCAGCCACAGTTGCCTTGAGATTTAGGGAAAGCTCTTAATTTGACACGGGCTTTTGAAACGAATTTCTAGAAAGGTAGTTAATGTTTTCTGTGAAGACCACACCGCCGTAGCCACACCTCAAAACTTCAGAGATATTTAATTTGTTCAATCCCTGCAGCATATACCATGTTGTAGCAGCAGCAGCAGCAGCATTAATACTGCCCCCCCACCTCCCCGCTCTCCTACTTCAGAGCAGGATTTTTAACTCTTTCCTCTCCCAATACGAGAGAGAGAGAGAGAGAGAGAGAGAGAGAAGATTAATGAACCTTATCAATTTTCTGTTGTGCCTTAGGTGAGATTCTTAGATGCCAACTTTTTAAATTTTAATATGGGAGACTTAAGGATTTCCCAGAATGTTTTACATATGTAACAACAAAGCCCCCTCCAAAAAAAACACAACAGTCTTGAAAAGGACAAAAAGGAACACATAAGAATAAGGCCACCAACTAGACATGGAAACCTAATATTAAGATGCTACGGCTGCACTCATTTTCCTGGAAGTAAGCACCTTGAACCCAGTGGAACATGCTCTTCGGGGCAGACAGCGCTGTATAAGCCAAGCACGATTACAAAAACTGGCTTTTCGAGATGAACATTTTGTCTTTCTGGAAATCAAAATTTTATACACTGGGAACAGGGAATCTTGGGCAAGACCTCCAAAAGCAAAATACATAGAAAGTCATCTTTATTTCTAGTAGAAAAGGGGCAGGGGGGTAGGGCGGGAGGCAGAATGAAATATCAGCCTGTGCGTTCTTCTTCTTCTTCTTCTTCTTCAATAGTGAGCAATTAACAATATTTTAACATAATTTTATGCTCACTTTTTAATGGAGAACCCAGACTACATTGTTGCCAGCGTGTTGTTTTCTGTCACCTGTCATTTTTCAGATCTGATCTCCCCCTTTAAAAACAATTAAAATGCCATGGACAGGCAGCAAACAAGTAACTACCGAGACTGTTCAGGGCTACTGTGCCTTTAATTAGAAGCTTCCTTCTCTAGAAAGAGCAGCTTCCTCTGCCTCTTATTGCTTCCTGTTCAGCATAGCCTTGGGTTCAATGAACCCTGTAATGGGTTAGATCCTGTTTCCCGTAGGAATGTAGGATGGCTTTAATTACTGGTCTCATCTAATTTTTAGTTTATGCTGACATAGCACTAATTTGTAATAAAAAAGGGGGGAAGGGAAGGGAAAATGATAACAGTAGTGAAATCATTTCCAGGGAACAGGAATGCACTACTTACAGGATCATTTCATCAGTAATGCTGGGCTTGCTTGCCTATTCAACAGTGTTGTTCAGCTTCACACAGCCTTAGAAACCATTTAATTAATATGTATTTGCTGGTAGAGAGCCACAGAAAATTAGGCAACCATCCTCTGTACTGATAATGATTCATATGCACAGACAGAATTAATTAGCAGCAGTATCACTTCATCCATTTCCTTCTCCTTGCAAACAACATTTTTACAAATTGATATAGGCTTGATTAATTCATGCCTCCAGAAACCGTTATTTTAAACCAAATTTAATGCACTAAATTCTTCCACACGCATACTCCCACCCACAAAATGAGAGACTTTCAAAATAAGTTTAATGAAGAGCATTTCTCCATCTGATCTGATGCCTGTCTAGCTGGTATAAACACCAACATTTTGTTGATTCCCCTTCATTTTTTCTTCTCGCTCATCAGGTAATCAGTGATTGGTTAAGAACTCTACTGAACTAAACCTGTTGAACAACCCACTTTTAGAACAGAGGAGGAACAGAGTTTATCAGGGCCTAAGAAGGACCTACTCAGAAGTAAGTCCTATTGAGTTCAGTGGGACTTATTCCTAGGTAATTGTGTTTAGGATTGAAGCATTAGGTCAGCATACTTGGGACTAAGTTATATTGAAATCAGCAGAACTTACTTCTAAAGTTGAAGCTGCAATCCTAACTACAGCTACTGGAGGGTGGAACTTACTTCAGACTAAACATGAATAGGGATTGCACCGTTAAACGTTTTTCTTGCAATTAACAACTGATCTTTCTTTTTCAGGTAATTTATCAGGATAATATGCTGCACATGGGAGAATGTAAATGGAGTCAAATGTTTCCTTTTATCATGGTAGGTATTTCAAGGACATATGTTTCAGAAAAGTCGCTACAGTTATAAACCCTAGAAAATTAACAACAAGCATAATTTTAATTTTGTTAACCTGAGCAAACATTATTTAATATCTGCACAGTTGCTTCAGATGAAGTCCTTATCGACATCATCAGGATTTCTGCCCAAGAAAATATTTTGAAATATAATATGAAATCCAACCACTTTCTTAAAACTGTTGCATCTCAAGGATATCAGCAACAAGAATACCTTGTATTAGGAAAAACTGCAAACATGCAACCATTAGTCAAAATTGCACACAGAGATGAAGATCATTAAGCGGAAAGCACACAAAAATGCACAATTTTATGCAGTGTGCTGTTTTTAAAAAAAAAAATTGCAAAGTGATGTGGAAATTGGAGAAATGAAGACTGGAAAAATGAGAAACCAAAACGGACAGAGTTGTCCATCGCTAGAGAGTGACAAGGCATCGCAATAGCAGAGAGATTAAAAGTCAGAGTGGTTCACCCTCTGATAGTATTGTTTTTAGGCAAATGTGATGCATTGACAACTAGGAAACTGGGCAATGGAATTAACCAGTATTTATCCTTTGGTGACAGGCGTCACTTGTTTATTCTGCTAATGCCGAATATTCCAACTGTGGCGAAAATGAGTACTACAACCAGACTACCGGAATGTGCCACGATTGTCCGCAATGTGAGCCAGGAGAAGAACCTTATATGGTGAGTTCTTCGCATACTTGCAATCTTATCCTAGAGGTGGCCATAGGAACATCTGCACTGCACTGTGTTATCCATAGTGGTCCTTACACACTTCTGGAAGTCCAGTGTTGTTGTTTTTAATAACTGCTCAGCCTTCCTCCCTTTTCAATACTACCGAAAGGAGATCGGTACTGCTGAATATAGTCGCAGTCCAACACACCACACGCTCCTGCAAATGCTGTTATTTCTCATGCTCCATGCTCATTATTCTAAATTCCCCCCGCTGTCAGGAAAATGGTCACCACATGGCTGTTGCGAAGGAAACAGCCACCATGCTTCCAGGAGGAATGTTAAAGCAGTCTGGCACAGGCCAGCAGGGCAGAAACAATCTCTCTCCAAGGCACTTTCAGATAATTACACTGAATCAAGAAATTTTATTTGGCCTGTGTTCTGTTGTCCTTGTCGACGTTTGCTTTTTAATGGGGACCATATTTCGAACGGAGAAGGGCTACACAGCACTGGCTCTGCCCTCTCCTGCCCCAGCTGAGGGGCTCTTTAAGGCCCTCCCTATAGAAGAAGAAGAGTTTGGATTTGATATCCCACTTTATCACTACCCGAAGGAGTCTCAAAGCAGCTAACATTCTCCTTTCCCTTCCTCCCCCACAACAAACACTCTGTGAGGTGAGTGGGGCTGAGAGACTTCAAAGAAGTGTGACTGGCCCAAGGTCACCCAGCAGCTGCATGTGGAGGAGCGGGGAAGCAAACCCGGTTCCCCAGATTACGAGTCTACCGCTCTTTACCACTACACCACACTGGCTCTCACCAGCCACAGAGGTCCTGCCAGAGTCCCGTGCTTTATGTATCTCATCCTCCCCACCTCCTTTGATCAGGGTCTTGGCTCGTGAATGAGAGGAAGCAGTAGAGAGAGCCATAGCCCCTAAGGACTTTGGCAGAGACTCTCTGTGGCTAGTGCAACACAGAGAAAGAGAAGGCTTAAGGCACCCTTGAGTGAAAGTCGCTGGGGTGTTGTGTCATGTTCATTTCTATGACACCTATGGGGAAAAGGAAAGGAAAAGGAAAGGACTCGCCCCCAAAAGGCAGCTCACAACAGCTAAACTACAAATTTCAAACAAGAAAATAAAATAGAGAAAACACCAAGAGGCAATAAACATATTTTTCAATTTAATTGTTGTTCGTTTTGCAAATCTACAAAAAACTCGCATGCAAACGTTGCAAAACTGAACAACGTTATTTAGAAAATAAAAGAAAACCAATGAGGTCTAGAACATCATGGTTAAAAGCAATCAGCTCTGCTGTTGTTAAATCATGGGTGGCGGTGGGGAGAAGCAAGAATAGAGACGCTTCCCCAGGGAGGGAGTTCCACTGCCTGGCACTATGTCAGAGAAAGACCTAGATCCCCACCAGACAGCCTGGCTTCAGACTGTGATGGGACACCTATAAAGACTCCATGGAAGGGCCTGGGAGGGGGGTCATCGCAAGAGAATCAGGGGCTATGCTTGAGGATGGCTGGGAAAACGTTGAGACTGGTCTTCCAGTTGCTTGCCCATGCTCTGCCCCATCACCCTCAGTCTACTCAGTCAGCCCCACATGCCTGCTTTCTTTCTTCTAAGCAGCCCAGAAGATGGCCCTGGTTGTCAGCCTCCTCCTCTTTACTCTCAACATTGCCTTTGTCGAACTTGTCGAGAAAGAGGGGCTAAACTAGAATGAGTTGGGATGTTGTTAGTCCTGCCCGTCCTTGGCTCTGGCTCCACTCATCTTTGGCCTATCTGCCTTCTGACTTACCAAATGGGCACCGGGCACCACTGCTGTGTCAAAGCTTACTCAAAGCAGCTTCACACACTGCTGCAAAGAACATCTCGATGTGGCTGCAAAAATCCTTTTATTCACAACTGAGTTAGGACAACAACAGAGCAGAAAGGTCTCTGGGCTTTCCTCCTCCGTTAATATACAGTGTTATTAGGGAGTCAAGAGGACCACCAACTTTGGCCTCAGACACTGTAGGAAACAGTGTTACTGGGCTGTTAATGTTCTCTTTTATTTTCTTGAAAGTTGGTTTGAAAAGTGGCTCTTTCAATTCAGAGACTCTGTTAACTCCCCCCACAGACGTGTGGCTACGGCACCAGAGACGATGGTTACGGCTGTGTTCCTTGTCCATTGGAGAAGTTTTCTAAAGGCGGGTACCAGATATGTAGGAGGCACAAGGACTGCGAGGGATTCTTTCGGGCAACAGTTATGACACCTGGAGATCAAGAGAATGATGCAGAATGTGGGCCTTGCCTCCCTGGGTAAGGATTTAATTACGAGCCTTTGGTCTCTTAACAAAAACTCCAGTTATGCTGAGCGACATAAGCATATTTGTTGCATTCCTGCTGCTGGCCACACTACTTTCTGCATCCATTTAAGCGCACAATAATTAACTCTATGTAAATAATGCAAGCACTTTAAAAAGCATGTTTTAAATCAAGGAAAGTCACAGATGCTATTAGAGCAAATGAAATATAAAACAAGTGCCTTGTAATAAGAACTAGGAGGAAGAATATTTTTTTTTTTTGATGTTAAAAGGGGAGGAAGCTTGCCCATATAAGGATGTCAATGTAACTGTGAACTTTAGACCACCAAATTATTGGAATTTTAAGAACAAACAAAATGAAACCAGTGTTTCTTGGTTACCCTAAAGGGGACTGAAGTATCGCTCTGATAAAATGAAAAATCAATATGGTCAGAATATGATCCTTCATCATTTTATATGGAAAAGTTGATTACATCACTAGATCTTTATAGTGACATTAAATAACACACCAGATCAGTTAAATTTATTTTTCTTTCCCCAGTAAAAGCAAATCACTACTTTTTATTAATAAAGTATTAGGTTCAACGAAGCCATATTGATTTTAAAGTCACTTTTTATTATTTTTATGCTTAAAGCACTTTAACATTTATGGCTCCCCCCAATATATATATATATATATATATATATATATATATATATATATATATATATATTGTGGGGACTATAGTTTAAGGGTGCTGGGAGTTGTTAGCCAGTATAACCAATGGTCAGGGGTGTTGAGTCTTGAAATCCAACAACATCTGGAGGGCCACAGGTTTCCCACTCTTAACATGATGCATAGGGTTCCTGACCACATGTCTGGCTGAATGTGCTCAGAGTCCATTCTCACCTTCAGCTGAAGGCATGGAGGCTGAGAGCTGGTATCACATGTTCAGATGTGTTGTCTTTTCAAAGTGACAGCAGGGTCACATGGAACATAGGGAGATGCCTTCTACGAAGCCAGAGCACTGGTTCATCTATCCCAGCACTGTCTCTATAGACTTTCAGTGGCTCTCCAAGGTTTCAGGAAAGAGTCTTTTTTAATCCTTGCTGGAGCTGCCAGCAGCGATTGAACCCGGGCGCCTTCTGCATGTGGCTACATGACCAAACATCCCAAAACGCAAATTAAAAACATGTGATCCTGCTTTTTTTAAGTCAAAGAATTACTAATTACAATTTGGATGTGTTGCCATTTGCAAATGTACAAGAGGTTCGGGTCTAGTGCTTCCTCACATCTAAAGCAGGGTTCCCCAAACGAGGGTCTCCAGCTGTTTTTGGACTACAATTCCCATCATCCCCGTCCACTGATCCTGCTAGCTAGGGATGGTGGGAGTTGTAGTCCAAAAGAACAGCTGGAGACCTGAGTTTGGGAAACTTCTGATCAAGGTGGAATCTACACATGTTCTGAAAATAAGCATCGAATTTTCTATAAGGCTCACTGCCGCCATCTAGTGCCACACTGTATATTGCACTTACAACACACTTAAAACGTTTTATTTGCAGCTGTATAGCTGAGTCTTCAGAGCCTTGTAGAGGTTTCTGCTCATGGTTTACGCAAGCGCATTCCTATATGTCAGAAAGCACACAGGCCACGACAAAGAGCTTCACGTTCTCGCCCGGCTTGTCTTCTAAACCTGATGTTGATTAGTAGGTTTTGCAGAAGTTGCTCTCTCTCTCAGTCCCCATCTCCCTGCCCAGGAGGATTAGCCTGGAGCTGAATACTCAGCATGCCAGCAACATCAAGGCAGCTGGTGCTTGTCTGGAACATCACTTCTTGGGGCGGGGGGGGGGGAATTATCCTTGCACAGAGGGTCTCATTTCAGAGACATGTCTTGAGCTGCATTGCAAACGCAGTGGACAAACGTCTGTTGATTTAGGCAGTGATACCACCTCATGTCATGTACTCGAATGCTTGATTTAATTGCCTTTACGAGGGCAGCGGAGGAGAGACTGTTTCTAGTCAAGCAGGATAAAAAGTGGATAATGCCATTAAACGAGCAACACAAAAATTTAAAGTTAGTGATTTCATCTTGCAAAGAAAGTGATTTACTTCTCAAGCATATTTGAAGGCTACCAACCCAGTTCTGCTGTGTGGTGTGCGTGTTTTTTCCTGCCTTGTCCTTTCATTGCCTTGTCCTTTCATTGCAGTTACTACATGCTAGAAAACAGGCCGCGGAATATCTATGGGATGGTTTGCTACTCCTGCTCCCTGGCACCTCCCAACACAAAAGAGTGTAAGTATTGCCACTCTGATTTCTATTTAGTTGTATTCTGACTTAAGAGACCTCAAAACGCTGCCGGAAGTTTTCCTGAGCAATATGCCAGTTGACAAATTGAGCCTGCCTTAAAATGGAGCACACTTCAGCAGCACAGAATGGAGGAGGGCACATGAGTCAGAATAACTTAGGGACACCTTCCTGAATCTGGTTCCCTCCAGATGTTTCCAGACTACAACTCCTATAAACCTTGATCATTGGCCATGTTGGCTGCGACTGATGGGAGTTGGAGTACAGCAACATCTGGCAGGTCCCATGGGGAAAGACTGACCTAGAGTTTTCGCATGGTGGTTTTTCATTTTGCTACTATAAAAACCAATAGCTGCAGTGCAGAAGACGCCAGTAGCAAGACAAGCAGATGCACAAAACCAAGGGCGGCATTCAACTAGCAGTTTCCCATCAGCACAAGGATTTCCGCCTTCTTCCCTCCCTTCTCCTGATGCAAACCTTCCCAAAACCTGCTCCAGATTTAGGAGGGCATGGCGGGAAGTAAATTCCCAAGGTGTAAGCAGAAATCCTAGTGCTTTACTAAGCACCACTTTTGATACAACCTCAAACACCAGCTTGACACCAGCTTCCATGGAGCCTTGTATAAGCAAGACCACATCCACAGAGCTGTCCATCCTTCTTCCACCTTCTTCACAAAACACGCTTCCCAAGGCTTAATATTGGCAATCCGTATAGCTTTTTCAATTTATTGTATCCCACTGTTCCTCCAAGGAGCTCAAGATGGTGAACGTGGTTCTTCCATGCCCCGTTTTATCCTAACCACAACCCTGTGAGGTAGACTAGGTTGAGAGGCAGTCACTGGCCCAAGGTCACCCAGTGAGCTTTACGGCTGAGCAAGGATTTGAATGCTGGTCCTCATCCAGCACTTTAGCCACTATTCACACTGGCAATCCTTAAGGAAGAGAAACTTCCTTAATGGATCCAAACCATTCTACATATTTCAGTTTGTCGCTTTCCCAACATGAAAGGCCGACACAGGGTTATCTTCTAGCGTGGCAGCGAAAATGCACAAAGCATTTTAAAGCCTTTTAAAAGAATAATCCTATTTACTTTTTGGCATGTGGATCTAAAGGAAGGGACTGTGGTAAATAGAACATGATACACTGGGAAAAAAAACTTTTTAAAGGCCAAATTATGATTTCCCAAATAGCAAAGGAGTTTAATGGAAAGGCCGACAGACCTTCCGCTGTCACACTGCTTGTAGGTTTCTTCACAACATTCCTGTTGTATTACGTACAGGTGGTTAAAAGCACACAACCCACATTTGTGTCCTTGAATTTCAGTCATCAGCATTTTGATGCCAAAATGCAGGAATTTCCATGTGTGGCGATTTGTCCTTGAGTTCCCCTGCACAAATCTTTTTAGAAATGTGTGAGTCATGGCTGCCCAACCTAGCTAAGTGGTCTGGGATGTAAATGATACTTGAACGTTCATAGTTGAGAATGGTGAGAAAGGGAGCTTACACTTGGGTTTGTTTCTTGTTATTTACTCCTCTGAAAGCCGGCATGTTGTAGAAGGAGTTTGTTTTAAAAGGTTCTCTGTTTTATTTAGGGCCAGAATAAAAGGGGTGGGGTGGGGGAAAGCTTCATTAGAAAATGCGATCATGCAGCTTGAAAGGCTTGTTTCACATGGATGTTCTGTTGGCTTTTTTTTTAAAAAAAATCAGAACTAAGGTTTTCAGTTACAATAAAAATTTAAATTCTTAACAATACCTAAACCACAATCCAGAAAGTCACACCAATCACGCTATGCCATGCCTGCCCACCCCAGCAAAGTTTAGGATTTGGGCAGAAAGAACTGTAAACTTTGATTTACAATCTTTAATTCAGTTCTCCGCATTTCTGCAGCAATTTGTGAATTTCTTTTTTCAAAATCTTCATGAAAATTCCTCAGCACTTCAGTGAATGTTCATTGTTACATAACAATACCTGCAAATAATCCAGAATTAAAGCTCTGTAAAGACTGTAAACACCTCTCCAGACTGGCAGGTCTTTGTGGGTATATTCTGCAACATGCCAAATAGCATCCTGAAATCCTCCCTTGAGTACACAGTGGTACCTCGGGTTACGAACTTAATTCGTTCTGGAGGTCAATTCTTAACCTGAGGTACCACTTTAGCTAATGGGGCCTCCCTGCTGCCGCCCCCGCTCGATTTCTGTTCTCATCCTGAGGTAAAGTTCTTAACCCGAGGTACTACTTCCGGGTTAGCGGAGTCTGTAACCCGAAGTGTTTGTAACCCGAGGTACCACTTTAAATCCTAACTGATGAAAGGCAGACAAAATGGGAAGAAAGCACACAAGAGCTTTCCTAACCAAGCCTCCAGTTCATTTGACCGTCTTAATTCACCATCTTCAAATGTCCAGAACTATCAGGCTTATGTCCACCTACTTTAAAGTCAGGAGATATATACTGCATGCCTTACTATTTCAACACTTAAAAATAACTATTTTGGTTTCAAATGAAAATGTCTCTTACAAAAGGCACATACGACATTTAAGAACTAGCCATGCTTGTAAGGTACTTTGCTCTGTTATAGGAAAAACTCATTTGAGATCGCTGAGCTATATGCTTTTTTTGGCCACGTTTCTAGCTCGTATTTTTCTTTGCCATTAGAGCATTTTATATTGTGTAATAGTTCTTCATTTATTTTGAAAAACGCATCTTTATTTAGAGCATGCACATTTCTTTACTTCATAAGCTGCGAGACGTTTTTCACGCGCTACAAGAGAACTTAATTTCCTGTCACATTTGTCTGATGGAGCTGGGCCAAGAAAATTCTCAACTTCCTAGAACTGCAGAACAACATCAGTCATTTTTTCATTGGGGCATGAATTTAGCCAAATAAATTCTCCCATCTCGTATGCCCAATGTTGTCTTTGCTAGAGATTCAGGGCCTTAAATGCTGATAATAAAAACCAGTGCCTTTTAAACAATCTTAAAAGCAGGCTGAAAATATATAATAAGTCTAAGGCTGCAAACCTGAAAGTCCAGTTGAAACCATTCATTTCAACGGGAGCTGCTTCTACAAAAACAAAGGGGGGGGACACCAAGTTTAGGACTGCACTGCTGTGCCTCTTGCGATGGTGTTCAGCTGGCACATCCCTACGTTCAGAAACAAACGTGTGCCAAATGCGTTTTTCACAGCTCGGCACCATAAATCCACATTTAGGTGTTTGACATTTGAATTGTAAGCACTGGCTTTTAAATGGACAGGAAATTCATGCAAGTTAAGTAACTGTGCTGTCAGTTCACAAATGCATCAATTCATGGCCGAGATTTTACAAGCGTCACCAGGAAAATTTATGGCAAATTTGTTTTTTTTATTATGATAGGTGCAGGCGTTACCTCTGGTGTGTCAGCCAGTTTCCCAATTACTTCTGGAACAAGTACCCATTCTCCTTTCCAGCATGTGCACAAAGGTAAGAAAAGCAGCCCAGTTCCCCTTTTAGCATTTTCTTGAGTTGGCTTTTGGTATGTACTCCTGGGAGGCTGGAAGACTGAGCAGCCGGGGGAGCAAGGTGCCTTCTTCCCTACAGAGATGTGTGGTTGATGTGCCGTCTCAGAAATCTGAGCTGTTTCTATTTAAACTTTTTTTTTACTCAGCCTATGGGTCTGTCAGGCTTAAAGTATGTGTTTTAATTTCATTTCACGGTTTTCTCATAGATGAAGTATCATTAAAAATATTTCTTCAGCAATCAACATGCTTCAGCAGAGATGAGTTTTACAATTAACTTTGCAAATGAGGTGTATTTATTTAGATGAAAAGTTAATTTAGCTCAGGGGTAGGCAAACTAAGGCCCGGGGGCCGGATCCGGCCCAATTGCCTTCTCAATCCGGCCCGCGGACGGTCCGGGAATCAGCGTGTTTTTACATGAGTAGAATGTGTCCTTTTATTTAAAATGCATCTCTGGGTTATTTGTGGGGCATAGGAATTCATTCATCCCCCCCCCAAAAAAATATAGTCTGGCCCCCCACAAGGTCTGAGGGACAGTGGACTGGCCCCCTGCTGAAAAAGTTTGCTGAGCCCTGATTTAGCTCCTTTATCTCATCAAATGAGGTTTATTTGGATTGTGGGGATTTAGTTCATTTCAGTCATGTGACGATGTGCGCAATTTCTTTTGGTGCTAATACAGTCAGATGTGTCATTATGGGGCACAAAGTCAAGGAAATCAGGTCACCAGAAAATTGGTTGGGGGGGGAGTCATCTACTGATCTCGATCCAAAGACTTGGTAATGTGTGTAAGGAATTCACAGTGATCATAACTTTGTTCGCTGCAAAGCAAGAGGCACTTTAGCCAACTTTAAACACAATTGCTAAGCAGGGCCAATTACTCTAGAATTGGGAACACATCCATTCAGCAAATCCAGCTCCACAAACAGAACGATTTAAGACACTAATGAATATTGGCAACTGACTGCAGTGTTTCACCTTAGCCCAGAAACTTGTATCAAGAGCGTTATTTCAAACAAGCAAGTAAACTGCAGAAAAACAAAACAAAACCAGATGATTTCGCTTCTAAATAAATGGGTTATTCACAAAAGCTAAAGAAGTACTTTGTTTCTTCATTTCAAAGTAACCGGGGAAGAGAATTTTGCAGCAAATCTGTTTCTATTGAAGGTGCGAGCCTTACCTTTTCTGGAGTGTTCTAACTGGAATACTTAGATGGCTGCAAATGGACTTTACTTGCAATTACTCATAAATGGTGGCTTGTTTTGTTTTTAAAAAAACCCAACACACCACACACTACCACTATGAAAAGGCCTGCATTGGCACATATGAAAAGTGAATTGCTTGTTTGAAAATTTTCATATTCAGTAATTAAGGTAACATTTTGATACACTCACAAACAATTTAGGGAAGGGGAATCTAGTAGTGCAAGCTTGCAAACAGTTAAATGACCATTTCCTGAACAGGCAATTTCACCTGCATGAGTGTGATCTGAGAAAGGTGCTCTGTACCGGGGGGGGGGGGCAGGAATAGAGGCAGTTTCAGTTTGAGTTTGAGGGCAAGGCAACCTATTTATGGAGCATTTATCCTTATTTCCTTGCACAAAGCTGAAATGGCAGTTAGATGATATTCAGACTTTATCGAGCATTCGTTCTAATTTGTTTACAGGGAGGTTATATGACAATGACCATTCCTCTTGGTTTTGTTCCAGGGCGTTTGCACATTATCATATTAATCATTCCATTAACCCCACACTTTTCACCATCACTTTCTTAACTGCGAAAGATCCGTTGTTGTTTACATGGATATGTTGTGCTAGGGCAACAGAAAGCTTAAATCCATTTTAACTGTGCAAACCCACATTTGCCAGATGGACTTGAATCCATCCTGCAAAATACTGGCCACTTGGAAGCACAGACACATTCGATACTGACTCTGAATTACAAAGACTACATCTGGCATTCTACTGCAAGTAAAAAACTGCAAGCCAAGTAAATGAAAATACAAGATTAGTGTTCTTCCGAGTCCAGTGGAGTTTATTTGCACGTAAATGTGCCTGACATCGTAGCCTTACAGTATAGTCCTGTGCACGCCCTACTCAAAAGTGAGTTCCATGGAGTTCAATGAGGCTTACTGCCAGCTTAAGTAGATACGGGACCTCAGCCCTTAATAATGGTAAAAGTGCCCCCCCCCCGATTATCGAGGTGGCAGGTATGAAAAGTAAAGGAAGTGTGCTTCCTGTATCAGAAATATTTTAGAAATATTTGTGTTATCCTATACAAATGTATTTCATAATTGGTGACTAGAGACAAACTCATATGGTTAATACTTTTAAATGCCTTTAATGGGGTTGCAGCTACAGCTCTAATATTCTGTCTCTGTGTTTTCAGGAGACCTTTCCAGTCAAGGACACCTCGCAACTGCTCTTATCATTGCCATGTCAACTATTTTCATAATGGCAATCGCTATTGTCCTGATCATCATGTTTTACATTGTGAAAACGAAAACTTCGGCTCAAGGTAACTGCCCATCACTAAAGAGAATTCTGACTTCTGAGATTCTGTGCATAGGCATCTGCCAAGAATGGGTTTTAACAAGAGGCGTGATTTTAAATTCCAGCTTGCTGCACCAGCCATTCCGTGAAGACCGTAGAAGCCCAGGCCAATATGCAGGGAGAAAAAAAAGAAGTACAAGGTTTGAACAGTTTTTTAATTTCTGCTTTTTACACACATCAGATCCCACACGGCTTAATTTGCCCTGAGGCGATGCCCCGTGTTAATTTAAACTTTAAACTGCTCAGACTCAAATTCCATTTAGTAGAAGAATAATTGGGAAGGCCTATATGTAACCTTGAAAACATCCCTCTGCCTGCAATCACTTCCCTGACTAATTTAAGACTCAGCACCACAATTCGGTGATTTGTTCCGAAACACCCATACGCAGGTGCCAGCGAGGGAATTTCATTCACAACTGTGATCTGTTGACCGTTTCAAACCCTTTCCCTCCTCTTTTTTTTAATTTGCAGAAAATGTGGTGATTTTCTCAGAGAAAGATGAGTTTGGAAAATTAACTGCAACTCCAGCAAAGGTTGTCAAGAGGTATGTGACAGAAAAACAAGCATGCCGATAGCAGGGAAGAAGCATGATTATAGTTGACAGGACATGACACTGAACTTCATACCCTCAAAAATTTCGCCAATGCAAATAGGGACGTCCTAAGGAAAAGCGGAAGGGACGCAGGTGGCGCTGTGGGTTAAACCACAGAACCTAGGGCTTGCCGAACAGAAGGTCGGCGGTTCGAATCCCCGCAATGGGGTGAGCTCCCGTTGCTCGGTCCCTGCTCCTGCCAACCTAGCAGTTCAAAAGCACATCAAAGTGCAAGTAGTTAAATAGGTACTGCTCCGGTGGGAAGGTAAACAGCGTTTCCGTGCACTGCTCTGGTTCGCCAGAAGCGGCTCAGTCATGCTGGCCACATGACCGGAAGCTGTACGCCGGCTTCCTCGGCCAATAAAGCGAGATGAGTGTGCAACCCCAGAGCTGATCATGACTGGACCTAATGGTCAGGGGTCCCTTTACCTTTAAGGAAAAGCGGGACATTCCAGGGTCAAATCAGAAACTGGGGTGACTTCTGTAAATCTGGGACTGTCACTTGGAGGGTCTTGCCTGGTTTAGCAAAGGAGTAAAAGCTCAGTGGAAATCAACAGGCAGGTCACCCTGAAGCAGGGAGCTCTCTGGCCTGAGTGCACCAGAGTTTTCCACACTCTGGAACCACCTGGAATAGACAGCTGGTTTGGGGCATGTGACTATAAAAGCCTCTGGAATTAGAAAAAGCATAGAGTAGGCAAACTGAAAGATCCTATTGGTCTTTCATTTCCAGATTAGGATGCAATGGAGGGTATGAAAGAGCCCCCCCCCCACAAGAAGCCCTGTTGCCTCATGAAATCGCATTGCAACACTTTGCAAGAACTAGGCTGAGCCTATTCAGTAAAGACCATGCATATATATTTAAAAGATGCTGGACTCACTTCTGTTATCGTTTAGAAAAGCAACCCTTCTGTTTTTCCTCCCCCCCCCTCCAGTGAAAATGATGCTTCTTCAGAGAATGAGAGGCTTTTAAGTCGTAGTATGGACAGCGACGAAGAAGCTGCGATTGACAAGCAAGGGACGCCGGAACTGTGCTTGTTGTCTCTCGTCCATTTGGCCAGAGATAAATCTTCCACAAACAACAAATCCACTGGCGTAAGTCTCACCTGGAGTTTTAAAAAGGGCATTGGGTCAAGTGCTACTTTCCCCCGTCTGCTTGAGCAGCTAGCTAGCTGCTTTTCCATCAGGCATTGTTGGAAAGAAGAATACATAAAATATCATTAACTGTGCAGCTTAAGTTCTGTGGCATGGCCTCAGCGAGAGCCTCCATTAGATGGTGGAGAAAGACTGTATCCAGTTTTGAATCTTACAGAGTTATTGGGATTGAAAATGAAATAGCAAACTTCAGTTCTGACTGAGCTCACATATTTCATTCATATTTTAGGTAGCTATTGAAAGGCAACCCCTGCATCTGTCTAGTCTGTCTAGCTCAGTCATCTCTACATGGATTGGTTGTCCAGGATTTCAGACATGGTTCTCTCCCGACCCTACCTGGAGATGCCAGGTATTTGAACCTGAGATCTTCTGCATAAAAAGCAGGTGTTCTGCCAGTGAACTACAGTCCCTTCCACATTGTCTCCATGTCCTGGAATGGTGCAAGCATAGGCAAACTCCAGGTGTTTGGGACTACAATTCCCATCATCCCTAGCTAACAGGACCAATGGCCAGGGATGATGGGAATTGTAGTCCCAAACATCTGGAGGGCCGGAGTTTGCCTATGCCTGGGTTACAGCCACTTGGCTCAGGTAAAAGGGTAGCACTAAGATAAAGATAAAGGGACCCCTGACCATTAGGTCCAGTCGTGGCCGACTCTGGGGTTGCAGCACTCATCTCGCTTTATTGGCCGAGGGAGCCGGCATACAGCTTCCGGGTCATGTGACCAGCATGGCTAAGCCATTTCTGGTGAACCAGAGCAGCGCATGGAAACGCCGTTTACCTTCCCGCCGGAGCTGTACCTATTTATCTACTTGCACTTTGATGTGCTTTCGAACTGCTAGGTTGGCACTAAGGACCCTGCTAATCCCTCTCATATCTATGAGATGTTGCAATCTGTAAGGGCTGTTGTGGGACCTTTATGAGAGAAACTGCAGCTGGCTGTGTTGCCGATACAGCAGTACTGTCTAAACAAGTTTGCCAAAAAGCATTTACGAAACCAGTTTTTGCTCCCAGTTCTCCTAACAAGTTTCATGGCAAAGCAGCCTCTTCACGCGACCACTAACTCTCAGATTATATAACCCTCTTTCAGGAGGTGTAGGTAGAACTGCTTGATTCACCACAGATGTTTGTGCCCTACGAATCACATGGTCTCAGGCCATGATATGCAACCGTGATATTTTATGTATTCTTCCTGCAATCTCTGGACAGTGTCTGTTCAAAGAGCAATTAAACGCTGGAACATGTAAGCAGAAACGTCCAATTGATCCAAGGCAGAGGATCATCTGGTGTGAGAGTAATGCAAACTCTCCTTAAAGGGATAGTGGACACGAACGGACTCCGCATCTGTTAAGACTTTTAACTCTCCTGTCACTTCAGCAGCATACAGCATGAAAGCCTCTAGTCCGGCCATTAATTTCACAGAACTAGCTTTCCTATGGAAACTTCGCTAATATAACTGAAGACAAAAGGGAGATGTTTCTGTAGTTGGCTCCTGTCAAAGGAGGACACACTAAGACAGGATCGAGACTCAAACTTTGTATACTTTATTATTTCTTTTTCAACGGCCCCTGCCCTCTTCTAAGAAGTATGCAGATGTTACAAGCCTCACTAATGAATGCACATGGGGTGTGTGGCAATAGTTGTGAGATTAAGCCTACTGGCCAGGGGTGTACTGCCATTTGCCAGTACCTGGGGCAGATATGCTCCGCATGCGCACCAACCAGAGGTGAAGTGCACTCATTCAGCACTTGCTGCCAACGGTGCTGGGCAGGTGCTGGAGAGTGCTCTTCAAGCTCTGCTCCACAGCTCCCATCCCTGCTAGGCAAGCATTCATGCGCCGGGCGGGGGGCAGAGGGTGTGTGATGGGGATCTCTGCAGGTGGTGTCAGTTTCGTGCACGCCCCAGATTGTGTGCCTGGGAAAACGGCCCCCTCTCCCCCACACTACGCCACTGCTACCGGCCTACCAGTGGGATGATCTTTCTTCCCATGGGGGCCACATTATGTGAGCCTTGTGTTCACCCACCTTTGGCTCATGTTAAAGATTCAGCAGCCTATTAAACAATTGCAATTATGCTCGTATTAACTTTTTTAAAAACACAAATTTTGCTATCCTGCTTGTAATGTAACTAGGGAAACAGCTACATGGGGTTGGCAATGAAAGTCCCACCCTGACTACTTGAAAACTGTATTTAGCCACACTTCTGATGTCAGTTTTCACTAGACAATGCCCGGGAAAAATAAGCACGTCTTCACATCTATAAATGCTAAAAGTGGGCTTTACCATTCCTGCAAAGACCCCACCACCGCCACCAATGAAATTCATAGGAATTGGTGTTCTGCACCTAATACCAAATCCCATTCTTTATAGGGAATTGTGGAATACACACACCTCCTCCCCCTCTGCTCATCAAACATCTGAGGATGAAGGTCCACTTTAAAATAAAAATAATCTTTTATTTTCCTTAGATACAAAGCCGACGGAAAAAGATACTTGATCTGTATGCCAACGTATGCAGCGTTGCAGAAGGTGAGTGAAAAGAAAACACATTAATTTATAGCCACATTATTTGCTACATAGCTTCAAGATGGCTAATATGTCACAGGCAATAGATTCAGATAAACCCAACTCTGGAGCTGAGGTAATTTTGGAAGCAATCTGTCAGTGCTATAGTTAAGACTAGTGCTTTAGACTGAATTCCTATACACTTTTACCTGCGAGAAATCCCACTCAAGTCAATCAAGCTTTGAAAAGACGTATGTAGGTCCCACTGCATGACAAAAAGCGTTGCTCGATTACTACTTTTTTTCTTTTAAAGCCCACTTTGATTGCAAGATTCTTTAAGAACACAAGCCATAGCAAGATATTTATGGTCTGTGAGAATAAACCTACAGCCACATAAGCATTTTTCTTTCCAGAAGCATTTGCATCTGTTCCACCCCCACTCCTGCCTTTCCTTTTTACCTCAGAAGATGTGTTTGGAAAATTCTCTTGTTTTTGACCTCAGGATAAGATGGGGAAAGTGGTAGGCCTCACCAGGAATTTCACCCTTTCCTTGAAATATGTGTTGGCCCTGAGGTGACTAATATATTTTTTTTTAAAAAAAATAAGTTCTCTTTGTTGGGGGTTCCAGTGCTCATCAATGGGCACTTTTTGCTTTTAATGAAAACTGGAAGTTTCAACCTCTTCTGTAGATGGTGCCAGATTTATGTATAAGCTAAACAAGCTATAGCTTAGGGCCCCACTCTCTTGGGGGCCCCGCAAAAAATTAAAGGAAAAAACTATTAATTGTATTTCAGTTCAACAATTATCTTGATAAAATACATATTTTGTTATGCGCAAATGGCTTTAGATACCTATTAGATCCATGAATTACCATATAGCATGTATTCAACACAAAAACCAGCGACAATTTGTTGTTGACAAACGACAGCTGGACATATAAAGAGGCCCATTACCTTCAGTAGCTTAGGGCCTCATCAAACCTAAATCCGGCCCTGCCTGTAGGCATAAGACCTCCCAATTAAATTTGTTCAGCCTCATATGAAGGTTGGCTGTCAGCTTATGCCAGGAAGATGGGGAAAGGAAACAGCAGCAAAACAAGGAAGGGGAATGTTCTGGATTAATTGATCTCTACAATTCTATGATCCAATGAAAAGCATTGCGAGTACACGTTAATGCTAATAAAGTAATATTCTGAATATGGAGAAGCTATGGCCCTCTAAATGTTGTTGGGCTACAACTCCCATCATCTCTGACCGTGGGCCAAGCTGGCTGGGGCTGATGGAAGTTGGAGTCCATCACCTTCTGGAAGGCCACAGCTTCCTCAGCCCTGCCCGGAAGAGGCACTACAGGTCAAACATGGAGAAGAGAGCTCAGTAAACGTGACCCTCTAAACTTTCTTTTTAGGCCTCAGTCCCACAGAGCTCCCGTTCGATTGTCTGGAGAAGACCAGCAGGATGCTCAGCTCCACGTACAACACCGAAAAAGCCATTGTGAAGACCTGGCGCCACCTCGCCGAGAGCTTTGGACTGAAGCGTGACGAAATAGGTGGCATGACCGACGGCATGCAGCTCTTTGACCGCATCAGCACAGCAGGCTACAGCATTCCAGAACTGCTAACAAAATTAGTGCAGATTGAGAGGCTAGATGCCGTGGAGTCCCTTTGCGCGGATATCTTGGAGTGGGCCCAAGAGATACCTAAACCTGATCCGGTGGTGGCCTCGTGACGTGTGTTTGAGTTGCCTTCATTTCAAAACAATTTATGTGCATACGGATTCCAAGAGCAATGGGACTCATTATGGAATGGAATCTGAAAAAGCATGGACAGCCTTCAGATCTCAGTAGCATTTTCCGTTGTTCCAAGTATAAAACGAGCCAAGGATTGTTACTGGTTCACCATAAAAGAAATGAAAGAAGCACAGGCTGAAGACTTCTTGAATGAGACTGACTTGGCCTGTGAAGAGGATATTGCTGTTCACTTCAGACTCCTTTTACAAGCAGAGATACAGATCAACCTGCCAGTATCATTGCAGGCTCTGAAGAAATCTGACGTAATCGCTATGGTTTAATTTTGTCTCAGTCTTCCGCAATTAGTAACTACTATCAGATATAGTGTTGCCTGATACAGATAATGCGAATGTCAGTTCTATTACATCTAGCGTTTAACCAAATGTCAGTTTCCTCTCAAATAACATTAAGGATTAACCAATTTATTTATTTATTTTTTAAAAAATCACATGTGTGAGACTTTATTGACGTAAATTAGTTGGATTATGTGTGTTGAAATTAGACCAAGTAGATGGCAATAGTCCAGTTACTTCAAAATTTCAGCGTATGCTGAAGTCTTGGCGCATGTGGTCCACACAGACATTTCAGAAATATTGTCACATATACTAATGGAAATATATGCCAATTATAAAATTAGCAGAATTTATTTATGAATATGCTCATACACATACATTAAGTACAATTATTATTTCAACCATCTTTTATGCTACAGAAGGAAAAAAATAGACCTAAGCATAGAAGTATATGGTGACATTTATTCTATCTTCAACTAGATCACAACCGAGGTAGGAAATATTAATGCCTCAGTCAATGCTGTTCATTTATTTGTTCAAGTCATCTTTAGATTTAATGAAATTCTTTACCATCGCAACCCGTTTAGAGAGGGTATTTTGAAATGCTACTTCTGTATTGGCTACAACCGTTATGATTTCAAGGCACTGGCTAATCAGATCGATACTGATGGACAGGTTTCTCTGAAAGACCACAGTCTGGTTCATTTTCATGGTTTGTCATTACAAGAATGAGTCTGTGTGAGCCTCATTGCTTCTGCTCCCCCTCCCCTGCCCCAAGGCATGAAGAGACTGAAATCTCTTGCTTTTGAACTAACCACAGTTCATTGTTCTGCCTGAACTCTGGGACTTATTGTTCATTCTAATCTCGATGAATACAAACCAGAATATCAAACTCTGATTTGGTGCTGGTTTGTTTTAATGACCTGTGTACCTTGAATTCAGATAGATGTAGCAATGAACTTTGGTTACTCTAAAAGGTGATTTATCTCTTCCTGCAATTGGAGAAAGGAGAAGATGATGGAATAGGGAGCACATGATGAGCCACTGTTGTCATTGAAGTGGGTCAACATGTTTGCTGTTACCAGAATTTCCCAGTATGTGTCAATGTGCAGGGGAATTTTGAACATGTATTTTGAGTGTGCCCTCAGTTCATATGGGGCAATGGCGAGATCCAACAGTGTGACCAGTGCTCAACATGAACTAAAAGCATTGGAGAATGTATTTCGGAATCCTTTGGGGTTCAATTGCAGATGTCTGAAGCTTCTCAGAAGAGGTCAGTGTGAACCGTATTAATGTGATAATTAAATAACTACTTACAAAAGTTAGGGTGAGGTGTGGTCTCACCATTGAAATTACCCCATTCAATGTAATAGATGTTTAAAATAAGCAATATGGTTTTTCCCTCTCATTTGAAAAGTAGAAAAGAAACAACACATTTCTAAAGATCAATACATTTTTTTAAAAAAAACAGCTTTATGAAATGATCACAAGAACTACCTAATGTTGCTGGCAGACTGTCCATGAGCAGGTAGTTTGGCCTAGAGCTCAGATGAGGGCTATCTCCTCTCAAGGAAATCCTTACTTTTCTTGGCATGGGGCTCCTCGTGAACTCATAATTACAGAGTCCAGGAGCCAGGGGCAGTTTAATTAGCAAGTTTATTAATTTATCGTTCAGTTCTCCACAAAGTGCTGTGTTGACAGATTTCAGTAAGTTATTATTATTATTAAAGGAAACACCATGTCTTAAAAAGCAATGTTTTTTTAATTACAAGTTGCATGGCTGAGCAAAAGCGATATAAAACGATAACTCATATTCTTTAAAATTATAACCAGCCCTGCCCCCTGCCTCTTCAGCTGCAAACAAATGACAGTCGAAAGACTCCACTCTAATGGGTTCAATGTGATGAATATTTAATATTGTCATTTAGTTTTCCCATGTGTGGTACCCAATTTGTTAGCCTGTAAGCTTTGGATTTCTAACTATATTTTACTATCTCCAAAATGTCCTTTCCCCTCTGAATAATGATGAAGAATACCTTGTGTAATTAATTTGCAAATGCATACTTTGATTATAGTTCATTCCTTCCTGCCCAGTGCAGCTCCCTGTAGCTTTTAGACATTCTACCACATAAAGGGAAGCTGCACTCACCCACAACTATCAGCTTGAGTCAGTAGCTCTGAAACGATGCAACATGGTCTAGATCAGACATCTGCAATAGAATCCTAAAGGATTCTGAAATACATTCTCCAGTGCTGTCTTAGTTCATGTTGAGCACTGGTCAGACTGTTGGATCTCGCCATTTCCCCATGTTTTTGGACTACAGTTCCCATCATCCCTGACTAGCTAGCTAGAGTCCTGCTAGCTAGGGATGATGGGAGTTCTAGTCCAACAACAGCTGGAGACCCAAGTTAAGGAAACCCTGGTCTGGAGTCTAGTGCACAGGTTTAGCTTTCAATTGTAAAGCTCAGAGGAACGCTATTATTTTACAACTTAGAAAGGTAGTCTTGCTTTGGTTATTCTTCCACCTACTTCACAAAAAAGTACAGTAATTATTTCCCCCCTCCCTCAAAGCTTTGGGAACAATAAGGCCTTGTGCAGTCCCAGCGTGAACACAGGCCTGGTTCAGATTATTTCATTTTCATACAAAAATTGTTTTCTTGTATTAAACCCCTAAATAAAAGAGTTGGGGGGAAACAAAGACAAATTCTGCACTTCTGCCAAAATGTTTCTATTGTAGCAATTTTGTATATATAACTTATTATTGTTGTACATTATGCAAAAAATAAATAAGGTATTAAGATAAAGCAATGCTACATGTGTGGTGATATTTTTTTTAAAAAAAGGTTATACAGTTTACTTTTTATATTCACATCACTTCTCACCTTCTCCTCCAGGACTATTAACCAGTTTCAAACTCCTATATTTAAGGACCAGGATCCAAAGTTAATTAAGGCATGCCTAGAGACTGTGCACTAGTCCCATGGGGTGGTGGGTCTTCTTCTTTTTTAACTAACCTAACCTAAACTTTCCCTCTTGAACAGCAAATCCTTCTAAAATCCACCAGAGAAGTGCTCTGAGGGCCTTCCTCTCTGCAGAAATTCACCACCTCAGAGCAGTATTCTGTTTCCTCCTTTCTTCCATCACTGCAACACGGGCAGCTATATTGTTGCTAACCAATGCTGACGGCCCTTCCCATTTTTAATTTTGTTCATGTTTTTCATGATTCTTAATGCTGGATCTATTTACCACATGAACATAATAAAACAGGCCGACAATGTTCTGTTGCCCCCGATGTTGCTGCCCTGAATCCTGGATGAAGATTTGTGCTGCCATAACAGTATCCAGGCATTGGGTACCAGTTTACTTAAGCAAACTTAAGGGTTTGCTTCTAGGGGGTCGGAAGCACAACAGCAGACTGACAACCTCCACTTATAAACATTTTAAAAGGTAAAGGTACCCCTGCCCGTACGGGCCAGTCTTGACAGACTCTGGGGTTGTGCGCCCATCTCACTTAAGAGGCCAGGGGCCAGCGCTGTCCGGAAACACTTCCGGGTCACGTGGCCAGCGTGACAAAGCTGCATCTGGCGAGCCAGCGCAGCACACGGAAACGCCGTTTACCTTCCCGCCAGTAAGCGGTCCCTATTTATCTACTTGCACCCGGGGGTGCTTTCAAACTGCTAGGTTGGCAGGCGCTGGGACCGAGCAACGGGAGCGCACCCCGCCGCGGGGATTCGAACCGCCGACCTTTCGATCGGCAAGCCCTAGGCGCTGAGGCTTTTACCCACAGCGCCACCCGCGTCCCCCATAAACATTTTACATGTGCGTAAAACACATCATGCCGCTTGAGCCATCGCTATTATCAGTCGGGGCTCCCTCCATTCCTTCTGTTCTGCGAAGGAAGCCATTCCAAAAGAATTGAGGAGCTTTGGGCTCATGCAAAGTGACTTAGATGCCTCAATAGTTCCTCTAATACCTTCTTATAGACCTCATTTGTCTAAAAGAAGGGGGAAATGTTCACATATTTGCTGGGCCACACCGAAAGTGAGGTGCACCTCCCTATACAGACAAGAGGTATACTATTCACATCTTACCAGGCACCAGACTTTTCAACAGATTAATCTAATTCTTTGTCATTGTTCTGTTCCTGGGGGGTGTTTTTAAAGGAAAAGCACCAATTAAATAAACTCCCATTCTGCCAGTCGGTAAGTTGTCATGCTTACATCATAAAGAGAGCGGGTTATCTTATTAACGAAATAACCTGTGGGAAAGGTGCCCACTTCCTTTGCGGCTGTCTCCGCTTGAGAGAAGTGGATCTTCCCATTATGTATTTATCTCTAATCACCAAACTCCTGTGAAATGAGGAGGATGTTTAATGAGCCTTCGTTGGCTCGAAACAAACTAACTTTTCTTTGAATATATTCCATACAGCCTTCTAAATCTCTCCTCGGGAACAAAATAGCTTCCCACCCCCCTGCTCCCATCCAGTTGATTTTTATCTTAGCCCACACACAGTGGGACTGGGATACATATTTCTGAGACATCGAATTCTAAATGCAGGCACATCTGCTCCTACTGGATTTAACTAAGCCAAAGAAAGTTCCTAAAATGAACATTATTCATGCCTCAGATGTTTCCCCCAAGAATCAGTAGAAGGCATGTGTCTTCTGCTAACATAACATGAAGCGTACATGTTAAATGTTTTCTTGAACAATAAATCTACTTTTAATCTGAATAACATGTTATCCAGACATACTTGTACTGAAGCCCTGAAGAAGCTAGTAGAGTGTTACCTTGGTTTAAGAACAGCTTAGTTTATGAACCACTTGGATTAAGAACACTGCTAACCCAGAAGTAGGTGTTTTGGTTTGTGAACTTTGCCTTGGAATAAGAACATGTTTCGCTGCCTGTTGAGTGTGTTCCATTTGTCAATTGAATCCCCTTGCTGCTATGGGAAAGCATGCCTCGGTTTAAGAATGCTTTGGTTTAAGAACGGACTTCCGGAACGGATTAAGTTCGTAAACCAAGGTTTACCAAGACCTCATTTGCCTAAAAGGGGGAAGTATTGAAAGTAGGAAGTATCCCTCAGTGCCCTGTATATGTTCAACACTGTGAACTCTGGCAACTATCAGTTGTCATTTTTGTGCCTTTGACGCCCAGAGCTGCAATCCTAACTCCACATATCTGGAAGTAATCCTACTGAATCCAACAGGACTTACTTATGAGTAGGCATGGTTTGGATAGCACTGTGATGTTTTAATGGGAACTGAAATCAGAGATGAGACACTAAAAGTGTGTTACACGTATTTCCCAGTTCCTGAATTGGTCTTCTTTAGTTTTCTGGGCACAAATCAGGTATTGGCTTGGGCCAATAAAGATACAAGGCTGAGATTCAAAGTGTCAGAATTAATGGATGTTCCCACAATAAAACTGGCATTCTAAGTACCTCCATTATGGATAGTAGACAAGGAGGAAAACTCTTCTGCATATGATAACAGATTTTTTTTTAGGGGGGCTCACAGGGTAGCCTGTTTCTCCAAGCACAGTTCACTACACAAAGAAAATGAGGTGTTAAGGAAAAGGGCTCTAGCTCAGCTTGCTCCTTAATATACTCACATTCTATGCGTAGAGAACTGATTCATTATGGAAGAGTATTCAGTCCTGTGAGCCCCACAGGTGTAGCCTGAAATGCTGCTGTCCAGAAAACAGCAAATGGTTCTCTCATCTCACTGCCACAAATTTGGAGGAAAAACTATCAGCATGCTCCACGTAACTCACCAAAATGTTAGAAACTACCTGCCCAGGCAGACACTGAATAGAAGATGAAAGGATCTGCATGAGATCGTCAGTTTCCTGAACAAATCAAATCCTAAGGGTGAAAAAGCCTGCTCAGCTTATAAAGGCTACACTTGTGACAGCTATGAATTACTGAGTTTTGCTCACAGCTCTTCTTTAATTTGATCTGATAAATTAAACCATACAGAACAGTGACATCCATTGTGAATGAAAGTTCTAAAAGGGGAGGGGGGGTTGCTATCGCCAAGGGCGTTTCTTAAGTTTCAGTTAAATGCATCTGCTAAAACGTTTTCCATTAATTTATTGTTAAACACACACACACACACACACACACACACACACACCACAGAATGCATTTAAGTAAAACTAAAGCATACCTAAAAGAGGAATTGCTATGAAACTATGAAAGGACATATCTGAAGGCTGGTGATTCTTCCTGTACAGGTTCCAGAATGAGCAGTGCTCTTGAGCAAACTCTTCAAATCCCCTGATGACAAAATTTATTGACTTTTTAAATATATATATATATATATTCAAAATTTTCAACATAACATAAATTAAAACTAATTAATTCTGGACTCCCACCCCCACCCAGTTTCCAATGTCTTCCCTTTGTTTCCTTACACAAGATGTGTAAGGAGACAAAATACATTGACATAAATAATATACCTGCAAAATCTGATGGGGAGGGATTTACAAAAAAACAAAACTTTTTTAAAAAAGTAAACTATTTTACTAAAGGTATATTTTTATACCTACAGTATATATTTTAGAGGATAGCATAACTACAAACACGGATGAAAGATCTTTTAACGTAGAAAGTATCTCTCAGTGCCACAACCACCTATTCATAACCTGGAGCGGCCATATTTTGCTGCGACTCAAAGCCAGATCCTGTACAGTGCCAGGTTTTCGGAAGGCTTTAGGAAATATATTCTTGGAAGGAGCCCTTCACATGTGGCCTCCCTCCTCCCTCCTTGTCGTAACTCATTTCATTTCCCAGAGAGAGAAAATCATACAATGGTTTCTGTTTCCCCTCAGTGTCCCTACTTGCTGAGAGCCAGTGTGGTGTAGTGGTTAAGAGCGGTGGACTGGTAATCTGGTGAACCGGGTTCACGTCTCCGCTCCTCCACATGCAGCTGCTGGGTGACCTTGGGCCAGTCACACTTCTCTGAAGTCTCTCAGCCTCACTCACCTCACAGAGTGTTCGTTGTGGGGGAGGAAGGGAAAAGGAGAATGTTAGCCGCTTTGAGACTCCTTGGGGTAGTGATTAAGCGGGATACCAAATCCAAACTCCTCCTCTTCTTCTCTTCCTTGCTTGAAGAGAACAGGTGGCTATGCAGCGACAGCAAGGTGGCTACGAGGCTCCATGAATTGTCACTGGGTTGCATAATGAGGCATGGACCTCAGCTGCTGCCCCTCATGCTATACCACAGGGTTGTGAAACCTGTGACCCTCCTGGTATTACTGGACTACAGCTGGACCATTAAGCCACGCTAGCTGGAATTGAAGGGAGTTGTACACCCACCCTTGTTGTAGTTTTAGAAATACTGTTACAGGCTTGCTTTAAAAATAAAATAAAAATATATCCCATTCATTTGGGAATCAAAGAAACTTCTGTTCAGGACACAACCACAAGTGGCCCTGCAGCAACTTGTTCTGAGCAGGACACCAGTTCCTTCTTATCAGATGCCCTTGCTGCTCCTTTTGAAGCAGTGCCATTAATGATCAGCAAGCACTTTAAAACACTGAAACACAATCCAGAAAACAAGAGCACATAAAAGCCTTTTTGTGTGTGTGTTTTTACATCATCTGCTCTTGTTTTCACCTGCCCCACCACTCTCAAACAGGAAACGAAATTGCAAGGGACGAAAACTGTGTTTCAAAGACTGCCACCTTACTCTTAAACATTGGCTAATGCCTGCAATGTTAAGGGAAAACATGGATGCAATGTTACTGTAATTTATTTCATATTTCATGGAACTTATATACTTGCCCTGAACCCCTGGCCTACCTGGCGGTGAGTCAGTAAGTCAAGTCCCAGGTTCAAAGTCCAGGGTCAATCCAAGTAAGCAAAGCCTGAAGTCCGGCAGTCAGGATACAGTTCAGAGTCAAACCCAAAACACAGTCCCATAGAAGCTCAGGATTATCCAAGCCAAAGTTGATCAAGATGGGCAGTTGAGCAGACACAGCCCCTCAGCTCTGCTTCCCTTTTGTGCTCTGCATGCTGATTGCAGTATCTGGGCTTAATGAGGTATATGACCATCACCTGTCCTGAGCCTACTTCAGCTGAAGAATCTTCTCCCAGAGCTAGCGAGCCCCACCTGGCCAGCTAAGGAGCTGGGCTGTGGGATCTTGCCTGCCTCAGCTTCCTAGAGCTCCCCTACCACTCCTCCCTATGCATCAGAGCATATCAAATCAGGGGTCCCTCTGGCTCTGGGTCCTGCTGCTCTGATTCTTGTGCACTCACTCCCAACTCCCTTGCCATCCTCTGTCACTCTGTACTTCCTTCCCCATCCCGATTGTCCCAGTGTGTCCTGGCTACACCCCTCACTGGGATCCTCTTCCTCCTTTCCATTGTCCTGCCAGTTCATGACATCACTGCTTGATTGCAAGAACAAAACCTCAATGCGGTTTACAAAACGCAGCTGCAGATTTGCTGCATGCTAAGTGTTCGTAAACTGGTTGATAACCCTGGCCTATAACTATTTTTTTCCTTTTGTTGTCTGGGCAATATGGCACTACCATAGAGAAAGCAAAGTAGATGTTCTAGGACATGGTGCCACCTTAAAGACCTTTGTCCAGAACAAGGTAGTATTGAAATGGGTCAGCAGCAAGAGGACAATATTTGACAGGGAGGAGCTGGAACCAAGAGAAGATGCCAGACTGGACCTCTTACCTCCCAATCACCACTCCATCAAACTGAGAGGCAAAGGAACAGAGCTTAAGTCTCTCTCTTTCAACCCCATGTGACAAATTGTTCAGGCACTTAGCTAATTTAGTCATCGTATACATACAAGAGCTATTTCTCCACTTCTCTCGCATTCCATCATACTGGAGACAACAAACTGGAAAAAGTAAAGGATCTACACCAGTGTTTCTCAAACTTGGGTCTCCAGCTGGTTTTGGACTACAGTTCCCATCATCTTGACTACACGTCCTGCTAGCTAGGGATGATGGGAGTTGTAGTCCAACAAACAGCTGGTGACCCAAGTTTGGGAAACCTGATCTATAGAGCGAATAGGTTGCCACCCCTTCCCTACAAGTTTACCAAATCCAGTATAGGTGGTCTTCTTTTCGTTTGCGCGAGGTACATTAATGCAAATTACAAAGCTTACTGGCCTGCTTCAATAACTCCCTTTGCCCGCTACTGCTGGCCTCAAGTGTGCTCCCCAACCAGCACTGCTGTGTATTGGTGGGTATTTCTTCCCTGGGCAGAAACAGGGGGGTGGGGAGGGTGAAAACTAGGGATAAATAAATGGAAGGAAATGGAAGCAGGGAGTCCGCTACCCCGCTTATCAAATTAACATGTGCTTCTATAAAAGCTAACATTTGGTTCCCTTTCTTCAAATTACAACTTGCCTTTATGTGCACGCAAATAAGAATTGTATGTAATAGGCATGCACAGTAGGCAAAGTCATAAACATGTGGTAAAAAGCCACCCATGCTACAGCTTTTCAACCAAGTATTTTAAATACAAATATAGTCAAACTCCAGCCACAGAACTGTGTGGAACTGTTGCTCTTTGTCGCAAGCTGTATGTTTGCAATATAGGAAAATCATGCCTGCGCACCTCTGCTTTAGACCGTGGGTGGCGTAATTAACTTGTGCTCATAATGAAGGCCACCAGTCTCATAAAATGTAAGGGAATGGAAACATTTAGCTGTGAGCACACAAAGTAATTGTTACCCACAAGCTCTTAACGTGGCAAAACCGAAGCACTTGAATAAGCAAATGCCTCCTTGTTTTCCATCTAAAGGTAACAATCCCATAAAGGCCTCTGCAGAGTGGCTGGACCTATTGAGATGGTAGCAAATGGCAACTTTTTTTTGCAACAGGAAGATGGCAGTGATCCAGCCTTGCTTTAGTGACATGCCAGGGTAAAGGTCCTTCCTTGCATTTCCCCAGACCAGTTCGCCAGCTAACAGAACTGTCAAAAGGAGTGAAACCAGCTGACCAGCGACATAAGGGCAGGCAGCAAGCTCTTGGAGAAGGAAAAATATTTACCCATCTGCCACTCACCCTCTTACTGGCATCACCAGCTTGCAAAAGGGGAGTCATCTGGGGTACAGAATCACTAGGAAGCTGTACATGCAGGCTAATCATTGCTAGCCAAGCCAGCATCTTTCCCTGTAATCTCTTCTTTGCCCCAAGGGAGACAAAGGTATACCCACCTTCCTTATAATAATTTGCTTTGAGAAACTAAGGTGCTGGTTTCTACTTCTTTTTTTGTCAAGGCTCCTGGCACAGCCATTGCCAAAGAAACAGGGTATAGAGGGGTGACTTTAATATCTTGTTCCTGGCAGGAATCTTGTTATGAGGTTTCATGGACAATTTAAGCAGGTGCTAAAATATGTATTTCCTTATTTCCAGTTAGGATAGCACGTACATTTTTTTTAAAAAAGGAAAGTGCTTGTGTATGTGAAACCTCTCTCTCTCTATGAGATAATGAACATGTGGGTTGTGTGAGCAGATTAATCAAGAGTTTCATCCTCCCCACTGAATTAAGTAAGACTTACTTCTGTGTAGACATATTTAGCATTGCAGCCTTCATAGTCAAATAAGGTATGAACCCAAAGGGGGAAGTGGGGGGGGGGTGTGTGTGAAATGGCTTACTTTTAGTATGAAGTAAAACTGAAAAGCAAATTCTTTTTGTTGAACAATTAGGCTCTCGGTGTAGTTTAATTTTGTGGACTTCTTTTTAATATTAAAATACTGAATACAAATAGAGCACTCCAGAATAATCATGTGTCAGTAAGGCACAGTAATAGCCAATAAATACATATAAAAGTGACAGGCGACTATGCCTTTGAACTCTGAGTTACCAAACATATAGAAGGCATCAGTCAAAGCGCAAATCAGGGCCAAGCTTGACATCAGTAACTGAAATTCCCCCCAATACAGAAATGAGCAAACCAACATTTTAAAAATTCCTGTACAAAGGAACTATATTTCTACAAGAGGATAACTCACTGGTGTGACTTTGAGGGTGGGATCAGGGCATTCTCTACTATAGCAGGTGGTGCACAAGTCAGCCATGTCTGAGTTCTGTGTGGTTATGAAGTTCTGTCTTAAGGGTGGGGAACTTGTGGTCCTCCAAATGATGTTGGGACTCCCAACTTCCATCAACCTCCCCATCCCAGTTTACTGAAAGAAGTGTCAGGCAGCTGGAAAGTAGACCAGAGACCAAAGATGCTTCTTGATTTACCAACACCACTCAAAGGCTCTCTTTCTCTCTACTGGCAACCATCCTCTCTCAATGAGAAGAATCCTAGAGGCCTCTGCAACATCAAAAGATATCTCTGGGATATCTTTTCACTATGCTGTTAGGATGAGGGCCAGGAGTTGGTGACCCTCACATTTGGCAGCAAGCGTTTTTCAACAGGGGTTGGGAGTGGGGAGGAACAACTTTATGGCCTGGGAGGATTTGACACCCAACACAGGTTAAATAATTTGGCCACTGATGGACGAGGAACTGCTTCCAAAAGGGGCTGCATATCATGAAAGTTAGGGCTGCACACAAAGATCACCGTCAGCTTTGGCAGAACAGATTACCTCTAGCAAGGGGGAAAGTGAACATCCCTCTGGATCACGGCCACTGTAAAACTTACAATATTTAAAGGGGGCGGGTAAATCAAGTATTCAACAAAATAGCAAACTGTCCTTGGCCTATTTTGAGGAGCATATTGGCATAAAAGATTATGTCCATTGTGACATTTTTTCCCTTCATTTATTCATTTAGAATCAGAAAATGTCTTAATAAAATGCAATCTGTTACTGGCTCCCATTTAGACTATTGCTTTTGGGGTTGCTTTTTGTCAGTCCCAAATTGAAGAGAATTGAGTTGAGGTTAATACATAAGAAAGCATGATCTGGATGCGTTGTCCTCTGTAGCTCTTGAATCATCAGGTGAATCGTGAACAGCTCAAACATCTTCTTATTGCCCCTGTAAGATTATTTTCCAAGAATGTTATGCAGTGAAGGAACATCATTTTGATCACTCTGAAGGACGGGAAGAATTTCAATTATATCTGAACACTACAAGTTACAGAGCATCTGAAAAATGTTTGAAGTAAAAATAAATGCCTTTCTTAGTATTAACGGATATTGTAGTAGATTTGAGATGTGTTTGGTTTTCGTTATGAAACTTTGTAAGATAAATGGACTTAACAATGGTGTAAAGCTGTGGAAAACTTTTTGTTAAATAAAGGTGTCTACAAATTATCCCACAATGGCATCTGCCAACAGAAGCCAAATTTGCACATCGTGCTAGATCATGGTTTAGAGTAGGGGTTGAGGAAACTTTAAACGTGAGGCCTGTATTTCCTCACAGCCAAACTTCTGAGGGCCACATGCCAGTAGTGAGCAGGGTGAGAGGCAAAAAGTGGGCGTGGCCAGAGGCAAATGTGGGTGGAGCAACAGTTGTACAGTAGGCAAAATTCCAGCCACAGAAAGGCTAGAGGTTTATCTTCACACACACCCTCCCATCCACGCAAACAACAGATGTTATCATAGTTCAAAGACAGATTGCAGAGAGGGAAAAGCACTCGAGGGCATCAAGGGAAGTGAGGGACGTGGCCTGAGGAACAGGCCATGGTCTGAGGAGAATCCTAAGGGCCAGACAGAGGGGAATAGAGGACTACATTTGGCCCGTAGGTGCAAGGATTACCAACCACTGGTTTAGCGAAACATGTGCAAACCATCGCTCATATGCTCTGCCTACACACAAGGCCAGGAAGAGTTTAGAAGCTTTTAGCTCTTTGATCAGTCAGTCTGTGGCCTCGTCTGTGATTAACAGTAATTATGGTTAATACTAACTATGGCTCACTTAAGAAAAGCCAACTTCAGACCATAGTTTCTGAAGGCAGCTTGTTGAAACTAACAAAAATGTTTACCGATTATTATATTTTAACAAAGCATGAACTGTGGAATTGTGGTTAAGGTAATACTGTCTCAAAAACCATAATTAAAAATATTTCTTTAGCTTAAATAAAGATTTTTAAGGCTTACATTTGAAAGTTTGGGAACTTTCCCCTACCCCACTCACTTTTACCTTCAGTTATTATTTTCAAGTGGAGATCACAATTCATTTGTCGTCATTTCCTCTTAAATATTAGTATGATGCTGAGGGGAAAATCAAGTTAATGTGCCTATTACACAATGCAAGAACCTGACAATGGGTTGAAAAAGATGACAAAGAGAGGATAATAAAACTGGATAATAAGAAAAGTTGACAAGACTTACTTAATTTTTGAGAGCTTTTGCAGCAGAATACTAAGTTTTTCCAGTATCTGTGTATCTAGCTTAGGGTTTCGAAGCAACAGTGAACAAGTGCGAAAAAAGGTCTCATTACTGCAAGCTTCCAGAAACGGATGCAAAAACCCTGTAGAATAAAGTGACCAATAATTATAATTAGTTGAAAAAGGAAGAAAAAGGTTTTTATAACAAATTAATACAACTAGTCATGTAAAGCATATTGCACAGCTCCCAACTTCAGAAGAATACTCTTAAATTCAGATTCAAGCAGAGGCACCCTGCAGCCATTAAGTACAGAAAAAGAGAACATCACATATCCTGGCATAGCAGAGGGAGCTGAAAAAATGAACTGATTCAATAATCATTATAGAATCAGTTATAATGTGTGTAGAGAGGTGTAGAATTATTCTGTCTGTAGTGCCCTTAGTGGCTTCTTCAAAATGTACCATCTCACTAGTTTCTCTGAAAGATTGGTTGATTCAATGGTATCTAGCAGCAAAGATTGCTGGGTAATAGCTGTGAAAATGGGTTTTCTTATTTCTGGACAGATGCTTGGCATTGTTAAGCTGTACCTCTGGTTGATTATTTTCTTGGTTTGGTTAGGAAACAGCCTGAACAAGCATCTACATAAGTTCTCCTTTCTCTAGTGCAACAAACCAAATCTTCCTTAGTTTGAAAGTGTAGGAACTGGATTCTAAATGCTCTTGGCTAGTCTCGTGAATAGGCCAGCACAACTACTCAAGCCTCTTTTGGAAATTATTTTGGCCCAAATGCTTTAATTTTAACACCAGAAGAACAGCCAGTCTACTTTCCAGACTTGTGGCAAGGTATTCTACCATGGAAACCCTAATCTTCAGTTTAGCTAAGATCAGTTGACATCTTGACATGGTTTGAGCCGTCTTCCTCTCCTAGAGGGATGGTCTGCTTCAAAGCTTGTTATTGGAACATGTCCTGCTACCATCTTGACGCACCCAGCTCCACCTACAATGCAGTATTTGATGTTCAAATTGCAGTGGCGAAGGGTAAAATTGGCTGTAGCCAGGATAGCTTACTCAAAGGTCAGGGTTTTCATGGTAGAGCAATCTTGGGATAACAAATCTGGGCAAAACAAAAGTCTTGGTGCAAGGAATTTTAGCAGCTGTTGTTGTTTAGTCGTGTCCGACTCTTTGTGACCCCATGGACCAGAGCACACCAGGCACTCCTGTCTTCCACTGCCTCCCGCAGTTTGGTCAAACTCATGTTTGTAGCTTCGAGAACACTATCCAACCATCTCATCCTCTGTCGTCCCCTTCTCCTTGTGCCCTCCATCTTTCCCAACATCAGGGTCTTTTCCAGGGAGTCTTCTCTTCTCATGAGGTGGCCAAAGCCTTGGAGCCTTGGCTTCAGGATCTGTCCTTCCAGTGAGCACTCAGGGCTGATTTCCTTCAGACTGGATCTGTTTAATCTTCTTGCAGTCCATGGGACTCTCAAGAGTCTCCTCCAGCACCATAATTCAAAAGCATCAATTCTTCGGCGATCAGCCTTCTTTATGGTCCAGCTCTCACTTCCATACATCACTACTGGGAAAACCATAGCTTTAACTATACGGACCTTTGTTGGCAAGGTGATGTCTCTGCTTTTTAAGATGCTGTCTAGGTTTGTCATTGCTTTCTTCCCAAGAAGCAGGCGTCTTTTAATTTCGTGACTGCTGTCACCATCTGAAGTGATCACGGAGCCCAAGAAAGTAAAATCTCTCACTGCCTCCATTTCTTCCCCTTCTATTTGCCAGGAGGTGATGGGACCAGTGGCCATGATCTTCATTTTTTTGATGCTATAGGAATGCAAATCCTAATAAAGACAGCAAAATCTAAAGCAGCACAGTAAAGCAGGAAGAAGCAGCATCAGTAATTGAAGGCCATTAACAACAACAACAAAAAGGATGGTAGATACTAAACAGGCTTCTCATGGAAGAGAGATTTTATTCAAAAGAAAACAGCTTTTTAAGGCTCCAAGACAGATGAATACCCCCAGCCATGAGTTCAGACAGCTCAGCAATGCCTTGCACTACACAGAGCAGCAACGCGTTGGCTGAATGCCGAGCTCAGCTTCTAGAAGAGAAAGAGAATCCTAGATGAATAATCGGAAGGAAGACTACAAAGGGAGACAGGATGGGAAAGGAAGGGAATTCTTTAAAGAGATGTTTCACTGCTTATCCCACATAAGCTATAAATTATTTCTTCTGCTCCCGCTTCAAATGTTTCTCTTCAAGATAAATTCACACCTGCCCTTTAGAAGAGTAAAGGATGTGATGGATTAACCCTTGCAGCTCTTTAGACTCTTGAAACAAAGTTAACACTGTGCAGAAGTTGGTCTAAGCAGAAGCCATCCACCTACAACCTTGGCAAAGTCAAGAATAAAAATGTGACCCTTTTGGAAGAAAAATATCTGGCTAAGAACATGCATGTTTCCACTTTATTGTGCAAACAAAAGTGGTAACTGTTCTTTAAAAATGCCAGCTCAATATTCCAGAACGAGCTTGACTAGCACACATGTTCTATGCAGGGAAAGCCACGCTTGGTTCTAGTAGACCATTACACAGATCTGAGCCCTTTATAACCTTTTAACAAGAGTCTGGTGCAATAGCCATGCCAAATAAAAGGCAGCGGTCAAAATTCCTGTAATGTGCTCAATTGCTCACATGTGTGGCAACTTGAAACAGCTAAAGCCCTGTGCAGGTGCATGTTTTTAAACAGCCTGAAGCATGAGCCTGGCACTGTGTTCTTCTTGAAGCAGGGGGAGTGTACACAACAAGCCCAAGGCAAAGCATTGCCCTGATTTTCTTGCTATCCTCCACCAAGAACCCCTTTTACTGGGATTTAGAGTACAAAGAAATGTCAACAGGTGGAGTACATCTTTAAAAGCTGAAGAAGCTAATAACTCCGGCCATGAGCAGCTTCAAAACAAGCACACTCCCTCTAGTGGCTCTGGCTGTTGGGAGAACTTTTGATACAAGTATAATAAGGTAAAGGTACCCCTGCCCGTACGGGCTAGTCTTGCCAGACTCTAGGGTTGTGCGCCCATCTCACTCTATAGGCCGTGGGCCAGCGCTGTCCGGAGACACTTCCGGGTCACGTGGCCAGCGTGACATCGCTGCTCTGGCGAGCCAGAGCCGCACACGGAAACGCCGTTTACCTTCCCGCTTGTAAGCGGTCCCTATTTATCTACTTGCACCCGGGGGTGCTTTCGAACTGCTAGGTTGGCAGGCGCTGGGACCGAACGACGGGAGCGCACCCCGCCGCGGGGATTCGAACCGCCGACCTTTCGATCGGCAAGCCCTAGGCGCTGAGGCTTTTACCCACAGCGCCACCCGCGTCCCTTACAAGTATAATAGTACTGTTCTAAAAAAAATGGAGGGAGTTTCGACTGTATGAAAAAGGGATATATTTTAGAGCCTTAAGAAACAACCCGGAAATTCCACACTGCATTGCGGGGCTGAAAGTAAAAGGGTGGGGCAAGGGCAGCTGCATTAGCACACAGCAGGTCCAGTAAAGGACTCTTCAAAATAGGTATATAGGTCTTTGCATCTGCTACATTTTAGTTGAAGAGTCTTCCCGGCACAAAACCACCTTCCTGACTATATCCAGGGACCTTGACGGAGGGCACCAAAGGGTCTCAGCTGTTTGTGACCTTTTCGGATCTGGAGCTCTGCAGTGGGAAGGCATTAAGAATTATTATTATTATTTATTAAGTTTATTGGCGTGCTCTGGTCCATGGAGTCACGAAGAGTCGGACACAACTAAACAACAAGTTTGTATACTACCCTATACCCGCAGGTTTCAGGGCGGTTTGCAAGATGAAATCTTGCAAGATGAAATCGCAATATAAAAACACAAAATACATAATAAAAATTAAGAAGATGTGATTTAATTTGTAGATGATGCTCTGTAGTTCTATCTAGCTAAGTAAAGGTAAAGGGACCCCTGACCATTAGGTCCAGTAATGGCCGACACTGGGGTTGCGGTGCTCATCTCGCTTTATTGGCCGAGGGAGCCGGCGTACAGCTTCCAGTCATGTGGCCAGCATGACTAAGCTGCATCTGGCGAACCAGAGCAGTGCACAGAAACACCGTTTACCTTTCCGTCGTGGTACCTATTTATCTACTTGCACTTTGATGTGCTTTCAAACTGCTAGGTTGGCAGGAGCAGGGACCGAGCAACGGGAGCTCACCCCATCACGGGGATTCGAACCGCTGACCTTCTGATTGGCAAGTCCTAGACTCTGTGGTTTAACCCACAGCGCCACTCGCGTCCCTATCTACCTAGGTAGCTCCTTTAAATGTCCTCATTGATGCCCTTCTGCAAGAAATAGCTGCTGAAGAACCCTAATGCTCCACTAGATTGGCAGCACAGCACCTTAGGCCTTGCTCTGCCAAGGTCAAGTCCTCTGTTTCTCAGAGCCCCTTGTTATTCCTTGAAGAGTCTAGTCTACTGACCCCTACATTGTCCTCAGCATCCCATTGGTGGCTTATGGCATTAGAGCACCCTCTGGTTTCCTCTCTTCCAGTGCCATTCGCTGTCTCTCCTGTTCCATCTGCCACTCTCTCACCCAAACAGCAACCATCTACCCTCCATGATTCTTCAAGCTGCTTGATCCTGGTCTCGTGGCTGTTGCCCCGCTCCCCTTTAATAATTGCTGCAATAGCCTTTCTTCTCTGCCTCTCACACTGCTTGCCCCAGAAGCCATGGTTGGTGGAGTTAATCTTATGTTCCCTAAATTCCGACAGCTCCATCCTCCACAGCCCACCCGGTCTTTCCACTTTCCAATCTAGTTCGCTCTGCATGACTCTGCTCCTCTCTGCAGCTCTCCAAGCTGTTTTCAAACCATGGGGAACAATAAAAGCTATGGGAGGTTTTTGTTACTGAATGCGTAACACTCACACTTTGCTACAAAATGCAGGGCTAACTCCACACTCATTCACTAATGATCTTTATTTTTGCTATAAGCCACATTCTATGCTTTTGGTGTGCGTGCAAGAGGTTTCACGTGTGCACTTAAAACTACAAAGTATAAAATCATTTATTCAATTATGCATTAAAACACCAGGACAGCTTGCAAAGCATCAGTTCACATTCAACCATCAGAACACTAAATAAACCATTAAAATACAGTGGTACCTCGGATTACATACGCTTCAGGTTACAGACTCCACTAACCCAGAAATAGTACCTCGGGTTAAGAACTTTGCTTCAGGATGAGTCAGAAATCGTGCTCCGGCGGCACGGCAGCGGCAGGAGGCCCCATTAGCTAAAGTGGGGCTTCAGGTTAAGAACAGCTTCAGGTTAAGAACGGACCTCCGGAACGAATTAAGTACTTAACCCGAGGTACCACTGTAATGTTCAAAACTGTCAGGGTTAACAACCACATGCATCATATGGGCACATTCGTTAGAGATGGTGGGGGGAATTCACTTCCGCCCCCTATCAAGTGAACACTCAGTACAAAACCAGGTAATGGGTGATGTCAGAAGTCCTGGTTACCTGCGAGGAGACTTGCTTCTGAGCTATATTTCACTAAAGGTCCTAAGCTGTCACGCTTTCCGGGCATTTTGTGTGATTGAAATAAAAGGAAATATACCCAACAACATATAATGTGCACAAAAATTGCTCTCCTGACATTAGTTTGTAGGGGGCTGAAGATAAAAAGGAGTAACACTTCCTGGTTAAGATAAAACAGCATCATCACCCTAGGCAGAAAGCGTGGGATGAGTCCTAAGCTGTGAATTATCTGAGTGGAAGATCAAGCAGGCTGGTTTGCATAGGAATGCATAAGAGCTCTCCATTTCTTAGCTCAACTAGCTGCAGGTCTTTAATGCAGAAGGATTATTCTATGTGGTTGGAGGCACATCTGGGGATCTGACTTAGTTCTGTGCAGGAGTCTATCCAGGAGCAGACAGTTCGAGAGACTGAAACGACTGCATTCTAATAGACTCGAGGCAACAGTTTCAAAGTAAGGTGCCACTTAAAACTGAAGGATATCATATAGTCCATTCTTTCAGGTAACAATGTAAATATCTCACACATTAAGACAGTTATACAGTGGTACCTCAGGTTACATACGCTTCAGGTTACATATGCTTCAGGTTACACACTCCGCTAACCCAGAAATAGTGCTTCAGGTTAAGAACTTTACTTCAGGATAAGAACAGAAATCGTGCTCTGGCGGCACAGCGGCAGCAGGAGGCCCCATTAGCTAAAGTGGTGCTTTAGGTTAAGAACAGTTTCAGGTTAAGAACAGACCTCCTGAACGAATTAAGTACTTAACCCAAGGTACCACTGTATGAGATATGCTGTATAAAGTAATCTTGTATACAAAACACTCCTCCATGCAGATATATGCATGTCTAACCTCCTCACATAATGAAGAATTTACAGAATACTCAAGGGTTAAAAGTGTGGCCTTTACTGTACCAACTTCATGGTGAGTACCAACACCATTTTTTTCTTTTAGAAAAGCACTGAATAGGGCCACCCCAGTGGAGACCATGCAATTGGAGACTAGCGCAATGCACGATCACTATGCAAACACGATATCCAACGCATGGACATGGAAGCATGGTAGTGAAATCTTGATTACTCCTCTCCCTCACAAATCGTTAGAAACACACATAGGGTTTATACCAGGCATCTCAAAGATGTTATTCAGGCCGGTATACACTCCTTTTGTACAGTCACAGATGTTTCAAAGAGGAAGAAGATAAAACATTGTATCCTCTCACTAAATTCATAGGTGAATCATTTGCAGTTATTTTTCTAGACCATTTCCTACGGCAAGTTATTGTGCACGTTGGACAGATGTCTTCTGGGAAAGGAAGATTTGCCCTACTCATGTCATGTTTTACCAAACAGGCTAAGTAAAAGTCAGGGGATTGTTGCATTTTAAAGAGAAGTCTCCTTACTGGTTTCTCCCTCGCTTTGATTTCTCTCTCATGTGAAAAGTAGAAAGCTAAGCATTAAATCTACAGAAAATACCCCCCCCCCTTTACTAGCTTGCCTGCACCAAACATTAATGAAAGCATTAAAATAAGACACTTTTTTTGGGGGGGGGTGTAAAGCCTGTTTTACTTGGAAAAGATTCTTACTTGAAATAAGACTACCAAGCAAACGGCCAATTCAAAGGAAACCTGCAATTTAGAAAAGCTGAGCAAAGCAGTATGAAAATGTTGATCATCACTTAGCACACTTACTGGATTGCGTTGTCATCTGAAGCAAACTGTCAACGGCGTTGGAAAGAACACCTTTACTCGATATTCTTATATGACTCAAGATAATAGGTACAGCTTGGTAGTCCAAAAACAAGGCCTTCCCTTCATCCGTCTTCAGATCCACGCAAAGGGAATCAAAGGCTTGAGCCAGGTAATCAGCTAGAATATGCATTAGAATTTAAAACATAAAACTGCACCACTATTTTGGGTCACTTGTCAAACAAGCTAGGCAAAAGAGGCTGCTATACAATACGCATATAATGAGATATCAAAAACAAAATGTCTTTATAGTGTGTTGCTTATTTAATGCCTAGCCTCGTTCATTCTTTTTTTTTTTTACTAGAAGAAAATCATATTTACAACTCATATTTTATTAAATCAAATAACCATAAAATGTTCCATTTTTCACATTTGCTGTCCTTACAATGTTTATTATTATTTTAAATAAATTTTATTAGTTTATAAAAAGAGATTCAAAACTTAATGCCAAATATCTTTTTTAGAATCCAACATTAATCTAAATACAATAAAAACATAGAGAAAAGGGGTGGGGTGGGGGGAATCATTAGAATCAAAAACTTTTGCTCATTCCTGACTATCCCTCTTGACCATTTTAGACACAACCTAGGGCCCAGAGATCTCCATAGACTTGTAACATGTTTGTATTCAGATTTAATTTTAACCAGATTATTTTTTAAAAGAAAAAACATTCTATAAATTTTAAGAATCCAATTAAAAAAACCAAACCACCCCTTGGTTTCAAAAATAAAACCGGTTTCTATCTACTCTGATAGAAAATAATAGCAGCATGTCAGGGAACTGCCATCAGCTCAGAGGCGGGAGGTGGAAGGGCAGTTGGGTTATAGGGAGCCTCCGAAGATCGTGAGAAGCAGCTCGTCCTCCGGGGAGGAGCGAAGCCACGCCTCCAGTGAGGATGGGATGCAGGGCTCGGAAGATGCAAGAGACAGCCGCAACACCGAGCCTGAGCAAAGTGGGGGGGAGGCAGGTCCCCCTTTGCCCATGCCCTCTCTGCGCAGAAGGCTTACGTGCAGAGAGGGGAGGCGTAGGATGGGGGTCAAAAAACTGCTCTGCTGGGGCAAGTTTAAGGACCGCCCACTCCCAGATTCTGCTAGCGACTGAGCAGACATGGAATTGAGTCAATCTGCATTGTGAACGTTTGGGACAGATAATAAAGCCTTGAAAATACCAACAGGGAGTCTTGCCTGATTGCTCTCGAGCAACCACGCTGGCACACATAACACAGCACATACAGGAAACAATCATTGTCAGTGAAGCCAGAAGGCCCTATAGCACCCATGTTGTGCCCTTTTGGATTTACCTATTTAGATTTATGTAACAGAAGCCGAGTTGTTGTTGTTTATGAAGACAAAGTTCATAAAGCCTTGACCTTGCCTAGCATTCACAGTGCTGAACGCTTCTCACTAGCTTGGAACCTAAACCTACACAAAGAAATGATTTCTCCAAATTTGAAGGTTAAATGCTAACTTTAGTAACATTCAGTTATAAACAAGGTGTTAGTGGCATTAATTTCCTCTGAATATCTGCTGCTGTGCAGCTTTTATCCAACAATTCAAGGAATAGCATTGCTTTGTGCTGGATGGCCCCAAATTTTAGTGAAACAAGAACAAAGATGCATTTACTAACTAGCTATATAAATCCCAACCACATTTTTTTTTTGGGGGGGGTAAATCAATTATTGCATTCATGTTCAAACACGACTAACTGAGTTTAAAAACATTTTAAGCCCCCTTTAATTTCCCAATGATTTGCCTGAGAAAAGGTTTCCTTTGCTATTTTTGGTATGTTGGCATTCTATCAAAAGTAAATATCGGAGATTTCAGGTAATGATAATAAACCATAGTAACACTTATTCTACTGCGTTAAAGGATTATTACATAAACTGAATCATGCCTGAACTTACAAAACCTTAATTAGGATGCCCCCTACTGCATTGTGACTTTAAAGCAAAAAACATTACTTACAAACCATCTAGAATTATGTACCAATCTATGCTAGCATTTTTATATTGTATATTCATTCTTACTTTATCTACAGATTCTACACTAAAATAAGATGGCAGAGAATTGTTCCTGCATATTAAATGTTTTAGGTGTAACTATAACCATCTTAGAAACCAAGTTTTATTTTTGTAGAAAGGTGAAGAGGTGTGGGAAAGTATTCCTTGCCAAAATTTCATTTTGTCCTTGAGCAGGAGTGCAGAATCTGTAGCCCTCCATGTGTTGTTCAACACCCAATCAGTCCCAGCTAGCCATTGGCCAGGGCTTATGGGAGTTGTAGTCCAACACTGCCTGGAAGGCTACAGGTTTGCCATCCCTTGTCTTGAGTATACCTAGGGAGAAATCAATGACCTACAGATCACCGATACGTTATTAGTAATATGTTTGTGACAAATAGTTTTCAGTGGCTTCAGAATGGCAAGCCGAACTGAACAGTATTTACAGATTCTAGGTGTGGGGACTGTTAACTTTCCATGCCCTAAGGATCTAGCACAGGGGGTGGAGAGATGGATCTGGCCCTACCCCACAGGCCAAATTTGAAAGGAGGGCCCTTTCAAGGACCTCTGTGTGGTGCTTTGAAGCACTGCTGATCAGCTGGTTATCGGCGCTTCAAAGAGCAGTGCAGTGCTGATCAGTTCTTTGTAAGCCCTTTCACGGACCAGCTGGCTATGGAGTTCCACATGGGGAAACTCAATTGTGTGGTCAATCCCAGGGCACTTAAACTGAGTTCCTATCAGGTGATTGGTGGAGAGGGCAAGTCAACTAGGATTGACCTATCAGTAGATTGTGCATTGGCAGGAGAGGCTTTCTGCCTAATCAGGAATGCACTTGAAGGCTCCCAACGGTGCACCGGCAGTCATGTCCCCATCTGCCCCACACCTGATGTCTGAGGAAAATGGCCTCTCAGGCCAAACTGGGACCTATGCCAGGTCTACTTAGGCACACAGGCCAGAGCTTCCCCACTCCTATTGTTTCCTGGTTATGGAAGTAAGTTCAAACACATGCAGACAGTGACTACCAAAATATTCCAGTATTCATAGGATGAAGCTTCTCCATTACATACAGAAGCACCACTCACTCAGTGCCGCTAACCACATCTCTACAATCACTCGCGCCAACTGCTTATCCCACTATCTTATCCTGATCTCCCTCCCACTCATCATTTGCTTGTTCCAAAACTTTTTTTAAAAATCCAAATTCTATTAAACACTAATGTGGGTGATCATTGAAATTTAATCATGCCTACAAACAGTGGCGCTGTGGGTTAAACCACTGTGCCGCTTGGGCTTGCCGGTCAAAAGGTCAGCGGTTCGAATCCCTATGACGGGGTGAGCTTCCGTTGCTTGGTCCCAGCTCCTACCAACCAGCAGCTCGAAAGCACACAGTGCAAGTAGATAAATAGGTACCACTCTGGTGGGAAGGTAAACGGCGTTTCCATGCACTGCTCTGGTTTTGCCAGAAGTGGCTTAGTCATGCTGGCCACATGACCTGGAAAAACTTGTCTGCGGAAGCGGACAAACACCGGCTCCCTCGGCCTATAAAGCAAGATGAGTGCCACAACCCCAGAGTCATTCACAACTGGACTTAATTGTTAGGGGTCCCTTTACCTTTTACATACAGCACAAACACAATGGCTTTGACTGCTGCAAGATGTGATGATAACCAATGGCTTTAAAAAATGGGGGATAAAATAAACTCTTGGGAGGACAGATCTAACAATGAATATTCGCCAGAGCTTCCCGGTTCAGAGGCACTATCTTGCTAAATGTCACTTGCTGGGAAACAACAGCTTTTGCTGTTCAAGCTCCGCTTGCAGGTCTTCCAAGAGGCATGTGGTGGAAAACCAGATTCTGGACTAACTGACCTTTGGTCTGATCCAGCAGAACTGCCCTTATACTGTATGTTTATGTTTCTGGCCCTCTTGGGCTGCCAAACATGCAAAAATATAGAAGTTTAACTCTGCAGACAGAACTAGCCATTACCCCTTAAAATGCATATTGAAATACTTTAGCCCCCACTCCATTTTTTAAAATCAAGTTTCTTTAACCTACAGGCTTTTAAAGAATGATGGGTGAAGTGATTTCTGTGTTTTGACACTGCTGGTTAGGCCATATGTTTGTGAGAATGGCTTTGATGTTTTGAACTGCCCTATTCTGACATAAGCGCCCTGTAACCAAGCTGATGGAGGGTGGTACAGAAATATCTTAATAAATAAATCAAATTTACTTCACGGGTCAGTCAGTCGGAACAAGAATCTTTCTGTAGTTTGCTGTTTAAGTGTGGTTGGAGACCCCATATGCTGCATGCAGACCTCAAAAGCATTGGTAGAACTTACCTTGCGTCACTGTTTTGATTATAATTAAGGTTGATACAAGTCTTAAAGGCAAATTGGAGCTTTTAAAGAATGCTGCGGACTTTGGCTTGGGATCGGTAGTATGTTCAGGAGAAATATATTGACATCCCTTCGGCACAACACCTTTAAACAGGTCTTCACCCAGTCTTCTCATTGTTGATGTCATTGTTGCATACTGTTATACAAGCAATAAAACTGTATGAAGTGAACATAGCATTCCACTAGATAAATGCAAACGTCATTTAATTTACTCTGAACAAGTCTCATCAACATTATTCATGTTTTAAATGCTTTACATCTGAGACGTATTGTCCAGATGGAAAAAGGAATATCAAAGTACACCAAGCAATATGTGAGCACCATATTATAAGCCACTATGCAGAAGGCTGTCTCTTCCTGACTGACATTCACTTCAGATAGCAAGAGCACCCAGAGAAGAACACTCGCAGATGATCTATAAAGCAGATTCCAACAAAAACTGAAATAGGTGTATAAAAAAGCCTATTATATAAAAGAATAACATGTTATAACTGACTTCAATGGAATGCAGCTTTATCCTGGCCATGAATGCATTTCACGGAAGTAAGGTGCGTTAAAACCCAGAAAAGGTTATGTGGTTAAATCTAGAATTCTAGCTTTTCCTGCAATATCAGATCTTGATTTTGGCATCCTATTCACAATAAAATAAGAATCTTCTACCTAGCAGAAGAATTGCGAACGCAAGTACATTAGTACTGAAAGCAATTTACCCAACATATAAATGATAATAAATAACAACTCCGGGTCAAATTCAGATCAAGTAAAACATTGGACCTTCCACAGAGAAGCAGTGTTAAATGCAAATGAACTACTTTGCATGAATACTTCTTACCTGTGTGCCTCCATCTAACTGCCTGATAGCCCAGTAAATGAATTTAACCACATGCATGTGCAAGTCAGGATTCACAAAGGGCATCCACTGAAACTGTTCAGCAACTAGAGGCAAAAACTGGAAAACACAAATATATCATTACTGTCTTTTTTTCTCTTTCCAAAATTTGGGTCCTACCGATAGATCCTATTTGCGAGCTATTTCCAGTGGATATTTTTCCTGTGATGCTTCGTAATCTCACATGAAAATCACCTAAGCAAAAGACAAAACCAGCAACATGGTTGGCTGACTAGCACCATGAATGTTGCTTTACTTCCAAGAATGTGCCTTGCTTAGTAATTCAGACAAATTCAATGCTGTTGTCAATGCTAATATTGCTACCTTTAAATTCTGGAATTCTGAAAAAGACAATACTGTAAAAAATATTTTTTTGCAGAAACTTCCAATTTTTTTTACTAGTGGGGAAAAACCCCAATCCTGTCCTCTCTCTATACTCCTTGGAGTGCACAAACAAGGCATGCAAGCAGCAGCTGCTATTTGTCCCCAGCATCTTACATGCCTCTGAACACAGAAGTATCAGTTAGCTATCATTAATATCACAATGTAAGGCTTTTGAGTACATTAGCAATGTAGGGGAAAGCTGCACAGGTTGAAGGAGATGGTGTAGTCAAATGGCATATACAGGCTATTGTGGCAACACACTACCCAATGTGGTTGGAGAGTGCCATCTGGGAGGGGCCCAGTGAGCAACAGAAGCATATAGAAACTCTTGTAGGCAGCATTTATTTACATGGGAGAGCTCAAGGACGGCTCTTATGGGCTTCTGTTAGGCACCACCAGCAAGGGCAGCAATTGGGAGCAATTGAGCAACTCTGTTACCTTTGGTGATGTTTCCAAAGCACAACTAGGGAAGAAAAAGCACCGCCAGTTCCAGAGTGTGGGTGCTACTGACTCCAGGTGTTTTCTCCATGCCGAGGTGTGAACAAGGAACAACATGTCAGCCAACAGCTGTTGGAATAGGAGCCTTGTAGGCACCTACCCAAAGCAAGTAGGAACAAGCTCGACATCAGCTACATCAGACAGAATTCTAGGATCACACACTACATTGTAGGTGTATTCATGCCACATCTAATCACTACTTTGCCATGATAAATCATAACACTTGTGCTTGGATTGCTTTTTAATAGCCCATCGAGGGGATAGTCTAACCTCTCAGTTAGATTACGGCAATGCGTTATATGTGGGGTCACCTCTGAAGACAGTTCAGAAGCTTCAGCCGGTGCAGAAGTCAGTGGCCAGGTTACTCACCAGGGAAAGACAGTTTAAGTATATAATAATGCCAATTCTGGCCTGACTGCACTGGCTGCCAATTAGTTTCCAGGCCCAATTTCAAAGAGCTGGTTTTGACCTATAAAGCCTTTAACAGTTCAGGAGTGCCTCTCCCCATATAAACCAACCTGGACCATGCAATCATGACCTCCAGGTATAGGGCTGTATATAAATTCAATAAATAACAGCAACAACAACTGGAGGCCCTTCTTTGTGTGCCTTCTCCACAAGGTCCAGAGGATGTCAACACAAGAGCGGTCCTTTTCTGCAGTGGCTCCCCATATGTGGAATGCTCTCCCCAGGGAGGCTCGCCTGGTGCCTTCATTATACACCTTTAGGCGCCAGGCAAAGGCATTCCTCTTCTCCCAGGCCACTGGCTAATTTAAAAGGCCTGTAACCTTTTAAACTGTGTTTGGGGTGGGGTGCTTCTGTTTGTTACGATGGTAGGTATTTTTGTGTTTTTACTGTATATTGTAAACTGCCCTGTGATCCTCGGATGAAGGGTGGTATAGAAATCTAATTAATCTGGGATTATAGGAAGCGATTGATAGAGTAACACTAATGCAGGGAATGGGGATTCTATTCTGGGCAGCAGATCTCTATGCATGCATTTGAACTACTGTATCTGGAACAGATTGCTGGATCAGATGCTAATGTTTATTTAAATGGAGATTGCAAAAGCCAGTTAATGAAGTATTTATTGCAGTTAAGATTTTTCCAACTACAACGGAAGGACCCAACATTCCACATGCTCACAAATGTGTTCCTCTGACAAACAGTATGTCTGAAGTTGTTCCGACATTAATAGGCTTTAAATAGTTTCTGTATGAAACCTGGTAGATAGAACACATGTCCCACATGTGTACAGAATTAACAGGGGAATCCTACATTAGATGTCAGTCACACTGTGTCCATTAAGGCTAACTCTAGGTAAGTGTTTAGGATTGGAGCTTAAAGATACACAAAATACCTTTGTTTTGTAATTTTATATCACCTTCTACTTGGAAAAAAAAAGTATTATATTCAACATTAGCCCCCTGTAAAGGCCCTGTAATTAATGTGTGTGACTAAGTACTCTTAGTATGACTAACTTTGGATACAACCTTTATAGGTTTATACAATGATATGAAAGCATTAATCAGAGTGGCCTGGATAGCATCCAAATCAAGATAAGCAACGTTTGTATATATGGAAATGCTGTGATCATACATAAGGTTATATCACAGACTGCACCCTGCGAACCTGAATAGCTCAGGTTTGGAGAGCACATGGCTCAGTATTATGAAAATGAACACGAATTCTGGGGCCTACAGCATTGTTAGACACACATCCAAATATAATACAAGCCGTTTTACTGTAAAACAAGATGTAGGAAGGAGGAACCCTACCCTGATACACTTCTCCTGTGTGTAGTTTCTGCTGGAAGCAAGCACGCCTGTCAGAAGACATTCAGAAGCTTTCTCTTCCTCTGCTACCAGTTTGCTCAGGTGCTGATCTGAGATCCAGTCCATTAACACCGTTAAAAGGTCATATATGTGTGAATTAATTGGTATCTGCAAACATAAGAGTGAATCTCTTAGGGCACAATTTGAAGAAGTTCTTTACTATGAGATAGCTATCTAAAGCGTGCATTGACTTGTGCTGTCTGCACTGCAACACACATCTGACTTGCATCAAGGGCACTGAGAGCATATGCAAATCTGCCTGGGGATAATGGTGATGTACTGGTTTGAAGAAGGGGAAAGTTACTCCATTTCAGCATCATATACATGGATGAGAATTCCTGCAGGATTGACACTGGGAGGGCAAGTATTTTTTATTACATTTCTAAACACATTTCTGGTACCTTCCTCTGTTGAGGTATGTCATTTTTCTTTTTTGGGGAGGGGGGATTCTTCTCATTACAAGTTCCTTCTTTTCAGAAATCCATTTTTTGCCTTTTCAGTTTCAATTAACCCCGGCCAGTGTCTTCTCAGAAACTAAATATAACCCAAGCTTATTGGAATGGGAGACATATTTGGAAAGAATATTTTCAAGAGTACAGTGGTACCTCGGGTTAAGAACTTAATTTGTTCCGGAGGTCCGTTCTTAACCTGAAACTGTTCTTAACCTGAAGCACCACTTTAGCTAATGGGGCCTACCGCTGCTGCAGTGCCACGAGAGCACAATTTCTGTTCTCATCCTGAAGCAAAGTTCTTAACCTAATTTCTGGGTTAGCGGAGTATGTAACCTGAAGTGTCTGTAGCCTGAAGCGTATGTAACCTGAGGTACCACTGTACTATTTGCCCTACAACTCCCCTCTCAATAAAATATAGCAGTTCCAAACCAACATGTCCTTGTGCATGCAAGAGAAAGAGAAAATGAACTTGTAAAATCTGGAACTGATTACTGAAAAAATATTGACTTACAGACTTAGAGAAAATAAAATGGTTGGGTGTTGATGAGTGAATTCTATAATTAGATGATGATGATGAAGATGATGATAATTTATTATTTATACTCCGCGCATCTGGCTGGGTTTCCCCAGTCACTCTGGGCAGCTCCCAACAGAACTAAAAGCACTATAAAACATCAAAGGTGCAGGACAGAGAACCAGAAGTCTTTTTATATTTGGTCAGGGCTCAGCCTGACTCCCCTTCCCTTTTTGGATAAGAATTAGTACGAAAGAGGCCTCCCAGCATTCTCACAGGCCCATATAAGATCAGCATACACAGTTGGGCCTGATGAGAATTTACTGTTCCCAACCCAAATCCTGCGGAAAGCCATCTAATTCAGATTTTAATTTAATCCTGACTTGTTTTTAAGAGGTGATTTAATTATTGTTTGATTTTATATCAATGTTTATATTTGATGTTAGCCGCCCTGAGCCTGGTCTTGGCCGGGGAGGGCGGGATACAAATAAAAGTTGTTTATTATTCTTATTCATTTTTTCTCTTTCTCTCTCCTTTCGCTTTTCCTTCCTTCCTTCATTTCCCCTTTTCCTTCTTTCTGCCTCCATTCCTTTATAGATTAAGCATTTCTTTTACTTCAGTGTATTATAAAAAGATACTTTGTATTGAGGATGAACTTTTGTTTCTCTTTGGACAAGTATCAATAAATATAGATAAATATAGATATGCAGGTTTTGGTGTCCTCGGGTGTCTTCCCGTGTAAAAGTTGGGGTGTCTAGGCGACGTTTCGACGAGGTCTCACTCGTCACCCCAACTTTTACACGGGAAGACACCCGAGGACACCAAAACCTGCATTCCTGTACCCGTGAAAATCTACGAAAGCAAATATAGATATATATATATACATTTATCAATATAGATATATAGAATTCCCCTTTCCCCCTATAGTGTACAGCTTACTTTGTAACTTTTTGACGTTATTGTTTTTTCTGGCTTGATAACCTTTCGTTCCTGGGCTGTGTGGAAAGCTTCTTTAGATTTCTGTATGGATAAAAACTCATGCTTCCGCTGTAACGGGACAGGGTGAAAAGAAATTACATGAGGCTTTTTTCCCTGCAAAGCTGACAAACAATACAAGTCATATTGAAATATTACCTGCAAATTCTCTAAACGAGCTTGCACCTTTCGAGACTGGCCTTCCAGCTTCTTGTTTTGCTCACTTACGTCATTTAGCTAAAAAAGAAGAAGTGGAAGATGCTGAGCCAAGCCTTACAGATAAAACTTTTCTGTTATGTAGTGGGCGGTTCACAAATAATTCCTCTCTTGCTCATAAAACTGTCTGGGTAAGTCCTCCCCACCCTTCACGGCTTGCAAGAATGAAGAGAACTAGAGCCACCCCTTTATCCTCCTTTACATATGCAAAGAACAAGCTGCCAGGAGTTTGCAGCTGCAATTCTAAACACATTTATGGAGAAGTCAGTTTTGCTGAAAACCAAGGAACATGCTTTCACGTCATTTTTTTAGTGCCGAGATGAAAGACACACGAGCCACTTCAGGGTGACGGCATCCTTTCTGTGGCGTTTTTGAAAAGCAGTGTCCTGCTCCGTGGTGAGGCGAGGCAAAACTCCAGCTGGGTACAAGGCTCAGGCCATGCTATCGGGATGCAAAACTTCAGCAACAAACAAAATGAGACTGGGAACTATAGAGTGGCAACAGCTGCCTTCCAATTGTCAGCCCTGTTTGCACTGGAAGATGCTTAGAGGTTCATCCTGCAGCAGTAGCCTCCTACAGCGATACCTCTGGATACGAACAGGATCTGTTCCGGAGCCCCGTTCGCATCCAGAAGCAAACGTAACTAGTGACGGCATGTCTGCGCACATGCATGTCGCTGCTTCTGTGCATGCGCGTGACGTCATTTTGAGCATCTGTGCATGCGCGAATGGCGAAACCCGGAAGTAACACGCTCCGTTATTTCCGGGTTGCCGCGGAGCACAACTCGAACACGCTTAACATGAAGCATATTCAACCTGAGGTATGACTGTACTGTGATAAGAATTGGGGAGCATCTGGTCTCACTGGCTCTCAGAATTTGAGGACAGCAGTGCCACAGGCTCATCTGGTGAAGGATATATGGGGCTCCTGCCCTTTCTGGTTTGGAGTCCTCGACTTCACGTCCTTAAAAATTCTGGGTGCCTGACAGGCACGTGTGTGTGTGTGTGTGTGTATATATATATATATATATATATATATATATATATATATATATATATATATAGTGCGGTCAATATTTGTAAGAGCCACAATGGGCCAAGGCTCCATCAGACAGACAAAGGCTCCTGAAACAGAACAGATGTAGCCAACCTGAAGCTCTAAGAGACCCACAAGCGTTGGAGTGCACAGCTGACAGAGAGAGAAGCACTTGAACTCAAAAGCAAAGCAACTACAACATTAGGTGCAAACATTCTGGTGCAGCAGCTATGCTTTTAAAATAATTGCAAGACCTCTTCAATAAGATAGTATTACACTAGGCTAGCATAAGGAAAGTGCGAATTACGTTTAACTATTCTGGTTACTATATTTCTTACCCAGCATCACCCATACACCATAAAGCTAACAGAAACTGTAATAACCATTTAATATTAGAACACTTTACAAAAAACATTCTGTTTATAACATCTAAAATGCCTGATTTGTGTGTATATTATTATTTATTATTTTTTAATTTATTAAATTTGCTTACCGCCCTTCATCTGTAGATCTCAGGGCGGTTCACAACATAAAAATACAATATAAAAAACACTTGCCTGTTGTCTTAACGCATCATTCAGTTCCTTCAAAGTTTCAAATGATGATTTAAGCCTTTTGTTTTCCTTTGCTTTTTCTTTCAAAGCTTCAGACAACTGCTGAATTTCAGCTTCATGTTGCTAGAAACAAAATGAAGAACTTGTAAAGAAAAGGCTTAGCAGTTTTGTGTTTTTGAAAGCATTTAAAGGATCCAAAATCACATTGAAATTATGAGTCACCTTGTCAACATTCTTGACATAATGTGAATCCAAGACTCTTAAGATGAGTAAGGTAGAAAAGAAAAATCTAAAAGAAGATAAAACTGGAACTTATCTGTCATTGTGCTACTCACATAAGTACCCTGCTCAGTGGTACAGGCCAGACTTAGGAGTGCCAAGTGAAATATAAAGAAATCGATCCCCAATTGTATGCAAGTATATATACTGAATGTCCAAATTCTGATATAAGCACTTCAGTTACCTCCTCCCCAGTCCTCTGGATGTCTATGCACCATACTACCAGTGACTAAGCTTTGGCCATACAATCCCTCTCATTCTTCTGTTTTTCTAGTTACCCTCCTCAGAACACCCTCCTAAATATCCAGACATTATGCCTCTTGATCATCCAAAATGCTACTTGTTATGTTTTCCAGTTCTCTTCCTTATGCCTTTTCATAATTAGCTGCTATGGCTACATCTGGATGGTTGTATGAGCTTCCTGACCCCATAACCAGTCACTTTACACAAGAGCTGGGAGGGCTTGTCTCCTGCCTGACAAGAATAAGAGGAGGAAAGTGACTGCTTGTGGGTGCCCAAAGCTTGTTCCTATCTTGACTTATCACCCTGTGATACGATTGAATGTGGCTTGCAAGCGATAAGGGAGCGCAATTATTTTAATTTAGATTGTTTCTTTAGTATAAACTTGTATGATCGCATAAATTATCTGGGGGAAATTTTACTTGCGGCACTACAGCATACAGAATATTACAGAGCGGTAACCTAAAAAGGAATATTTCCCTCTGGTGCACTGTTAGTGGCATAGGAGAGCTAAAAAAACCAACAACACACATCTGGCAACCAATGTGTCCCTTTGGTTTCAGATAGTACATAGGTAGAAAAGTCTGAAAAACCTGGGACACCAATTTTCACACACACACACCCACACACCCATGGCCATGGTGGCTCATTTACCCGAAGTAATGTATTTAGCATTAACTCTGGAAGTGTATATTTGATTCTGACCAAACTAAGCCTCCTAAAGCAAAATATACATCAGCCTCTAGAGCAAGGCTTATGTATGTTTTAGTGGAGATTCCTGCATTGCAGGAAGTTAGACCAGAAGCCCCTTGAGGTCTCTGCCATCTCTACAATTCTACGTATCAAGTAATGAGAGTTGCTTAGCTGAGATGTGAGAATAATTCCCACCCTTGTGAATATTTTAGCCAGAAACATTTTCCCCTGGTAAAGAAGCATTTTTAGAAGTAACCATACCTCTTTCATAATTTGAAACTTTGTGTGAACTTCCTCCTCAACACTTCTTATCTTGGTCAAAGCAGCTTCATGTCTACAAAGCAGGGTCTCTCGTTCCGCCAAACAGTGCTCACGTCTTTCAAGTTTTAAAGCATATTCCTCCTGGGCTAATTTTTCTTGCTGCATCAGAATAGAAGAGGAGCACAAACTGTGGTACTGTGAGTAAATTTTCACAAAATCCAGCACTTTCTTTTTAAATGTAAGTCATCCCTGCAATTAAGTGTCAGAAGAAATGACTACTCCACAAAAGATGCGCTAGTCTGCCTTCCTTCCTTAATGTACCTTTGGCCTCAAAGGGCAGAGCTGAATCTTTTCCGATCACTGGTAACAATGAAGGTAGCTTTAATAAGCTCGTATATAGCAAAGAAGACTGAAGTAAGCAATTATTTTTTTAAAAAAATTTTTATTACATTTTCAGATACAAAGTCAGAAATATAAGAAACATAAAAAAAAGAAAGAAACATAGAAAGAAAAAAGAAACAATCCAACTTTCAAAAACATTTTTACATTGCCAACTGGACTTCCCCACATCTCCCTCACCCTGCGTTCTTTACAATAAACATATCAGCAAATTATTACCTTGTTTCATACCTTATTTGTATCTTTCAAATATTATACTTCTAGATTTAAAGTACTTTTTTATCAGTTACTTATACCTTAAAATAAACATAATATAACTTTAAATTTCAACCTTTTCTTGCTTATAACTTAATTTCCTGTTCACCAAGTCTAGCTGCTAAAGCTAGAATTTCCAGATCATGCAGATTCTTAACATTCATACAACTTATAGTGTTTTTGTAAATAGTCTTTAAATTTTTTCCAGTCCTCTTCCTGAAGTAAGCAATTAAAGTAACTCAGTCATAACCACATTAGCTGCATATGGTACTGAAGGTTACACATTTTTATATGACAGCCTAGATCAAACTTTGGTTAAAAAATTTGAATTTCCTCAGTTTGAAATAGTATTTTACATACTTTAATATTAAAATTATATACAGATGTAAAATTCAATAATATAAAACTGGAAACGTTGGTTAAAATTGATGTTTATGGCACTGCAACATCTAAACAATCAAATAATTGAGGAAAATTTGTTGATTAGAAAAACAGAAACATGATATTAACAATAAGGTCATGCCACTGCAGGACAGAGAACAGTAAGAAAACATACATGATGTACATTAAATTAAAATTACTATTTGTAATTTTTTAAAAAAACCTACCGGTAGATCATTATTGATTTTTACCTGCAGCTTTTGATGTATGATAGATAATTCGCGATAGATTTGACTGAAATGAGATGGTATCAAGTTTTTCCCATTTAGTTCTTGGGTTTCAAAAACTCTCACACTCTCTCTTGCTGGTTCACCACCACTATCGTAATCACAAGATGTGGTCACTGTCAAACTAGATGGCATAGTAATGTCTAATGGGTGAAAACAGACACAGACATGCTCAGAAGCTCAGTGTACCATTCCTCTGTTTAGGGGAACTGTAAATGGGTGTCACCAATATACTGATAACACTCCCCTCCCAATCCCCAGATGATCACTCTCATGTTGAAAGGCGTGTGGGCTCCATTGCACAAACGCTCTAGGGGCCAAGCAGCCCCAGGACCTTCTTTTGCAGTCAATTCTCCAGTGTAAGAGCAAAACTACTACTTGCAGAGCCTGCCCAGGATACCATAGCTACTGAATGTTGTTGAGAAGTCCAGAAGCAGCAGTGTCGTGATATTCATTGTAATCTCATCCTGAAGGTGTAACGTCTTATTACTTGGCAGACAGATGTCTGGCTACCACTTTAGACTCTGAAAAGCTATCACAGCTACAGTGGTGCCCCGCAAGACGAATGCCTCGCAAGACGGAAAACCCGCTAGACGAAAGGGTTTTCCGTTTTGGAGGTGCTTCGCAAAACGAATTTCCTATGGGCTTGCTTCGCAAGACAAAAATGTCTTGCGAGTTCCTGCAGGGTTTCCCCCCCCTTTTTCCCAAGCTGCTAAGCCGCTTATCAGCTGATCCGGTAAGCCGCTTAACAGCTGACCGCTAAGCCGCTTATCAGCTGATCCGCTAAGCCGCTTAACAGCTGACCGCTAAGCCGCTTATCAGCTGATCCGCTAAGCCGCTTATCAGCTGATCCGCTAAGCCCGCTAAGCCGCTAATAGCGCTAATCCGCTAATCCGCTAATGGGCTTGCTTCGCAAGACGAAAAAACAGTAAGACGAAGAGACTCACGGAACGGATTCTTTTCGTCTTGCGAGGCACCACTGTACTATGCAAAGGCATTTTAGACTGCAGTTGATTATTGGAATTGTGGGCTCTATGCTGTTTTTTAGGTTTTTGTTTTGTATTGGTGTAGCTGGATTTGTAGCTGGTTGACTGACCGAACCCAAAGAGTGCTCAGTAATGGTTCCTCTTCATCCTAGAAAAAAGTGACAAGAGGGGTGCCACAAAGTTCTGTCTTGGATGAAGGTATCGAGGGGGTGCTCATCACATTTGCAGATGACACCACACTGGGAGAGGTAGCAAATGTCACTGAAGACAGAAATGGGATTCAAGACGACCTCAACAGATTGGAGAACTGGGCCCAAACTAACAAAATGACTTTAAATAGGGACAAATGTAAGGCTCTACATTTAAGCAGGAACAACCAGCCGCACAAATATAAGGTGGGGGACATCTGGCTTGCCAGCAGTACATGCGAAAAGCATATTGAGGTCACAGTAGACTACAAGCTTAACACGAGTCAACAGTGTGATGCAGCAACAAAAAAGCTAATGTTAATCTAGGCTGCATCGACAGATGTATAGTGTCCCAGTCAAGAGAAGTAATAGTCCTGCATTATTCTGCCTTGGTCAGAACAGAAGTCTAAGTGGACCTCCAGTCTAAAGGTATACTTTGGTTCATCTCAAATGGGAATAAAGCTTCATCTCCTTCCTGTGAGAGCAATGCTTACTGTTGTAAATTTTGGACATAAAAAAATGCAGTTAACTAGAAATGCTTCCAATACATTGCTTTGTTGCATATAAAGAGCCGTTATGTAGCTAGCAACACAGGGTTATGTTCTGCTGCCCATGTGTAGAAGAACACAGGCCAGCCAGGCAAGACACTTCTAATAGTAGAACAAAGGGATACTCGCCCACCTGTCTGGAATTCGGAAGAGATGCCTCCCGCATTGGCACAGCAATCATTGCCACTGTTGCATCCATGTAATGGGGGGGGGGGGAAGGATAAATTACCCATCATGCTTTCCAACTAATTTAACACAAAACTTCACCTGTGAAGATGTGAATTAAGAGAGGGGGCATAGGCATAGTCTGAACTGTAACTTACTACCTCGTATAAGATGTCACTACCAATCCTGGAGTAAATGTGCTAGAAAAAAATCATGCAGTAAGTCAGCTGAGCTGCCAGTTACATATTTCATTTAATTTCAAGCTGCAAATGGGCTATCAAATGAGATTTCCTTTGAGTTGCATTAGAATTCATAAGAATGTGATTACCTGATTCTGAATACATGTCTCTGGGAAAATCTCCAACGAACTCAGGCTGTATGTCACGTTGACTTGAGCCATATAGAGAATCCAACTCATCACCCTGCCTAATAGACACAAAATGATTGCATTAAGCTGCACACTGTATAAAACAATGTTCGTTCACATTCCTTGTACAGTGGGAAAGATATCCGATAAAACTTTCAGATCTTAAAATATATTATTCCAGAGTACAATGATGAGATTCAGCAGTATGCTTTACAGCAAAAAGAAAAGACTGGCTCAAAGAGTAAAATGGTTTTCTTACCGACTTAAGTTTTTAACATTCTTTGAAGTGTCTGGAAAATGCTTTGTATTTTGCTTTCTTCTATTGCCAGTATATTCTAACTGTGAGGAGCATTTGAGTAACGATGCAATTGTATCATCAAGTGAGCTGTCCATTTTCTCTGCAAGGAAACAAAACAGGATTGTGCTAATTAGAAAAACAGAGCCACCCTGCTAATGTACCCAGCACGAGTACCTGAAAACCCTGCTAATACCTTAAAACATGCATCTAACCACAAGAGCCAGTCCCCACAAATCTGGGACTAGGGAGAGCGAACTCTGGATGAAGGAGCAAATCCTAGGAAGTCTTCAGCATTGGCAACTGGTTTAATATGTAGCCATTATAATGATTAGCAACTTGTCCACTCCCCACTTCAAAAAAGACACTTTGCTGCATTTATAAAGCCAGCGGAAAGGGGGGGAAAACACCCCCAACCTCCACAATTCATAGAGAATTGGAGAGAAGAGTTTTTGTGTTGGGCGTGTTGGACAGAAGCACTTGGCTATAGGAAATGCAGCAGAGTGAATGAGTTTGAGAAATGCTTATCAGAAGCTCTTATTTTGTATACAGGCGGCGACCATTTTGCAAGCATCCAACTGACGGGCGACCGCCGAAACATGCACCACTTTCAGCCCCGGAAGGGACGTGCACAATGACTGGGAACGCAAGACTTTGACACAATAGAACAGCTACTCTCTGACTTAAACATCGAGACCACCTGCTCTTAAAGGTATTCCCAGGTTTGTTAAGAAGCTAGCATGGGAGCAGAGCACTGGCCCACAATCCTAACCATATCTTCTCAGTGGGACTTACTTCCTGTCTAAAACTCCCAAATTATTAACTTTCTACTGCACCTAAAACTCCTAGGTTCGGTAGCATGGGTACTTATCTGCAGGCTGCAAACTAAAGACAATACGAATTAGGAAAGAATAAGAGATTAAAAGGCATAGGAAGGTCAGACAGAAAAGGCCAAAGAAAAGAAATGCATCCTTGTGCTAAGAAACTGTATCCCCATTCTATTTTCCTAACTTTTTCATATAAAAAATTAAGAATTCTTTTAAACAAATAGATCAAACACCTTTTAAAATGCCATACCTGTAGATATTAGGGACCTTCTACTTTTGCATTTGGCCTGTGCTGCATCCAGAGAATTATTCTAAAAGAAGAAGTTTGTTCTATAATTACTAACATCAAAAATATGCTGGCCTGTTACATCTACACAATGTGTGTTTATTTGATTGTTTTGAAGTGACATTTCACCTTTAAACAGGAAAGGGTTTTCCATTAAAAGTTTACAAGAAATCAAAAGTGTTTTCCTTAAGCCAGCCCTTAAACAAAATATTTAGCCAACGGTGTGTTTGTGTGTGTGTACACACATAAAATATGCAAGAGAACACTAAGAAGAAGGGGGAGTAAATACAGAGAGACATTTCAAATACTGGTCTTCATACAAAGGGGCAAGTATCTGTCAGAAAGTTCCACAACTTAATCGAATTAAGTCTCACTCTTTAAGTGTTTTATTATGTTTTGTGCATCTTTTTGTTCGTTTGTTTAATGAGAGGGGCCCCTCAACAGCTGGAAGTAGCCAGGGCCCCCCCCTCTGGGCCTGAGTATGCCTCTGGGCATGTGCAGAGTGGCTTCCCAACCCAAAACAAACAGCAACTCATCGTCGTACATTTAGGTCTGCAGGCTGAAGGCTTTTCCGGAGGACGGGAGCCACCAGCACGTGAAGAACCGAATAGGTGAGCGGCCGGAATTAAAGTGCTACACGAGAAGGGGGGGAAGCCGGCAGCACTCCTGGCCCACCCCGCGTCTCGTGGGAATGGAAGAACACGCATTTGCAGTTTGCCCTCCTGTTCAGGCAGCTGTTCCACACACGCAAGCCCAGCCTCCCTCACGCATTCCCGCCCGCAGGAGCCCCACCTGTCCGTCCAGGTAGCGTCTCCTCCAGCGCTCGACTGAGGGGCTCAGCTCGGCGGAAGCCGCCATTGGAGGAAGGGAAGACAGTCAAGCAGCCCGCGGCCGCCTCCGCCACTCACAGCAACGGCCCGAAAGGGGAGGGCCGAGGATAGGCCGAAGGGCGCCTGCGCGAAGACGCTCATTACCGCGGTTGCCACGGACAACGAGGAGCGGGAGGCCGCGCGGCCCTGTTTCCAAGGCGGCGCTCGACCTAAGACCCTTCTTTCCTCACCCGCCTCCGCGGGAGGGGGAATCAGCTTGTTTCTCTTTGACGCCGCAGGAAGGGGAGGGAACTCCCTGGAGGGTAGTCCCATTTCTATGTAGAAGAGAAGAGCTGCCTGCCTGGGGATTGTATAGTTGGAAGGGATCTCCTGAGGTCATCGATCCCAACCCCCTCCCGCCACGCAGCAGGATTCTCCACTTGGCAGAAGTACTTCTGCGCTTTCCCCGCTCCGTGACCTGGAAGTTTTTTGAGCATATGTTGCATGGCTATTTGCTTTGTATGCTTTTTGGCTGAGATGGCATTGCAGGGGGTTAGGCTAGATGACCCTGGGGGATCGTCTAGTCCAACTCTTTTCAAATAACTTTTACTAAAAAGCCGGAAGTATATTAGATAAAGAGAGAGACTTCCGGGTTGGCGCGATCTGGAAATGGCGGATTCCCTCCGAGCTGCGGAGGGAATCGGCTCAACTGAGGACGGGTCTTGCCGCGCCGGCGACGCGGGGACCCTCAAAAACCGCAGGCGCTGAAGCCTGCGGACTGAAGACTCGGCGGGCACCCTAAGCGCCCCCCCGATTCACGAAGAGCCTTTTTAAAGGCTGCGGAGAGGATACGGAGGGTGGCGTGGTGCTGAGAGTCGATCGCTACCTTGGTTGAGCGCAGCCGCGAGCCATGACTGGAGAGCGCTGATTCCCTTCCTTGAAATTCGGACTGAAAAGAATAACCCGTGAGTAAAAGGAAATTGGACTTTATGAATATTATCCCGTGAATTTGAGACGACCGGGGGGTGTACTAAAAGGAAGTCCGCACCCCCCCTTCTTGCAGACGATCTAAAGCAACGAAATAAGAACTAAGCTGGAGTGCCTACCCTTTGTGGGGTGAGTTGAAAAAGACATTAACTTCCAAGATTTGGTAAAAAGTAACTTTGAGCTGAAGAGTGGAGTGTTGAAAGATCTCTTTTTGTGGTAAACAACCCCCCCCCTCCCGGGCCCGGGAGCGTCCTGCCTTTGAGCTTGTGGAAGAGGTGCGGAGTTTGACAGCTGTCAAAGCTGTCAAACGGACAGTTTAAGTGGAAAAATTGCTATTTAAGATCCCTCCGGTTTAAAATAAGTTACAATTGAGTTAAAATTGTTGGAAACAAAGTAATAACAATAAGTCGGAGGATTGTTGGAGAGATTACCAAGTAACCAGATTCCCTCTAGGGGGAAGTCTGTGAAATTACAATGGCTGTGGATGGAAAGTTACTGGTGGAAATCGAAAGAATGTTTCATTTGGTGGGAATCTTACAAGAGCAGAGTCTAGCTATGAATAAACAACTCATGACCTTGACTTCTGGAACAAGCAGCTCTGCTGAATGTATTGAGGACCTGGATGAGAAAGAATCCACAGCTGCATTGGAAATGATAACTAAAGAAGCGGAAGAGACTAAACAAGAAGAAGAGAAAGTAAAGTTGGAAAGCACCAACCAGGAGTCGGCATCTGTGGAATATAAACAAGGAGACCTTTGGATTACATCTACCACAAATCTGCGAAAGATGCAAAAGATGAAGGAGGAGGCCCCGGGAGCTTATGGAATACAGGAACTTAAAATAAAGAAATATGAGGGGGGCCTCCACTTTGATTTTGATTTTGAAGATGCAGATTTTGTGGAAATTTTCCAGCAGTTGCTTTCAAATGTTCTGGTGGGAAGAGAAAATGGTTGGATGGTGACAGAATTTTTTCGAGATTCGAGGGCCGACATAAAGGATTACCAACAAGACCGGCGGAGAGGGACCGAAAGAGATTTGAAAGCCTTGGACGTGAGGAACCCAGGCTGAGAACTGATATTTTGGACATGTATTGGGAAGGGACGAAAACCGGGGATGGGAGGGAGGGAAGAATAGAATTCTAAAAACACTCAAGACTTTTGGGTTTGGTTAATATGACTTTTATTTAAGACAAATTGGGAAATCAATGGAAGAGAATTTGAGTCCAACTTAGGAAAATTTATTTTATTTGTATTTATAAATTTTAAGATGATTAAGAAGAGAAATACCAATTTGCTGACACAATTTTGGGAAGTGGGATGCATGAAGGGGGGTGGGGGGAAGTCTGGGAACAAGGTTAAGAAAGTGGGATTTTCTGAAACTATACATGTTTTTGTCTTTGTCTTTTTGTGTGTATTTGTCTTTATAAAAGGTGAAAAGCCAATAAAAATTTCTATTAAAAAAAAAAAGTATATTAGATAAAGAGATCCTCCAAAAATATTCTTGTATGCAACCACAGCGGCTCGTATACTTGTCGCCAAGGGATGGAAAGATCACGAGGCTCCAAAAATAACAGATTGGCAAATCAAATTACAGGAATTGGTGGGGACGGCTCAGCTGCCTAGTAAACTCAGAAGAAACTCAAAGGAAAAATTTGCGGGAAAATGGGATGGTTATAGAAGATATGTTCAAAAATACAATAATAGTTTTGACTCCGTGCTAGCATTCAAGTAATAAAGAAACTAAAAGGAGGTGGACAACAATTAAGGATTTATTATGTTTTCAGAATGTATTGGAAAAATTATATATAAAGGTTTATTGTTTTGTGTACATTCGACTGTAAGATACAATATATGCAAAGGGACTTGACAGGAAGTCAAAGTTGAAGAAAAGATTTTGGAAGATAAAAGGGGGAAAAATATTTACTTTCATTAATATCATTTTGTGTGCAGGTGTGGGTGTTTGCACATATGTGTGTTTTTGTATGGAATGTTTGGGAGGAAATAAGATGGTAAATAACAAATAACAAACTAAATATTGATGTATGTAATTTTTATTAATTATATTTAGTGGTAGTGTGGCTGTATTGTTTTTTGTAACATAAAATCATTCCATAAAAATTATTTTTAAAAATAAATAAGTAGTCCAACTCTTTTCAAGATCCTATTATTCGCTGTGTGCACCCAACACGGTGAAATGGCGCTTGGCACGCTTCAACCGTTTGGACTGTAAAAAGCCACCAGCAAACCTTTTGTTAATTCCATACTTGGCTCTTGCTGGCTGGTGACTTGGATGCTATAAAAACGCGCAAGCAATGTTAACCATAAGTCTCCATGTTTGCAGCCTTCAGCAATGCAATGCTGTTGGTGCCTACTTGCGTTCCAATGAACTCCTTGGGAGTCGCTTCCAAGCAAACGCAAAAGATCGGGGCTTTTTCAGTTCAGTGCATAGGAGCAGGGGCCAGGTGGGGAGAGATTAAGAGCAAGATCTATTTCTCCTTCAAAATTCTCCACAGCAAGACCAGGTCATGAGGTACCACCACCATAATTAGCAAAGAATGATCACCATGGCAGTATTTACTTATATGCATTTATATCATTTTTAATCCACCTTTTGCCGCCAGGCAATCCTTGGTTTGGTTAGAAAATAAAATGAAATTGTTTGATGTAATTAAGAGACATAAATTGTAATTCCGTCAGCTGCCTCCTCTTAGGGGTTGCCAACGCTTTTTTGGACTGCGTGGCTATAACACAAAATTAAGAGTAGCTGCTCCTTGTCCTCCTCCCACAGTATTATTACAGTGGTTCTGATCCTACCTTCAGGCTCAAGTCCAGAGAGCATTGGGAGAGTGCCTTATGATATGGGGACTATCTTGTCTCTAGTGGTATTTAATATCTACATGAAGCCGTTGGGAGCGGTCATTAGGCATTTCAGGGTGAGGTGCCATCAGTATGCTGATGGCACTCAGCTCTATTTCTCCTGCTCAAATGAATCAGGAGAGGCCATGCAGTCCCTGTGCCATTGCCTGGACAGTGGTGAGATGGATGAGGAAAAACAAGCTGAGTTTGAATCCTGGCAAGATGGAGGCACTGTGGGCAAGTAGTTTCAGCGTCCAAGAAATTGATCAAGATGGAGTTAACCTTCAAGAGGAGCCTTCACGGGGAGTATAAGTTTGTGGGTGTTTCTGGGTCCAGCTCTGTCACTGGTGGCTCAAGTGGCTCTCTTACCAACTCTGGTTGGTTTGACAGCTACAGCTATTTCAGGACCATGAACAGTAGCTCATGCACAGATTACTTCCAAGATAGGATTGGTGCAATGCGCTCTATGTGGGGCTTCCCTTTCACTTGATCCAGGAAGCAGGCAGTTTCAGCATATAATATCTGCTCAGAGATCTGCACTGGTTGCTAATTTGCTACTGGGCAAAGCAACTTGGGACCAGTTTACCTACAATATCACTTTACCCCATGTCCATTCAACTGGCAGAATTAACAGACTACCCATTTTGCATTTGTAAGAACTGCATTGTATAGTGTGGCAGTACCTGCACTTTGGAACCCCTTGCCTATTGAGATCAAGTAGGTGTGCCTTCCTTGTGCTCTTTTTAGCACCTGCTAATACATTGTTTAGACAAGCTTATCCAGATGCTAGAAAGTTGAGACAATTTTAATCTGCTTTGAAGTATGGTTGCAATTCTTTCTCAATTTTATTTTATCCTCTTGTAAACCGCTTTGGGGGTTTTGTTTTGTTTTGTTACAATCAAGTGGTGTATAAATTTTATGACATAGATAATAAAATAAATAAATAAATGGTGTCCAAAAGTACTGAATAGAGATCAGCAGATTCCAATTCTATGATTTGTTCACTAATATACAATTATGGCTCATGTGAATGAACCACTGCAGACTGCTCAAAGCCACACACTTAAATTTACACATGCAGGCAGTCAAGTCAACATAAATGTTTTGGGGTTTTCTGTTGTTCAAGGAAGTCAAGAGAGGAAAGTAGTAACCACACACTAGTTTGTAATTTTATTTAAACCATTCAGTTAAACTGGGAAATTGCACAAATCAGAGTAATAGAACTTCAGAGTCGTATTTAATTTTAAATCATTTAATACAAAAATGGGGATGAAACAAAAATACACCTAAAATTTACCAGTGTTTGAACTTTTATTTCACAACATGCAGTCAATTTAAACACTAAAAAAGGACTCAGCTATAAGCTGTAACTTTACATTTATACATCAGAAATGTTCATTTTAAAAGAAGCTGAACATAATTTTGTCTAAATCTGAACATTTATTTTAATCCACATACAGGTAATAGCAATGATTTTATATTTGACCACAGTCTGTAATCGAAATTCTTTTTGACACTACTCCTTTAGGTGAGCCAAAAGATTCTATTTTTTTCACGACATCCATCCCATCCTTTACAAACCCAAAAACAACATGTTTAAAGTCCAAGTGCTCTGCTTTTTTGAGAGTGATAAAGAATTGGGAATTATTGGTGTCTCTGCCACGATTTGCCATCGACAGTAAGCCAGGGCCAGTGTGTTTTATTTCAAAGTTTTCATCCTCAAATGCTTCTCCATAAATGGACTGGCCACCTGTACCATCTTGTCTGGTGATATCACCTCCCTAGAATGTAAACAAATAGAGAAAATTCACTTGGTTATAGTACATGTTGAAACATCTGAAATGTGTGTGGAAATACATTTTACCAGCACAATGTGGTGTCCCATCTGGTGTTCTCAACTGTTAAATCAATAGTGGTTTCATTCAGCTCCTGTGTTCAGCTATTGCAGCAAACCATGATGAGTCATTATATTATGTACACAAGCAGCAGCAAGTCTCAGGTAGATGTCATTGGAGCCCAAAGCTCACCAACACTCACACACGTTAATAACAAACCAGGGTTTGTCAGGTTTGAATGCAGTCATGGTTTTCACTTACATTTGCCTTTCGTTTTCATATATAAGACTGTAAGATGTTATGTCCCACTAGCTTCAGAGGCTAGCATAACTACACTTGTTCCTTCATCCTGTCACTGATCAGAATTAATGAGGGGAAACAGTGAGCCTAGAAATGGTTTCTGATTGTTCTAAGGCAGGGGTGGGGTACCTCCAGACTGTGGGGCCTAACTGGTCCTGCCAGAGCTCCCAATTTGACCTGAAGTGCCCACCTGACTCAGTAAAAAAGGTGTTTTGCTTTCAAAGGGGCATCTGAACACCCCACAAGCAAAATCGGAAAGCTGATGTCATTATGACATTAGGTGTTTCACAGAAGTGCAGCTCTGTCTACATGTCAAATATGATCCCCATATTTAGCCTAGCTAGCTGGGCAAAAACATTTGCCACCCCAGGATTTAGTGTCCATTTACATTCTTTGTGTAGGTATACATCTATTGGATGCAACTGAAGTAGGTAAGAGAAAATGAGAAGCTAACTTGGCACTAGAGAAACTACAGAAGTAATGGAATATAAATTGAGAAGCAAGGCCCCAGATTAACTTCCAGACTTTCATGATATGAAAAGCTCATATCATGTTTCATGTTTCTACTAATTTGCTTGCAAACTAGAACTTTTCTACTGAGCCTTAAAATATATTCCTGTTAATCAATGTGTAGTATGAAATGTATGTTCAATCTTAGCATTTTCACTTACTTGACACATAAAATCTGGAATTATTCTATGAAATATGGAATTTCGGAATCCAAATCCTTTTTCTCCTGTGCATAATGCCCTGAAGTTCTCAGCAGTTCGCGGAACAATATTCGAAAACAATTCTATGGTTACATGACCTAGAGGTTCGTCATCAGCTGAAACTTCAAGATATACTATAGGGTTAGATTCCTTTGACAATTCTGCTGCCAGAGAAACATGACCCTTCTGTAACTCTGACAAGCTTTGTTGACATTCTTCAAATTTCCTCTTGAAGGAATCAGCCAGCTCTTGGCTTTTAAATCTGACAGCAAGCTGTTCTATCTTGGCTTCACCATCTGAAATTAAGATTGCAAGTGTTATTCATGATGTGATGATCAGAATGCAGCCTTCTTTCAACATTTGATCCTGTGTACAGCAATATGGAAGCTAGGAGTGGGGTTGTGCTGAGCAGCCCTGCCCCAGACATAGCAAACTTCATTCAGCCCTTCTCCCAACATTTGTGCAAGGATCTGTACTGAGGGGATTCTTCATTTACTTGCTGTATGCAGAAAGGTTCCAGATTCTGTGGAAACCTTCACGCTAATGCCTGCTTTCTGCAGCAGCCAGGAAAAGGGCCCAATGGAGCATCAGGGGCATAGCTACTTGGTGAAGTCCCACTCCTTGCAGCATTATGGGAACCAGCACAAGCACAAAGGGTTAGGAAGGGAATATTTCATGTATAATGGAAGGGAAATAAAGTTATAGAATATCTTTACAAATACTCACCGGCATAATCTGTTGCAGTCCAAACCATAGCATTGTTTGAAGTATTCAAGGGCTTTAGATCCATCATTTTTGTAATCATATGATTTGCACAGACTTTGAAAACTTGGTCCCTTCTCATTAAGATTCTATACCATTTATTCTGTGTATGGTAGAGGATCTTTATTTCTCCCACACCACGTTCTTTCCACTGATTGACATCTCTGTCCCATCTGTAGAGTTTTGCCCTCTCTTTGAATAGAATTTCTTCATCTTCTTCTCCTGACTTCACCTCAACCTAGCAGGGATAAGTAGTCATATTTACTCAGATCACTACTCCTGAGGTATTATAAATTCTATGTATGTTTACAAAGAAGTAAATTCCACTGTGTACAGTAGGGCTTAATCTCAGGCTAGCGTGCAAAGGATCACATTCTTAAAGTAGTATATTATTGAATTATGAGAGCTTTTTTTTTAAAAAAAATGGCCTGCATATTTCTTCCATTTTAGAGTAAGTAAAAACAACAGCCCTATTTTGCACACAAGAGAAATTGTGCAGATCACTGTCCTCACATGTGTTAGAGGAAAGAACCAACTCTTATTTTATTTGACAGATTCATATCTTACCTCAGGCAGTGATACAATTGGTTCAAAATGAATATCATCGCTATGTACAACTTCTTCATCACTTCCATCATCTTCATTGTCACCTTTAGTGGCCACTTGTCCACCAAACACAGTTGCTCCTGTATTTGCCCACTTGAAGTTTTTGTCTGCTTAGATGGGAAGACAGAATCTTAATACTATAGAAAAATATTTCTGAGATTACATTTTCTTATCCCACCCCTACAAAAAAACAATGTGATTTCACACACAATAACTCTCTTAGCAGCAAGCAGTTTCTATAAATAGTTAAGGAGATAATATGTGAATGAATGAATGGATTTATTATGGTCACAGAACAGAAATTAGACAATATGTGCATCTTACCTTTAGAACCAAAAGCAAAATCTCCAGAATTATTTGAAGCCAGATCAGCAAATGACAAGCCAGGTATGTTGCCAAGGGCAAATGTGAAAGGTTTGCTTTCTATATAAAGGGAGGGAAAGTGTTCATATCATTCTGTGGTCCATTTTACATTGCATAATAGGTCACATTGCCCCACTATCATAGCTCCAGACACAAGCTCAGGTAGAAGGAGAAAGTGAACAAGTCGGGCATAACCTCTGAAAGGACACTAGCAAGGCCTTAGTCAGTCCACTGGCGATACAATGAGTGTTCCCCACTAGTCATGGCCCCTTTCTGTTAAACTCTCAACCCTTCGTATTCTATACAATCAGTCAGTCAGTGAATGTTTATTACGACAAACAGCCAGCATATTAAACCAGAATTTCTGCATAATTCCCTATATGAACAATAAAACGATCAATATGGGGTTTAACTATCAAATTCTAAATAAAATACATATCCAGAGAAATAGAAGTTTTAATTAGCTGGAGATTCTCTGTATGCATTATTAGATTTTGGAATGTTAGTTTCCCTAGTATACGTGTCTTTCACACATCAAATGTGTATACCTTGGCTTGTAGAACTGGCATCGCTTTCTTTTTTTGTTGACAAGTCAACAGGTTTGTCATCTGCTGCTAATAACGTCTGTATAGTGTATATAGGTTCAGTGGTAGAATCTGGTTCTTCAGCTCTACTGACTGCTTCAGTTGGCTGTTCCTCCTTAATGGAGCACACATCATCAGTTGAACTGGTTACTTCTTCTACTTGAGCTTCCTGAAAAGAAATTAACTGAGTTATTTTTTAAACTGGTGCCAAGTCTTCATAGGCTCTTTATGTAACTGCATATGTAAAGTACTGGACAGTATCTGAAAACAGAACTAGCTGATCTCTAGAACAGGTATCTTCCTGGCAGGGAAAGTGGAGGAAACTAAAACTGCCAAGCACCTCTGCACCTTCAAAATGGTTTCACAGCATACTATCAAATGCTTGTTTTAGAATTGGGAATTAAAAGGAACCAGAAGTCTATATTATCCAACTCACTGTCCATGAAGTCTCTTATAAAGATCCTATTGGAATAAAGGAGGTAGACAGAATACCTCAGCCCCCAAAATTTATGAAGCTAAAGTTGTCCAACGAATCTGTAGTGGGGTAGGAGAGCTGAAAATAATGCCAATCTATTTCACATCTGGCAACCAATGCACCGCTATGGTTTCAGATAGTACATGGGTAGAAGAGTCTAAAAAGCCCAGGACACAAATTTTCATGGCCCTCTAGCAGCTATGGTGGCTCATTTACCAGAAGTAATGTATTTAGCGTTAACTCTGGAAATGTATACTCGATTCTGACCAAGCTAAGCTTCCTGATGTATATTGTGTTCTAGATCTCTTCCATGAACTTCTAGTAACAAAATGGCACTAGGGTGCAGGCAATGTGGAATATACCCCACCCTACTCTCAGCTCCAATAACAAACAAAAAGGAATAGCATCTCTGCACTTAGAAATATCGCATGTCAGGAAGAAGGAAGTCTTCCTGTTATGCCAATTTTCAAGAACTCACACGTTTGGACCATAGCAAGTCCAGCTGAATTGGTGCTTAAAAGTCCAATTCTTTTGTTACTTACATTCGTTTCTTGGACTTTTCTAAGTTCTGTTTGAAAGTCTTCTAAGTTATTGTCTTCATCAGTGTCACTGCCAATACCACACAGAAAGGTTGGAGGAAGCTTCAGGGTTTCTGCTTTAGCCTTTTCTTCAGGAGTTGGTTTCTTCTCCCACACAAGAACACACTCGCTCCCACATTCTGCTTCATTTTCTCCTTCAACAGCTAAACAGAGAACATTTTAAGATTTTACTGAAAAAAACTAGAATAAAGTGAAACCTCAAAGTACTCCAATGTTAAACTTAAAATCTCAAATAATGAAGCCTAGGGATAAGAGGTTTTTAGTAAAAAATAAAAAATTGTCCAGTAGCACCTTAGAGACCAACTAAGTTTGTTCTGGGTATAAGCTTTCGTGTGCATGCAGACTTCTTCAGATTGGTGTCTGAGGAAGTGTGCATGCACATGAAAGCTTATACCCAGAACAAACTTAGTTGGTCTCTAAGGTGCTACTGGACAATTTTTTAATTTTTATTTTGACTGCGTCAGATCAACACGGCTACCTACCTGAATCTAGGTGTTAGTAAAAGAGAAGGAGCAGAGGAGCTCTGCTGATTTCTGCATCTTTAGAAATCTCAACATTTTGCTGTAATAAATTTCTCATTATACCACCACTTGGTGTTTTCACTTGTTTTCTCAGCCTTTAATTGTAAAACTGAAGCTAAAATTGCCAAGTTTCTAGCAAGGTATCTCAAAGTGCATTTGAGGGGATTTCACCCCATATGAATGGGATTGTAACACATTCTTATTAAATCTATTCTTCTTCTTCTAATAGTGTTTAGTACTACAGGGAACACTTTAATTATTTCAGCTTTTATCTCATTATAGCAAGCAAATTCATTACAAACTTGAAATTATCATTTCCCTACACAGTTCCCCATTCTTTTATGCTGTTTTTCAAGTTATGGAACCATATAATAAATGGCATGGCAAACAATTGCGAGTCAGAATGTATTTTCATTCCCCCCAAATTCAAAATTATAGCCCTGTGCTTGCTAAGTTACAATCTTCTTCCCAAGAAAATTTACTTGTATCAGTTTCTTTCAGTTGTGCATGTTTTTTAGGTTTATCAGGATACAACTTTCCATTGAGCTTCTTCACGGCTGTTTCATAGTCCTCATCTGAAATATGAAAATGAAAGTTTGTTTACACTGCATATCTGTTATGCCACTAGCTAGCAAGTATTTGGGTTTGTATGCCCTGCTATACTTTAAAGGGAGTAACAACCTTAAGCATGGACAAAATGCAAAAGATGCAAAATAGCTTAAACAGTAAAATGCAGCACTTAAGACAACTACGGAGCTTGAAAATACCTGGGTTTTTGCCTGGTATGAGTATACTGAGTATATTTGCCTGGTATGAATATTTTGATAAACTGAGCACCAGGCAAGTGTCCCAAGTGAGGGAGTGCCACAGAATAGGGTGGGTAACCTTTCTGGCTCCACAAGCCAAATTCATATCAGGATCTGTCTTGCATGTCACAAATGACATCAGGTGTTGGGGCATCAAAGCACTTTGCAGGCAGCAACACATTGCTGAAAGCAACGTTTTCGCCTTCCTTTTTTTAGCAGCAAAAAAAGCCTGCAAGGTATTTTGAAGTCCTGACACCAGGACTTTGAAGTTCAGCTAAACAGCACCACATTAGAGTGCACAGGGGGCTTTCATGTGCATCCAAATAAAGCTGGACTGATCTCCCATTGCATCAGCTGATGCAGGGAGAAGTCAGTGCTGCTTAGCTGAAGAGTGCTATTAAGTTTCATCCTGTTCTATATGACTGACTAGGGCCAGAAACAGGAAGGTTTGTGATCCCTGAGAAATGATCTACTGCACTGTGCATGTGATACCACCCCCAACTGCCCTTCATTCATAAAGACAAATACATTTCCAGAAATGATGTTCTTCTGGACTGGACCAATGCTTCCTTCATTCCTTAATAGTATTCTGTAACTTAAAGAAGAAGAATTTTCAAGGAATGCTTCTTACCATCATCATCATCTTCACTCAGATACCCAGGTTCATTCTGGTAGCAGAAGAATGTTGGAGGTAACTTAAGGGAGTCTGCAAGAGCTCTTTGCTCAGGCGTGGGCGTTAACTCATAGACAATCAAAACATCGTCTGAAGTGGCAGTATCATCTGGCTCCTTCTTAATCTCAACTGCTGGGAAAGAAGTGAATTGTCTGAGTAAGTCTGAAAGCAGCAGCTGCACTTGAATACTAACACATTCACAAAGCAGGCAAGAAATACTTTCAACCAGAAAACAAGCAAGATTTAAAGTCAAACCAATAAGAAGAAGAGTTTAGCCACTATGAGATGGGTTGCCTTTCCATCAAGCCAAACTCATGCCATGCTTCTCCTAAGACAGCTGCTTCCAGACACAACAAATCTTCCATCCATCTATTGTCTTTTAAGTAGAACTTACACTGTGCATGTATTGTGTTTAGAAAAAAGATACTTCTGGGAAGTTCAGTGAAATGGCATAGAAACATTTTAAGTTAAAAACTTGTAAAGCAGAAGAAAATATACTTTGGATAGCACTTTAATTCCATTTTATCTTAGACCTGCTTTAGGTTGGGCTTTATTGATGTATTAAAATATGAATGTATCTTTTGTTAAGGTGGGAATAAATTGAAAGGCTGTGAAACAGATCTGTTTTTATTCATTTGGAAGCTGAGAATTCAATTTTACAGTTGTTATAACAATAAAGTCAGGCTCTTTCAAATTATTCAAATTATATATATCAAGCAGGAGCTTGGCAATTGTGCATGGCCCCAAACTTGGACTTTGAATCACAAGATTTTGACAAAGCTAAAACGTGATTTCAGTGAGAGTTGAGCACATGGAATTAAGTTATTCTCACTGAATGAGACACAATGTGTATTGCACAAGGTAGCACAAGGTAGATGACTAGATAGTAAGCATCAGTAGTAACACTGTATACCACTGCCATCAATTTTTATTTAGCCATAATAATGGCTTCAGCTATTTCATTTATCATTGTTAGGATTACTTTTGTTGTGCTGAAGTTCTCTTTCCAAAGTGTACTTTTTAAATAGGTTCATCAATACCGAGTTAACTATTCTGCTTACACAGTACTGGAAAAGAAGCAGAGTAGAAAGAGCTCACTAAGTCCTAGCAATTTGCCACTATTCTTTTCATCATGAGGTGTTCAGGTGTTTCAACATGAGGCGTTCAAAATCAGAAGCAATCTGATTTTGTCTAGCTGATCATCGTTTGCTAAATCTATCTCAATACAGCAGTTAGCCCTGTGTAACACTTAGAATGTGATCAGAACATAAAACCTACTCATGTGATTTCATAAAGAAAAGCAAATATCAGTCCCAGAAGTAGGAATTTCCAGATTCCCAGAAGTAGGAATCAATTATTAAAGTCACAAATTGGTAGATCTAAGTATGAAGTACAGATGCAACAAAATCAAAGTTTCAGACCACTTAAAAAGAATTGTATTCCTTTAAGCGCCAACACTACAATGGTTAAACTGCTCCTCAAAAGCGTCATCCTATAACACCTTACTATTTGACTAAAAAAAACTATTTCTGAAGCTATGTTGAAGCTCAGACAATCATCTCCAAGGCAAAGTCTGTATGTCAATTGACAAATACATATTAAAAGAATACATGCCAAGTACACAAAACATTTTCATGCATGCTTATTATCAGTGTGCACTGTCTCACACAAGAATGCAAGCCATATCCTAAACAGTTAAAATTAAATGTTCCAGACTTCTAGTCTCCTTCAGAATGCACAATTTAGAAAAACCACCACCACAGATAGTTGTGTTAGGTTCAGCTTTAGTAAAACACAAGCCTTGGAATTTCTCATTTCCTTATGCACCTCTTCCAATCTGCTTCAGAGGGTTGGGGGATGGGTGCATGGGAGGAAGTGTGAAAGTCCCATGGCACATGCAGAAGCCCTTGCACTAGTGGGAAAACTTCTCTAGATAGAACCCAACATCTGCAGCCATTTTCTCTTAATGAAAAATGGTCTTTCCCCAAGATGTTCCTAGGTTCTTTTAAAACATTTTAAAAAACTAATCAGATGGAGGGACACTGATTATGAAGTGAAACAAAAGCAAAAAAATATGAGGCTGGAGAGTAGTTCAGAAAACGTTCCATGAACCTCCCCCTTCCAAGAAGGAGAATATTTTGCTCTGTAGGATGGTTCAAGAACAAAAATCCTAATATCGAGACTGGGGGACAATATGGACACCTGAAACATACTTATTCCATGTCTATCCTTTTGTCCTTGCCTACCTACCATCCATCAAGCAAAATTTTAAAAAGTCAATAGTTGGGCACTCAGACAACATAGGAATCAGGCAATCACATCCAAGGATTCAATAACCAGTCTCTTACCACAACAGCTGTAAAGCAAATTCAGTCATTACTATTCTATTTTAACATGCATGTTAATTTTTCTATAATTCCATTAGCCAATAGCCTGCTAAAGTTGGGGAGCTGTCAGTGTCTTACCAAAAGTGATACAACACAACATTCAGTGCAGTATGTAAATACCTTTACTATTGGGTTGAGGGGGAGATGCGCTGGTCCAAAAGGCCATTGGGTTAGATTTAAAAAGGCTAAAATTAAATCCTAGAAAATAAAGTGTGTGGATTTAAGTATTTAATTAACTTCATTAAAGGGTCAAGGGGCGCTGCCAAACACACACACGGTCACAGACACACAGTCACAGACACATAGACTTGTCTATGATTCTACATAACTTATACTACAGTGGTACCTCGGGTTACATACGCTTCAGGTTACATACGCTTCAGGTTAGACTCCGCTAACCCAGAAATAGTGCTTCAGGTTAAGAACTTTGCTTCAGGATGAGAACAGAAATCGTGCTCCGGCGGTGCGGCAGCAGGCCCCATTAGCTAAAGTGATGCTTCAGGTTAAGAACAGTTTCAGGTTAAGAATGGACCTCTGGAACGAATTAAGTACTTAACCCGAGGTACCACTGTAATGTAATCTGGAACAGTGATCTTTCTAGCTGCAACAATTAAGACGTTCGCTTTCAACTAGCAAAACAATTTTATCAGTACAGGAAGTAATGTTGCAATACTAATCCTACTCTTTTGGGAGTAAGCCTATTGGTTTCAATACAGTGGTACCTCGGGTTATGAACTTAAATTTGTTCTGGAGGTCCATTCTTAACCCGAAACCGTTCTAAACCTGAAGCACCACTTTAGCTAAAGGGGACTCCCGCTGCTGCCGGTGCACGATTTCCGTTCTCATCCTGGGGCAAAGTTTGTAACCCGAGGTACTACTTCTGGGTTAGCGGAGTCTGTAACCCGAAGCGTTTGTAACCCGAGGTGTTTGTAACCCGAGGTACAACTGTAGAGCCTACTTCTTAGCTGACATGGCTAGGCGTTCAATGCAAGATACCTAAAAACCAAAACCAAAACAAACCCTGCTGGATTAGAACAAAGGTTCATTACCCCATTTTTCAAAGTGGCCAACCAGTTTCTAAGAAACACAAGCAGGACACGAAGGCAAGAATTTCCCTCACTCTATTGCGACAACTGGCATTCAGAAATACAATCTCTGAACATGGGGAGTCAATCTGGCAAATAACTGCTAAGATTCTCTTCTAACTCAAGATTTTACATTTCAAAGTTTTAAAGAGAAGAAAACAAAACATGAACCATGTTTTCCTTTTATTGACCTATTAGTGCCAATATTTATTCTGATCCAAGTTCCCCTCAAATTTTCATCCTCCACGACATTTTGGCAGCCTCCTGCAACTTGGCCTGCATGGGCCTGCTAGTTGAACTGCAGTGTGCTGTTGCCCACTTCTGAATGGGCAAAGTCACAACTCCTCAGCAACTGTGCTACCTACCAGTTATGTATTTATCTGTAATTCAAAGAGATACTTTTGATCTCTAAAGTGCTAAATAGCTTGGGTCCTGCATACCAGATTTTTTTAAAATCTTCCTCAAGAACGTTTATGATAACCCAGGATACATTCATTTAAAGCTTTTTCAGTATCATTTTTTCTTCTTACCTAGGGTTAAGCATTATAGATTTTGAAACTATACATCAGTAGGCAACTTAAACTCATGAAGATGGACAAGGTGAAACCTAAGTACATTTATAAACTTGAATTTGTTAAGTAAAAATTATGTAAATGCTCACCTTTTTCTAGTGTTTTAAATGAAAAATTAGGAAGTCCTTCTGCCTTGGAGGTAGCCACTTGACTTTCTCCTTTGCCATCAGAGTGTTTCCAAACAGTAGCATCACTTTCCTGATGCTCAGCACCTTTGCAGGCATCATATGTGCCATCTGGTTCTCGCTGTTTTGTGCTATGACACACTGAGCTATCGCTTTTGCTCTTGGGAGAAGCGTTAAAGCTGAAGCCAAAGAGAGATCCCGTTGCTGATGTGTTTCCAAATGTGAAAGGCTTTGATTTTTCATTGCTAAAAATACTTTTGACAGATTCTGAGCCAAAGACAAATTTGGGTGGCGAAACCACTGCTTTCGTTGGCGTCTCAGAAGTGCCCGCCGTTGGTGAAGTCTCTGCAGTTTGTGTAACTGTTTCTTCATCCTGCTTTAAATCAGTTCTCTCCCTGGTGGTTTCTTCAAGTACTGCAACAGCAATCTTTCCACATGGCGATTCCTTCGGAGTATTTGCCCGCGAAGAGAGTGGTGTGATTAAGGTGTCTTTTTCTTGAGCATGTTTTGCTTCCTCAAAGATCTGCTTAAACGAGTCAGCAACATCTTGCAGCTTAAATCGCACAGCCAAGTGCTCTACTTTCCGTTCCCCTTCAGCAAAGTCACATGCGGTCCATACCCAGGCTCGCTCTGTGCCTTTCATTGGCTGGATGTTCATATCTGAGGTTATTCTGTGATTGGCACAAAGCTTTAATACCTGGTCCCTTCGCATGACTACACGAACTTGTTTAGTGTCATAGTTTTGCAAGATCTTTATGTCTCCAATACCCCTCTCCTTCCACTGATTAGCATCTTTATCATATCTATAAAGTTTAGCACGATGGCTGAAGACAACCTGCTCATTTTCTTCACCACTGGTTATTTCTACGAGGTCAGGTAAAGGTACTACTGGTTCAAAATACTGACCATCTCTTTCATCTTCTTGTGTAACGTCAGATTCCTCATCTGTGCCTACAGAAGTCCTACTTTGGTTCTGTTTGGAAGGAGACTTAGAGGGACTTAATGCAGATTTGAAGCTGAAGTTAAACCCTGTGGTGGACTCTCCAAACCTAAATAGATTTTTCCTCACAGGGCTACTGGCCCGAGGCAAAGCATACACAGAGCTGTCTGTACTATCATCCAGTGCTTCCCCACGCAAGTCATAGTTGTCCCACTCTAATGTAGGCCCAGTGCTTTCAGCGTGTGGCTTAATAACCAAATCAGAGGCCTTTGTAGCAGACGCAGAGGTTTTATTCTCTTCATCCGCAAGTTTAGTTTTATCGTCTGTCAGGAAGGTTTTGAGATCTTTCAAACCACTTTTCATTTCTTCTGCTTTTTGTATCAGCTCAGCTGTTTTCCCAGAATCTATTAGTTTATGTGGGGTCTGGAGTGGTATATCCAGCAATAGCCTTTGACATTCTTCGAATTTCAATTTAAATTCCTCAGCTTGCTCTGGACTTTTGAATTTAGCTGCCAATTGCTCCAGCTTTGCATCACCATCAGAGAAGTCGTTGGCTAACCACATCCATGCTTTGTCTGAGCCAGAGAGGGGCTTCAAGTTCATGGTAGTTGTGATCCAGTGGTTTGCACAAACCTTAAATACCTGCTCACGTCGCATGATGATTCGTGGCTTGCCATTAACTTCATTCTTAAGGATTTTCAAGTTGCCCACACCACGTTCTTTCCACTGGCTTGTTTCTGCATCAAACCTGAACAGTTTTACTCTTTGGGAATACAACACTATATCATCTTCTTCGCCAGTCACCAGTTCGACTTTCTCGGGCATCTGGACAACAGGGTCAAAATGAATATCATCGTTGTCTTCTGTTTTATAGGACTCATCTTCCTTCTCAAGATCAGCAGAAGTATTTCCTTTGAATGAAGATTTGGCAGCCTGAGAAGAAAATAGCTTTTCACCTGCACCTGTAAAGCCCTTGAAATTTGGATCTTTCCGACCGAACTGAAATCCTTCACCTGCAGTTGTTTTTGCAAGGTCAGCAAAAGTGAATGTGCTGCTGTGTTGACCAAACACCAAATCACCGCTTTGTTTGCTAGATCTATCATGAGATTTCATTGCAGTTTCTTCCTCCGACACCTCCTCTTTTTCATCAGTGCCACCTTCTTTATTCTGTTGGTCGTTTGCAACATCTTTGCTAGGCTCTTGTATACCAAATTTAAATTCACCTGGAGGTACAGGCATTGAAAAATTAAACCCTCCTTTCATAGGCTTAGTTTCACTGCTAGCAGGAACCTGAAATGTGAAGGAAGAAGACTTCCCTTGATCTGTAGAAAGGCCAAATTTAAAACCCTTTTCTGTTATGTCACATTTAAAACCCGTCCCCTGTGGTCCTCCAGTGGGTTCGGATAACTTGCTTTTGAAGCCAAACACAGGCAGTTGAGCATCACTAGCTGGTAAAGCTGGAGCATTGCTAGATGGGTTTGCAGCCTGACAAGCAGCACAAGTTCGTGAAGAGCCTTCATTTCTTACTAAGCATATGCTGCAATCCCACTGGCCCTCCTTTTTCTGAAAAGCAGCCCCAAAACCACTTTGGGGCACTTTGGGAGCCTCTGCATGACCAAATTTGAAGGTGGTTTGGGAATCGCTAGATGGGTTTGCAGCCTGACAAGCAGCACAAGTTCGTGAAGAGCCTTCGTTTCTTACTAAGCATATGCTGCAATCCCACTGGCCCTCCTTTTTCTGAAAAGCAGCCCCAAAACCACTTTGGGGCACTTTGGGAGACTCTGCATGACCAAATTTGAATGCCGTTTGGGAACCAAACACTGGTAAATTTGTACCGCTGGGATTCTTGCAGCTAATACAATGGGATGCTCTGGCTTCGTTTCTCACAAGACAGGTCCTGCATTCCCACTGGTTTTCCTTTTTTGGAGGAATTGGTCCAAATGTAGAGTGTGCACCTTCAGTGTTGGGTTTGAAAGGTACAGTCGATTCTGTCGGAGGAAGCACAGCCTGCGCTTCCCGATTAGCTGGATTTGGAGTCTGGCATGCTACACAACTCTGTGCAGTTACTTTATTTCGAACCAGGCATGTGTTGCACTCCCACTGATCTTTCTTTAACATGAACTGTTCACCAAATCCGTATGTAGCATTTGCTCCCAACCCTTCTTTAGCAAAAGAGAAGGATGCAGGTGTAGCTGCGCTGGATGCAATTGTAAAAGTACTTTTGGCATTAGTGTTTTTAGCTGAACTGCTCACATCGGGAACAGGAACCTGATAGCTACCACTGACAGATGACGTCCCACTCTTGAAGTTAAATCCAGAGCTCATGAGTCCTGAGTCAGATTTACCAGAATCTTTTGCATCTTGAGCAGTAGCTTCTCTTGATGACACAATACCCTGAGAAGCCTGCTGACTATCACTTGATCCAGATACTCTCAAAATATTTTGTGCCTCTTCAAATTTCCGCTTGAAAAGCTTCGCTTCCTCTGGAGTTTTAAACCTGATTGCAAGTTGCTCAGGTTTTGCCGATTCATCTGCATAGTCCAAGGCATGCCACACAAAAGATTTGTCTGATCCAGCATTTGGGTTCAGAGTCATATCAGGATTTATATAGTGATTTGCACAAATTTTCAGCACTTGCTCCCGTCTCATAAGTAGTCTGATTTTGCCAGTTATTTTATGCCTCAGAATTTTCACATTACCAACACCTCTCTCTTTCCATTCTTTGTGTTCAGCATCAAAGCGGAAAAGTTTTGCTCTATTGCAAAACATCTCCTCTTCATCTTCTTCACCTGTTTTTACTTCAATTTTGTCAGGTAGTGGCACAACGGGTTCAAAATGAGGGCCATCATCTTCTTCTTCACCACCACCATGGACACTTCCTCCATCTGTTTCGTGACTTCTGTTTGCTACATCTGAATGTGGAGTACCAAATACAGGCTTGCCAGGATCCTGAAAGCTGAACACATCACCCTTACTAAAACCAGAGGGCCGGGGTTGATTTTGTACCATTTTATCCGTAAATGCAATGCCTGATGCATTCTTGCCACCAAAACTGAAGATGTTTCGCTGTCCAGGGGGATATTCAGTAAGCGGCTTTTGTCCAGTGTATCGGTCCTCTTTGATAGGCTTGTCGGATGTCAGAAGGCCCAAAAGACTGTCGCTGTTGCTATAGGGGGTACTGTGTGGCTGTGCTGCAACCTGAGGTGATGAAAAAGTAAAATCTCCATCGTTAGATTTGAAATTGGAATTAAATTTGAAAGTGGTTGGCTGTGTCGACTGAGCAGAAGTTATCAAGGAAGGTTTTGCTCCCTCTACTGGTGGTACAGGCTGCCCAAAGGTAGGCTTCCCAAATTCTATCACTTTTGACTCGGCAGACCGGGAGACCGGGGGTGCTGCAGCAGGTTTTGTAAAATAGCCTGGCTCGGGAAGTGGCGGATTTGTAGTTGTCGGTGGAACGCTGTAGTTGTAGTAGTCCTCATTGCCACGGGGAGACAACATTCCGGTTGCCGGAGAATCAAAGCGCAGGGGAGTACCATACATTTCTTGTGAAAACATGCAAGCAGAAGTGTTCTGCAGTGGAGGGGTGTGCATTGGCTGTTGATATGTATATATGTGCTGCTGAGGAGTAAGCCTGTTCATGGCATAGACAGGAGCCTATAAACACAAAAATGATCAAGCTTAGTTTTAAAGCCTTAGTAATTGAACATCGGTTATAAATTTAAATTTCCAATAATTACTTAAACTGCGTTCAAAAACAACTGCTGGTTCCTGCTCTCCTACCCACCCCCACTATGTGACGAGAAACCTGCCTTTTGAATATTTAACAGAAAGCAACACAGTTCTCAGTTTTCCATCTCTTTACGAGTTATGAGTTGTATCAGAGAAACAGCAAATAATTACCTTTGTGGGGGTCACGTTCGTGGCTGCTGTCCGTAGGAGATATTGGGAATTGTAAGCTGGTGATGGGTTGTAGTAGACAGATGGACCTGTTGTAGCAACTGGACACACAAGAGATAAAAACAGTGAGAGTCCTGAAATTGACAAGAACCCTAAATCTTTATCTTAAATATGTATACGCTGCCTTTAAAAACAAGACACCTCAAGGTGGTTTATAATCCAACACACAATCCCACATATAACCATCTAAACACTCAGGTTTCCCCCCACTTCTAGTATTCCATCATTTTATATGCAAGTGTGAAGATACAGCTTTAGTGATTTACTTCTTTGTATAAGGATATCACGTGTTTTTTTGTGGAGTATTCTTGTGTAGTTTTAAAAAATGTACGGTCATTATCAAACTCAAATAAAAGCAATCATTTAAAAAGTGTGAAAATGCACCCTCCCCACAGCACTCATGGTAAGTTTTAAATAAAGCCTTAAGATTATGAAGCCAGTAAATGAAAATACTTTATATCTTTTTAATAACATCCTCCTCAAGGCAGCTTGTGATCCCTTCAATGCTTTTTAATTATAATCAGACGTCACATCAGAAACTGCACTTAAATTTCTCTAGGACTCTCCACCTCCGCATGTAGTTACCAGTTAATGGTGCTCCATGAAAGCTCTGTGTGCCTTGATAGCCATCTGGCATGGTATCTGCTGCATAGCTTTCGGCAGGCCACCGCTGAGACATGGTTGTATTAGAATTGTTAAGTTTCATCTCTTGCATTTCATTCTATCAAAAAGACAAGCATGGTCATTAAAAACTTTTGTGCCAACCCCATGCTGTTTCTTTTGCATCTACAGAACTGAAGAGGAAAAGAATCTAAAACAGTTTGGGATGAATATGCTTGTATTAAGTCCTGGCTACATTGAAACCTTGGATTTCAGTCTTTTTTTTTTTTTAATGAACTTCCAACATGAAGGCATTTAAGAACAGTTACTCAGAGTGAGCCAGAAAGTGACCAATCCAGGCAATAAAAGATTGTTCCCTCCAACCTCTTTATATCTTCCTCTATCCTTTGCTTGTTTCTTCAAGATGAAAGTGAAGGATCAAAGTGCAGTTGTACCTTGGAAGTCAAACAGAATCCGTTCCAGAAGTCCATTCGACTTCCAAAACGTTCAGAAACCAAAGCACGACTTCTGATTGGTTGCAGGAAGCTCCTGCACCCAGTCGGAAGCTGCTGAAGCCCCGTCAGACGTTCGGCTTCTAAAAATAGTTCGCAAACCAGAACAGTCACTTCTAGGTTTGCTACGTTAGGGAGCCAAAACATTCGGGAATTAAGCTGTTCAACTTCCAAGGTATGACACTATAAGGGAAGAAAAAGCACAGCCAACCTTTTCACTCTCCTCCTTACCAGCTCTTTGTCCTTTGCTTTTCTGTTAGCCTGCCTTATCCACTGATCAACAGTGTTTTGATACCTCTAGGGCCACCACAGCAACACACACCTTCACTGCCAGTGAGGTCAGTCTCAGCCCCCTCCTCTTTTTCCCGTCCCTGCAATGATTCAATATTCTCTGGCTACTAAGCATGCTCAATAATCCCTTTAGGATTTCCCCCCTAAAGATTATTTGCACTTCTGCAAGTACACCAGTACAGTACCTCCCTCTTGTGTGAGGATGGTGTTATTAGCATTTGGGGAATGAATTCTGAGTTAGTAGCAGTGATGATGGCAATGACTGAAAATGAACCATGAACTGACTACTGTTGAAAGGTTAACTGAGCAAGGCACAGCTGTGTGCAAAGTAAAGCAGTTACAGAAATCAAATATATTCTGAACAGCCCAAATTTTGATTTTATTGCTCTTTTAGTCTTTAAACCTTCTGGAGTATAAAAAGCCATGAAATATAGTCTTTGCTATTACTTATTTCTTACAGCACACTCATAACCATGTTTACTCAAAACAGTGGTCTTTATTCCTTAATGAATTTAGTATTTTGGTGTTAATGAAGTTTTGTACAAATTATCATCTTCTCTTTTTCAATCAAAAATGGCAAGGAGTCTTTCCCCTCTCTAGTAGAGGAAACTGATGTCACAATAGGCTGCTTTGCAACAAGATTCTACAACTGTACTTCAGCTAGCTTGAATCAAACTAGCAAGACCTTTCTAGTCTGCTGCTGCTATAAGCTTATTACGTTGTTTCTACTACAATTTAATTTGCTTTAGCATTGGGGTTAATTCTGTTCTGATACATGGACATGAGAAAAAGTTGTGCCAGCAGACACAATGGAATTTCTCATTCTTCCCTTCCCCTTGCAGCCCCTGAACTCATCTCAGGCTACTTCAGAGGGTCCCCCAACCCACCAAAGAATATTTTTAGGGGATGGGTCACAGGGTGGGAGAAGGGAAATCTGGGCATCATTTCACATATTTGTAAATTGCTGTTAAGTTTTATTTTTTATTTTTGAACTTGCATATACCACCTTTCAGAAAATAATCATACTTCAGTCATTTTTATAGTAATTGTATTTTCAGCAATAGAAATTAAACCTGCCTAAGCAAGAATGACTACTTCTATGAATGCATTTGTTTGCACCCTGCTGAATAACTTCAATGTAAAAGACAGTCTAGATTGCTAATGTTAAAATCAGCACTTTGTCTTAAATTAATCATACTGCTCATAAGCATGATTACTCTGGAAGTATAATTATTTGGATAGGATCTTCTTGAACACTTGACTTATCCATCCTGACTTCGATTATCTAAACTGAATAAATCACATCTATCCCCAGAGTGGAGTACAGTACACAGCAGTGCTCTTATTTACCTTTATGGATTCTACTTGCTGACAGATCATCTTAAGTAGTGATTTTTGATCCTCTGCCCAGCGAGGAGGAGTTTTGGGCGAGAACTGAAAGAACAATAGTTAGGTGATTAGACCAACTGAAACGTAATAGAGATTTTAAAAACAAAAACATATTTGGTTGCTATACCTTGTAGCTTTTACTTGGAGACAGAGAGAATTTTGTGGGCGATGGGGTAGAATGTTTAATTTCCGTCTCCACTGGTTGGCTCAAATCATTGTTTAGGATAAGACTCCTTTCTTCACCATTGATTCCAAGTTCTTGAATTATACTTTCCAGCATCTCCTTAACTGTCTCTATGGATACAGGTAACTAGGACGAAAATTAAAGAGTGTGTGAATTTAGGGTGAGTTTAAATATATACATGGTTACATTAATGAACTGCATATTCTTCCCAGGTTTACAAATTATTGGTTTCAGAAGTCTGGGTTGCATCTAGGGCTGCTATTCTGCTCTTTCGGCAGAGTTCTACCTCTCCCTCCAGAGCAAATTTTTGTGACAGGACAAAGTCCTGGTGTGCAAGTAAAAATCTGCTCAAGCAACACTGGATACAACCATCTGTATTTCACTAATTAAACAGAAAATGGTCACTAGCACCAAAAAGTTTGCATAGAATTTTTGCAGCTGAACAAGTTTTAATTCTTAGCTACCCATACTCAAATGTTTGCTTTAGAGCCACTAAGTTCTACTACATTTCTAGTAGATTTACTATTAAACCAAGTATTATATATCTAGACATATAATCTGACAAATGCTTTTTTCCTATCTAGATTTTCCTAGCAGTTTTTTAAAAAACACATTTTTAAACCTTTTCAGTGACTGAAGTATCACTGCTGCTTTCATCTATAATTTTTATGAGGTAGTCTCTACTCTTTTTCAGAAGATTCCTGTATTCTTCTTGTTCTTCTAATGACAGGCCATCATTCTCTATCTCTTCAGCTTTCCTCTGGAAAATCTATCCAAGAGAAGGAGGAGTCAGTTGAGAATTCAGCTTATTAAGTGTGCATGCAGTTAGGGCAGGGGAATCCCCTGAAGGAATGTAACACTTACTAGAGCAAGATTCCAGTATGAGACAACATTTTTAATAGCTTCAAATGCTTGCATAGCATCGTCTGTTTTTCCATCCACAGAATCCAAAATAGCAAATGCTATGTGTGCCTCTTCTTGATATACACCAACCTGGGAAACCTTAAAAAGAAGGTTTATTAATTAGTTTTATATAAGGAAATGTTTTGGTACAAAATATTTTACACAGTTTAATGATTTACAATTGTGTGTAAGTTTTGCCCTTTTCAAGGGAGGAACTACTATTTACTTTGTCCAAGTTGATAACCAGATTTTCAAGTTATACAATTCCAGTGACAGAAATATGTTTGCAGAAAACATACTGAAACGTGTGTATGGAACACATATGTAATATTTGACAAACTGTTTCTGCAAGCGTGTTTCTACAATACACATGTGCTTTTATATTTATAATAACAGTATGCATGTAGATACACATAGCATATGTTCTAAAATACTTCTAACAGATTAAGTTCATGTGTCTAGCTAGATAAGGTAATTCATAGTCATGGTCTATTTTTCAATCATCATTTTCAACCATGCATGTAAGGGGAAGTTATTTCCACATATGCAAAGGAAGTGTTGAGAGTCCCTTATAGTCCCACCCAAAAGGCCTGCAGTTTCCCACTCTGTAAAAATTTTAAAGTAAACATTACAAACATTTGCCCCCCACCCCCAGTTGGCTTAGTGTGTGCTGGGTTAAGTTTTCCATGGGGAAGGGAGACGCTTCAGCAACTTGCATAGGTCTCTTCCACCTTCTCATGATCAGCAGCAAAAATCTTGACGCTATTTGATACAGCCCTAATGAAAACACTGGAAAAGCATGTAGTGGAATTAAGAGTTTATATACTGAAAGAGTTAACGTCCTCAACAAGTTTTTTCTTGTCACCGATGCCTATACAAAGCCACAGTTCAAAGCAGTGCTATCAATATGCCAGTAACTTAACTTAGAAAAATTAACCCAGGATTGGTATAAAAACTATGCATCAGTGCCTGGAAGCACTAAGAAACTTAAGTTGAATTCAGACAACAAGAGAGGCAACTCTGTGGACCTGGGGAAGAAGATTCTGCTCATTCTGAATGGGGTCAAAATTTCTCTGAATAATCCTGTTTCCAGCCAAGGGCTGAGTTCCTGGACACCATCTAGCTCCTATATATGGAGAAAAAGGCTACCAATGGCTACTAGCCACAATGGAGATGTTCTACCACCACTCCTGGAGGCAGTATGTCCCTGAATATCAGCAGCTGGGTATCGTAAATGGGGTGAGCGATGTTACACTTAGGCGCTGCTTGCATGCTTCCCATAGGCATCTAGTTGCCCACTGTGAGAACAGGATGTTGGATAAGATGGGTCTTTGGTCTCATTCAGCAGGGCTATTATGTTCTTCTTGTAGGTTCAGATAGCAACCTAGGTGTTTCCACACTCTTCTGGAGAATTAACTGCTATGATCCATACCTCAGTAACCTCTCATATTTCATTATGTTAAGACCCATCATGAGCTGTGTTTGATGACTGCATGACATCCAAGTCAAATAGTGAGATCAGTTAAGTTCCACTTTCCAAATAAAAATAAAATAAAATTTTGAGCAACACCTAGCTAGCAGACAAATTATGTTACCAGCACATAATTAACATTTGTGGCTTATGAAGGAAGACTGGACCAATTACAAATGTGTGGATCTCAAAGTACGCTAAAGGTGGAAGCAGACAAATCTGCTGATGGTTCAAGAGATGGCAAGTAGGTTTTTTATTGTTGCCAGAGTTGGAATGTAAACAGTAACCGCTTATGGAGGTGGGGTTGAGTTAGAGCAGAAGCGGCAACAAGAAACAAGAAATCAAAGTAAGAAACTGCAGATAAGACCCCAAAAGCATTTAGAAATATAAAGACTACCATAGGAAGATTTGAGCTGCCTTATTACCTGAATATCTTCACTATGAAAGTGATTGAACAATGGGTTAATTGGTTCAGGAATACTTCTCTTCTTCTTGATTGTCTCAAGCATTGGCAAAACTTTCTTCCAGTAATAAACACTTCGTCCAATGTAATCTTTTTGGTCATAGAAAGAATTAAGACTGCAACCCTGTGAAGTAACATAATTTGAGTTATTTTTAATGTTAAACTCAGTAAATCATTTGTACATATCAAAGATAGCCCTGGTGACACTGTTTCACATTTCTCTATTAACATTCAGAATTCCAGTTGTACATGCAAGTGTTGTATTTATTTATGATTTATTAGATTTCATACCCACCCATCACTGGAAGGTTACAGGGTGGATTATGACAACAGAATATACAATTATATATATTTTTTTAATAAAAATTTTATTGAGTTTTCACACTTTATATAGACGTAACAAACACTCAAAAACACAGACAAACATGTACAATTTCAAATTCTTACTTTCATAACCACATTCTCTGACTTCCCCGCACCCCCCCTTCATGCATCCTAATTCCAATAGTTAGTTCAGCAAGTTCTTATTTCTTATCTTTACAATATTAATATCATTTTTTTAACTTAGTTCTTCTTAATTAACCAAATTTAACTTATACAGATCAATTATAATCATTACATCCTTTCCAAAGGTCGACCTAGGTTCCCTTCCACCAATTTCCCAACTATCATATTAATTACTGAACATAATAACTAGACATAAAAATAATAAACTTATAGTGCTTTTGGATTCAAAAAACTCTCATTCCCCCTCTTTCCCGGTTTCGATCCCCCAAAGAGGTGTCCACAATATCAGTTCTTAGCCTGGATTTCTCATGTCCGAGGCCTTCAAATCTCTTTCAGTCCCTCTCCGTCGGTTTTGTTGGTAATCCTTTATGTTGGCCATCAAGTCTCGAAGGAGCTCTATCCCAGTAAGATCAGTGTTTCTTCCAACCAGCCCTCCATATTCAAAAGCGGAGCCCCAATCATATTTCTTGTTTCTTTTAGGTCCAAATAATCCGAATGTCCCAAAGGCTCCCTCTTTCATCTTGCACAAATTTGCGATCCATAGTTCTTTCGATCTCCCCATAAGGGGATCTCTCTCTTCTTCATTCTTGCTTTTCATCCAAATTCTCATTATCCATGTCTTGTTTTCTTTGTATTCCCCATTTGTAGGCTTTTGGTTGGCCCTTTCCTCCTGGAGTATTTCCGCTCCTCCTTCCCTCTCCTCTGACTCTGAAAATATCTCTTCTGGTTCAGCTGCAGTTTTCCTTTGTCAAGTCCTTAACACCAGCAACAGGATTGCTTACTTTAGAATTCAAGGTCAATATCATTGTAGCCATAGCTGTGCTCTGGTCTTGAAGTTTTCCCACGAGAAAGAACATTTTTTCTAACTTGGCCTGTAATTTTCCATCTGCAGCCATTGTAATGCCTCAGAATCCCCCCTAGAGGGATTCTGGTTACTTAGTAATCCTTCTCCAGCAATCAATTGCTACTACTTATTTCTTCTTTGTTTCCAACAACTTTAAATCAAATGTAACCCATCTAGTCCGCAAAATAAGTAACAGATTTTTCTAGTTTATACAGCTCGTTTGACAGCTCATTTGACAGCTGTCAAACTCCTTATGCCTCCTCAACAGGCTCACTCGCGGATCGCTCCCGGGTCCGGGGGGGGGGGGTTTACACATCAACTTCCGAAATTCAGTTCTTATCCTCCAGCTCAAAACTTCTAATGCCAATCGTGGAATTAATAACTTTTGTCTCACACAGAGAAAGACAGTCTCTCCACCTTAGTTATCCGATTCTTGCTTTAAATGTCTGCTGAAAGGGGGTGCGGACTTCCTTTTAGCACTCCCCCGATCGTATCGAATTCAAGGAAAAGGAAATTTTTAAGTCCAAATTCCGTACTACTCACGGGTCATTTCTTTTTCAGTCCAAATGTTCAAGGAAAAAAGTCAGCGCTCTTCGGCCATGGCTCGCGGCTTCACTCCACTGAAGTAGCGGTTTACTCTCAGCACCACGCCACTCTCCGTACCCTCTCCGAAGCCTTTAAAAAGGCTCTTCGTGGGTCGGGGGGGCGCTTAAGGTGCCTGCCGAGTCACCAAGTCCGCAGGCTTCAGCGCCTGCGGTTTCTGAGGGTCCCCGCGTCGCCAGGACCCGTCTTCAGTAGAGCTGATTCCCTCCGGAGCTCGGAGGGAATCCGCCATTACCCGATCGCGCTAACCCGGAAGTCCCAGAATATACAATTATAAACCTGGTGAAACAGTCACAATAATAAGACAAATGAAACAATTCATTGAATAATTTAAAAAGCAAAATACCTTAACTGTCAAAGGCCAGAGTAAAGAGCTGTATCTTCGGCACACAGCAAAAACTATACAATGAAGATGCCAGACACAATGACAGGGAGGAAGTCCCATAATTTAGGGACTGTCACAGAGAAAGCCCTCTCTTGGGCCACCATTCCCTAAACCTCTGAAGGCAACAATTACCAAGAGATTCTCCCCTGGAGACCTTAACACTAGAGAAAGTTAGTAGAGATGGAGATGGTCTTTCACATATCTGGAGCTTAAGTCATTTAGGCAGGGCCAGAGGTTTTCCATTGGTGTTTTAAAAGGTGGTGGCAACTACATTCCAGACTTGTCTCCCCACACATAATCTAAATACCTGCAATAGGCTGCATGGATCATACAAGGTTAAGAAATTAACTTTATAGCTTCAAATTTATTGAAAATGGCATCTTCTTACTTACTGTTTTAAGGAGACTTTTTGCCCAGTGCACGATCAGAGCTGGCTGAAGACCATGTTTACCTAAGGCTCTGAGGATGCTTATTTCATGTTGGACTAGAAGCCTCACTTTTGCTGCTGTCCCGGACCTGAAAAGTAACGTGTGCAACAGAAATGCGTCAGCTGCATAATGTAGTTCTTAATTACTAGTTTCTGCTTGATTATCTATAGACTAAAAGTTGTAAAGTCCATTCTTAACCCCAAAGACAAAGGGTCAAAAAAGTTTTCTTGTAAATATATAAAAGCCAGCCATTTCACACAAGCTGTCATATATATAATCCTTCAGCATGAGAAATGGGCATTAAAAAGCTGCTATATGTAGTCGACAGGGGACGTGGGTGGCGCTGTGGGTTAAAGCCTCAGCGCTTAGGACTTGCCGATCGAAAGGTCGGCGGTTCGAATCCCCGCGGCGGGGTGCGCTCCCGTCGTTCGGTCCCAGCGCCTGCCAACCTAGCAGTTTGAAAGCACCTTCGGGTGCAAGTAGATAAATAGGGACCGCTTACCAGCGGGAAGGTAAACGGCGTTCCGTGTGCTGCGCTGGCTCGCCAGATGCAGCTTGTCACGCTGGCCACGTGACCTGGAAGAGTCTGTGGACAGCGCTGGCTCCCAGCCTATAGAGTGAGATGAGCGCACAACCCTAGAGTCTGGCAAGACTGGCCCGTACGGGCAGGGGTACCTTTACCTTACTTTACATGTAGTCGACAGCCACATGTCTATTGTAAGGATGACTACCATAACCAAAAAAAGTCATACTTACACAGTTTGTTTGTGAAGAAGAGCATAAACAGCATCCCACCAGGCCCTCTGCCTCTCAGTACAAAGTTGCTTGCATACTGGTAGTGGTAGGAATTGAGGCTGGTGCACAGCGTACTTGGTATTAAATTTCTCTTCCAATTGCAAATGACAGGTAAATATCACCCCAAGCAGAAATACCTGTTTTGCAAACACACACATTTTAAGTTACACAATAAATTGCTTTATTAACTCAAATTGTGGTAGAAATTAATGCTGGAAGCATTTCCTTACTTCAAGGTCCAACATGCAAATCGATTCAGGAGCATTGGTCTCAAGTCTGGATGTTTCCTGAGGCAAGTGGAAAAGTTGCTTCAACCATTTGCGAAAGGTTTGCAGGGGTGATATGGATTTCCACTGCAGACCAAGCCATATGAGGTGTTGGAGACTACCACTGTGGGCTCTAATGGCACCTAACAACAAGAAAGTGCTGGTTCATTTCTAAAGATGCAACTGTGTGATACGACAGCAGAAGACAGTAAGCAAGCCATCATCTCATGCTAATATTATCTCATGTTAATTCCAAAACAGTTAAAAATGTGAATCAATGCCTCAGCTCACATCCTGTACAAAGCAGGTGTTCAAAACATAGCTCAGTAGCAGTTTCCGATGCAGTTTTGCCAGTTACTGAGGCTCCACTGGCTATTTAGATTTCTACAGACCTGTCCACAAGTATTCTCTGTTTAGAATGACAGAAACACAAACACCATCTACTGTAGTACATAAGCCATTATTCACTACCGCTTCTAAATACAACTAGTCAGAGAATTTAGCATCTTAAGTTATGCAAACTGCTTTGATAATCAAAGCATACCCTTATATGTAAAATGGTACACTTGAAAAAGTGAGTTCGTTTAAAGGAGGGGTGGGGGAACTCCAGTCCATGAGTCAATCTGGACCCATCAGGGGGTTCCATTTGGCCTGCGAGGTCATCTTTCCAAACCATGCTCATCCATCAATCAGCTGACATAACTGGTGATATAAACTGATGGGTGAGACTCTCTTGGAAAACCCAAACTGCATTGATCTCTTCAACCTCCAAAAAGCATCATCATGACCTGGGCTTTCCAAAACAAACAAACAAACAAACAAACAAACAAACAAACAAACAAACAAACAAGTCTCCTTGCTTTTGTGTGGAGCAGCAAAAGCTACATACCCTTTTTTCTTTGCTGCTGCACAATGCAGCAATCCCTGCTAGAACTAATGCCTGCTTTATAGACACTGGCTTGGACAAACCTCTCAATCACACAACAAAGAAATAGGCACTTGCTTCCAAATGAATTTCCTGATCTCCCATGCTCAAACAGGACAGCAGAGACTGCAAGGAATTTAGACATATGGCCAGGGCAACTGATCTGTCAATCATGTGACCCCCCCCCCCATTACTGGCAGGTAGAATACTTCCCCTCCTGTCAAATTTGGTCGGGGGGGGGGGGCAAATTAAGATATGGTCACTGGTGCAAAAAATGTTCCCCAGTCCACTTTAATATCTTTTCATGAGCTAGTATTTAAATTCACCTGCTTCTTCTAGTGCTTTTAATCTTGAAGTATCATGCTGTATGTGTGTATCTATTTCATAATATGCAATGAATTTATAATATAAAATAAATAAATAAACCAATCTTCTTACCAATATCATATCTAGCTAGTTCTCCATATTCTGGTACTTGCACACCAACATTTCTGATATCATCTGTGCCAAGAAAGGAATTCTCTGTAGAAGAACCACTCCCAAATAGTGCATCAATTAAGGCAGACTGTCCACTCTTGTTTGCAAATGATTCAACAATCTCCTTGAAAAAATCCTGCTTCCTACGGCTTAGGTTTAGAAGCATATGTCCTGAAAAGGTAAGAGATACATGATTAACCAAAAGTCAAGTTTCTATTTGGCAAATATACACCAAATATCATGTATCCAATGAAGTTGTTCAATTTATGCAAGGACTTCAGCCTGCACAATGAAACACACACACACCGAGACACTCCCCCCACATAAAATCTGCTCCAGAGTATTGTAGGAACCCCCAGAACAAATTTGGGGAGCATCTAGGGAGAGAAGGAGGTGGCAACACTTTCATTGAGCGAATGAAAATCCTTGTGCAAATGAAAATACTTTGGTAGATACAACCCCTTGAGTAAATTTGTCAAGTCCATAACTTGAGTCCAGAGGGCAGTATTGAATGAAGTAGTTCCACTGGTACAAGAACTTTGGCCACACAACAGAACTTCCCTTCCATGCCCTGCTAAATCTGTTCTGGGATTCCTTCAACCTTCTAGGGCAGATCTGGGGAGGGTGTGAGGCATATGGGGAGAGAAAGAGGGGAAGTTGCGTTGTACAGTACAAGCAGAAATCCTTGTGCTAGTGGAAGTACTTTGTTGAATACCACCCAAAGAGTTAAGTTGTTAAATTTAAAACATTCTGTTCAAAGGGGAAATAACTGCAGGTTTGAAGACTCAGAAGGCAGAAAATGAATCTTAGTCAAGAGGACAAATTGAAAAGTTATGCTGGGGCCTCTAGCGCTGCCATTCTTTAAAACCCACATTATGCCTTGAATTCTTAGCATTGCCTGTTAAAGGTTTGTTACTTTTAATTTTAACTGAGTGAAGTCTTTACACGCTGCTTTAGAATTGCTACTAGATGTCCACAGCTTTGATTTTAAAATGAAATCTGACTTTGAATATTATTACCAGACTGGCTCTGTCGATCACAGGCTAACATTTCCAACTTCTCTTGTTCAGCTTGATCGCCTTTTATTAGTTTTGACTTTGGTCTAGGAACCTGGTAGAGATTAGACAAGTGTAAAGAATTCGCTCTGCAGTGAAATATATTATAACAATACTAAGCTTAAGAATAAAATCCATTTCTGTGAAGTTTAGAAATCATGTCTAGTACAATCATAAATTTTACATTACATTTCTGTCCAAAGTGCCAAGCTGAACATTTTTTGACTCTACATTGCTCTATGCCAAGGACAAGTTGAATGAATACAGACTTATTGCTTCTTTCTCAAGAAATGAAGAGAAAGGAATCGTATTTTGAACTGCAAGTCTTGCTTTTACTCATCAAGATATGGTGGTGGAAGGTCATTTAAGAACAGTCCAATAGTAATTATTTGATAGAGCTAACTTTAGAGAGTCCAGAGTAGCCTCACCCAATCTGTTGGCCTCCAAATGTTTTGGACTACAATTCCTATCAGTCCCAGAAATGTCCAGTGATCACAGATTATGCAAATTGTAATAAAAAACATTTGATGGGCACCAGATTTGGGAAGGCAGGGCTAGGGACTCTATCCTTTGGCTGGAGAGAAAACTGGCATAAGAGGATGATAGAATCTGTCAAAGTAATATAAAGCATCCTAATTATCACAGATGTATGCATGTATAAATAAGTAATAATAAATAAATAAATATTTATTATTTATTATTTATACGGTGCCCATCTGGCTGGGTTTTCCCAGCTACTCTGGGTGGCTCCCAACAGAATATTAAACAGAATAAAATATCAAACATTAAAAACTTCCATTAGTGCATTGCAATAATGGCACACAGTGAAGCTAGTTTAGTAAAGGTGCCAGAAGAGGATGTGCGTACATCGAGGCAGCAGCCACACTGTACCACACTATTCTCCAAGCAAGAATGCAGACAATAGTACGGTATACTGGGATACAATGTGTTGGCTTCCCACAAAAGCCAAAGGTGCACAGCAAAATTAATTGGCTGGGCTAAATTATCTGTAGACAGCAGATTCCTCCTGATTTCACACATACTTATTTCCTTTTACCTCTAGATATGCAATTCTACTGAAAAGCATTCAATTTTGATTTTGTACTTTTTTAAAAAAATAAAAAAGCACGAACAGAACAAATTTCACCCCCCTGCAGTATCATGCATATACAAACACTCCTTGGCACTTTTAACACTGAAATCTACAGCACAAATACTATAAATGACTGAGGGCAACATGTTACTTGAGAAGAACTTACCTGAAAAGCTAGAAGGTAACATAAAGCTGCCAATTCTGAAACAGCTCTCCACTGCATTTCACTTTCCTGGGCCATTTTCAACAGCAGAGTTCCAGCATGCATGTAGAAGTGGCCTTTCATTTCCAGGAAAGTTACAGAAAGTTCATCACCTCCAGCTGCATGAGGTTTCACTGAATGGAGTGCATGATCAAAGCTACAAGACAAGTGTTCATTAATAACAGTAGTTTCATAGCTCAACAAAGTACTGTTACAGAAACAGCAACACCAGTAAATACTTTTGACTGGTTTCTTTACTAGTGGCTCCTGCTTATTGTTCCTCTGCCATATAGGACACATATATACACTGCAAATATGCAAAAAGCAGCACATGAAAGCAACTAATAAAATATTCAACTGAATTAAGGGGCTTTCGTGCGGACACAATACAAAAGCAAGGACATTTCACAATACAAAAATGGGGGCATTTCATCAACTCTTCATTTAGAAGAGTTCTGAATTGAACAAATCAAGATACCTTTGGAGGGATTCTCTGCTTTCTTCTACACCTCTGTTTGAAAGTGTCATTACGACCAGATTTGAATAAGCCAACAAAAGATCCCGACGGGATCTAGTCTTTTGCTCGTTAGGTTTATTGGATTCCAACTCCTGTGGAGAGTCAAGATATTCCTAGGGGGAAAAATTAAAATTAAAAAAATATTTTGTTTAGTCAATGTGTATTATGGCTCAGCCACCAGATCTCCAATGTGTTTTATTAAGCAAGATCAGACCCTACTTTGTGTACTCATTCTCTACTGAAATTCAGCAGCCCAAACTGTGAGGATTTTATTTTTAGCAGCTTTATCAGGGATATTTTAAGCTATCTTTTAAGACACCAACTGAGCATCATTACCTCAGTGGACTCCAAAAGTGCAATGAAAGAGCTGAGGGTGTGTACAAAATGCTGAGAAGGACTTTTCAGCATTTTGCACATGCCCTCCAAAGAGTGAGGTTTGAGTGGCAGGACAAAAATATGCCAGTCTGCTTCATGCACTGCAGAAGGCCCTGAACACCTCCATGTGTTGTCCATGTTCTAGATCACTGGGGTGACCCACTATATTTTAGCAAGGCAAAATCATGAGCAGAAGGCAACTTTTTTAGGGCTGTTCCGCAGGTACTTGCATGAGTTCATGCAGTCCTACCCATAGGTAGATTCTAGTGTAGTTCTCAGGCTCCTCACAAGGTTGTGCACTTGAAAGAACAGCTTTTGACTTAGTCTCAATGTTTCTTATAAATGCTTAGTCAAATGTGAAATGGCTTTTCTAGGGGCTGAAGACACCTTTCTCATGAGGGGTATTTGTACAGTGGTGCCCCGCAAGACGAATGCCTCGCAAGACGAAAAACCCGCTAGACGAAAGGGTTTTCTGTTTTTGAGTTGCTTTGCAAGACGATTTTCCCTATGGGCTTGCTTCGCAAGACGAAAACGTCTTGCGAGTCTTGCGTTTTTTTTCGCTCCCCCCCCCTTTTCTAAGCCGCTAATGGCCTTTTAGAGAGAGCCAGAGAGAGCCAGTGTGGTGTAGTGGTTAAGAGCGGTAGTCACGTAATCTGGGTAACCGGGTTCGCGTCTCCGCTCCTCCACATGCAGCTGCTGGGTGACCTTGGGCCAGTCACACTTCTTTGAAGTCTCTCAGCCCCACTCACCTCACAGAATGTTTGTTGTGGGGGAGGAAGGGAAAGGAGATTGTTAGCCGCTTTGAGACTCCTGAAGGGGAGTGAAAGGTGGGATATCAAATCCAAACTCTTCTTCTTCTCTTCTTCTTTTAGCCGCTAAGCCTTTAATAGCCGCTAAGCGGGTTGCTTCGCAAGACGAAAAAACCGCTAGACGAAGAGACTCGCGAAACGGATTATTTTTGTCTTGCGAGGCACTACTGTAGATGAAACCCAGTAAAAGCATATTGTAGGCCTTTGTAGACCTGCTTATTATAATGTTATTTGCTTGCTCAAACTCTGATCAAAAGTAAGTTCTGTCATGCAACTGGATCCAATTAATAAAGAAAGTTTAAACTGGGTTTAGTCTTCACTTGAAGTTACTATAATATTTTTTATAGGAAATTACAAAAAGAAGTATTTTTACAAGACAAATATAATTAAACAAACCTTAAGTGTATGTACAACACACGAACACCATTCCAAGCTTGACTGCAATGGTATTTTTTTCTCTGCTTCCTGACAATGTGCCACAGCAGCTGCAAGATTTTTGTTTGATAAGTAGAGCTTCACTAATCGAATGTTAACATAAACATCATCAGGTCTGGCACACAATTCTGACTGGATCAAATCAAGAAGCTGGTTCCATCCAGTCTCACTCTTGCAATCCACCAGACGCTCCTACAGTAAAGATAAAAGGGTTGACATTTTATATTTATTTATTTAAACACAAGGCTTTCAAGCATTCTCAAGGAATAACATCATTCTTATTGCTTCTTTATATAAAACTGCATTGCATAAGGAAGCTAGTTTTGAGACAATATAGCAATAAACATCTGAATCCACTACATATCTGGAAATGCATTGCAGTTTCTTTGAGGGGGACTTTAAAAAAAAATCAGGAGTTTCTTAACTATGAAAGGAAGTGTTACATGTTATCAGGTTTCTACTTTTTTTGAGAAACCTAAGAAAACAGCAGGTATTAACAAAGTTACAACTACTAACTTATTGCCAAACTTTTCATACTGCCAATTTCATGTAATGATTGTGTCCAAATTGTGCCCAGCTTTATTCTGTAAGCTGTGACAATACTCAAGGTGGGGAGGGGGAGGTTAAGGTTACCTTTAGTCGAAAAACTGAAGGGCTTCCAGGAAAAAGCTTGGCTGCTCTGTCAACCCAGTATTTTGCTCTTCCATCAGTAATATCATTACTGCACAGCAGCTCTGCAATCTTCAATACAAGGTCTTTCTGTGTTGGGTTCAACTCCACTGAACGCTAAAGCCACAATTGAAAAGAAGAAGTACCGTATATATATATAGTTTAATTCTGTTTTTCTGTGATGCAAAATGTTGCAATATAGACTACCAGAACACATAAACCAAGTTAAAGAGGCTTATACAGCTGTTTAAGAAGATCACTTCACTGCCTTATTTGCAATGCTACTCAGGTGTAGAAGAATGATGGAAGAGATGCAGGTGACTACTTTGTTACCACACTTCTGTAGATTAGTGCAGCCTTCATCACTTCATAAACACAGCATTCACAAAGGACCAAGAAAGGGAAAGCCTTCTAGACAGGTGTGGCATGCTTTAGCATTAGAGAATAATGTTATGCTTATGAAATATCACAAGAGACAAGTATTTGTACAGAACAGAAACATGATTCACAGAAGTGTTGTTTTTCCTTGCCAAATTGCCCTGTACCACAACACAGTCTGAGCATTTCCCAAGCTGACAAGTCAAGATGTGGCTAAATTCCATACTGTGATTCTATCACTTAGACGACAGCACAGAATTCCTTTCATTGGTTCTGAAAGCTATAGGGGAACCCATCACAAAAGGCCAACTCAGCAGGATTCCTGTCACCTACTCCAAACTTCAATATTAAAGTGGACTTTTTATTAAGCTTATAACACATAGTAAGGCATAGTAGCTTATGTGCCAAAGTGGGATATGAAAAAATCAGGTTGAGATCCTAGCTCAGATGATGGAAGAGCTAATATTCCCTGAAACTTATATGAGAAGTTGATTGCTATAACTTCCTGCTGCTTGAAAGCCCAGCTCAGATGATATGCCAAGTGTGTGTGTGTATAAAAAATAATTTCTTCTGTTTGGTTCTGTGCTTTCCAGTAAAAGGAAAGTTTATGAAACTCTAAGGTCTATTTAAAAGATACCAGAATTATGAATCAAGACCAATGAGAAGCTCAGCATTATAACCAACAGTCATCTGGTCAACATTTCATGCTTCAGGAATCAACAGGAAGTTGCCCTCACTATATTGACCTGACAGACCCAATTGGACTATCTTTTGATACCACGGAACATAATGTAGTAACCAAAATGACCTGTTAAGTGTTTCAGAATCACTCAAATTATTTTGCCAACTCTCTGTGTGGCAATCTGAGGTGGGAATGGCCAATTGTTACCCTAGGAATCCTCCCCCCCCCCATGGAATACTATAGAATTACATCTTGTAAGGGACAGTCTTGGTGGCTGCTCTACAACCATGCTTTACCCATGCTCAAAACACATACTTTTTTGGAGGCAACAGAAGTTTTTGTGGGACTGACATTTGGTAATTCTATTGTTTAATTACAGGCAAGGCAGCAACACTTTAAAAATATTTCATAGCATTCCAAAATATGCTCTAGCAAAATAAAATATATCTAAGTAAATATTTCATATACAATAGCCTCTAGCAACAATAATGTAGGCAAAATGTAGAAGCATTAATTTTTTTACCTTATAACAGCCTACAGCTTTCTCTATGTTTTCTTCAGCTTCATAGAGTTGTCCCAAGAATTTGTGTGCCTTGGGATCTCTTTCTTGGACACTGAGATATGTAGATATGTACCTTTAAAAAACAGCATAGCAAGTTAACATAGCAGCCATCAATGACTAATGATATCACTCCAGAATAGACGTAGGTGATGTCAATGCATTTGATAGTCACGCTATTAATGTGAATTAGGAGCCCCAAGCTTGGCATATTTAGCAATGCAAAAACCACAGTACTTGGTTATGAAGCAACTGCCAGCATTAGTTCTACATGGAACAATATAAAACCTGAAAATAATTATATATGATTAGTAAAAGCCAGCATTCTCCAGCCTGGTGCCTTCTGGATGTTTTGACCTTCAGCCTCATCAGCTGCAGCCAAAACATCCGGAGAACAGAAAGTTGGGGAAGGTTGGTATAAGCCTATCAACACTCATCATGCAGAGTTCTCTCATAAACAATTAACCAAACACAAGTTATTCTGAATCAGAGTAAAATCAATCATTGGAATAATTAACATTTAATGAATAATATTTCATATTACCTTTTAGCCAATTCATATTCCTTTGTTTCATAATACAGCTTAGCAAAAAAGAATCCTTTCATGGATTTCTAGAGAGAAAAATACTTTTGTTAATGCTGATAGTAATTCACTTACAGTTTGATCATTGAACAGCCAGAATTTTATCTGCATAACTCTATCCTAAGTATTTACAATGCTAGAGTGAGAAAGAGCTGTTTCCGAGCCTCTTTCTAAGCATTTAATTGATCACAATAAGTTATTGTCCAGTGACAGGAATGAACCACAGCAAGCCTCTAGATCAGTGATTCCCAAACTCCTACCCCTCAGACCACTTGAAAATTGCTGAGGATCTTGAAGACCATGTAATGATTGTTCTACCTGCTGTTTAACAACTGTAATGAGCTGTGCTAGATGCTGAAGTATTTCTTTAAAAATAAGTTCAAAGAGGGTTCCTGACACTGCCTCCCTCACCAGTCAAGGCCTGGGTGGTTGAATGTCCTGTGACAAAGAACATTCACTGATCCAAGATGGAAGTTATGTGCCAACTACATCTCCATTACCAGCCTAATCAAATTAACCTAATCTATGCTTAAAAAATGGTTATCAAAAACGATAAGTTTTGCAACCATGAAATAGCCAAGCATAAGTCATACTGATTGCCTTTTGAGGACAAAGGCCTATTCAATAGCACCATATGAAGATGCCAAGGCCTAATCAATGACTAAGATTGAGGTGTTCATTTGCTTCCTTACCTCTTGTTAATTCTGAATATCTAGCTGTTGCTGTTTTCAATGGTGGTTATTCTTGGAAAAAATCACCCTGATATATAGTGGAAGGCAAAGAGGTCCTCATCTTGATAGGAAATTTTCACCTAATGGCACCAGTGACAAACACTGGGCTTTGCAGAAATTGTGAACTTTGCAGCACTAACCAGAGCTGCAAACTGCCAGGACCCAGGACAGAAATATAGTCCCTCCTGCAATTTGTATTTAAGGTAAGGTAAACTTAACGCCTTGTGCCAAATGCAGCAGAACCCTGGAGTCAAAACCATGCTGGGTATCCACTTATGTAACAAGGGTTATGCTCCCTGTTGGTCCTCAAAATCTGCTCCAGGGATTAGTGGATCATCTGGAGATTTTGGGGGTACACAGGGGAGGAAAAAGAGATCATCTAATGCCACCCTGTATTTTCTTCCTGCAGCATGCTCAGTACTTTAAGTGCAGAGTGCACCCATTATCTGCTAGGGCCCAGTAACAGCCTTTTTCTGTATAAGCATAAAATCTATCATATAGATACCACCATGTGAATTATTCAAAGCTGACAAGTAACAACTGTCAATTTGGTGTTTCAGAGAAGGGAGTGGCAGCAAAATGTATGGCAGCTTCCTATACTCAGAAACTACACTTTCATTAAGACAGTCAAGACAACAAAATGCAACTTTCATGTTAGGTCAGGGATTCTTTTTTATTCCCTTTAGTTGAATTGTCCATAGCACTGTCTACCTATATAAAAAACTGTTCAATAGTTTCTGCAACTTGTCATTTGTATGTACCGTCAGGGGAATACCCCATTTGCCTCATGAAAGAAAGTTATTTCTGTGCCTTGTCCTAAATTAATTAGTTTTATGTCCATCTCAGACACAAATACTTTTATCAGAGAGACAACAGATCAAAGAATACAAAAAGAAACTAGACTATCTCAAGCTCTTTGCCATAATAATCCCACAAACCTCAAGTAAGAAAAGGCAATGATTTTTAATTAGAATTTAGGAAGGACAACTTCCAATTCCTGCCAGGACATAACTCACAACTGCTAAGAAGAATGGGAAGTGAAACTTAACCAAAGCAACATTAGGGGTTTTTTTTTTGAGGGGGAGAGAAAAAAAACTATACAGTTCAGTATAGGAATATCAAATTATTCATGATGTAGCACCTAGAAAACTGCAGGAAAGGTTTTTAAAATACACAAACACATGGTTAAGTGTTCAATTACCAAATGCTATTTCATATGAAATATGTTGGAAGAAAAAAACATTGTTTTTAAGGAGGACAATAACCACTGGCCACTGTAATTGAGAATGGATTTTTAAAGCAAAAAACATTAAGAAGGTAAGTTAAGCAACCTTATGCCAACTATTTTTAAACCAGCATTTATAAAGTTTATACCACACCCAGAGGCAGCTGGCAAGAGTGCTATATGATGCCACAGTGAAAAGATTACAGGGTTAAGAGGGCAGTCGTATATATGTCTTCTCAGAAGGAGGTTCCACCTAAGATATTGGTTCGCAGACAGATCATGAACCACAGCTGTCTGTTTACATTGGAAAGTTCACAATATATTAGCTGGGTGAAAGTCAGATGGAAAAGCCAACATACATTAAGATTACCAAGCACAGGCCTGGAGGTGGCTCCTGTCTTTTTACGAATAGAAAAAGCAGAAGAATCTGCATTAGACACTGGTTTTTCTTCATCAGAATTTGTGCAGTAATGCGAGGGTAGGGGACCCAAGACCCAGGCGCCAAACGCTCCTAGGCACTCAGGACCATCCCAGGCCACACCCCTTCCCAAGCCACTTGAGTGCTTTCACCTGGCAGAAATAGGCCCTTCAACTCTACTCTTACATCTTGTTTGCCTAGGAGGGCTGAGGGGTGTGTGCATGTTTGTGTGTTTAGCAGGGTACAGAAACCCCTTACTTTTGCATGACTGGGATGCAACTTTGTTAGTTAGAACATGGACATAGCCAGGATTTATATTACAAGGGGCAGCGTTTATGTTGCCAGGGGGCAAAACCTCATTTAAGTATTTTTATTGATTTACTTTTAAAAAAATTAGTTCTGATTAGAGTTTTTTTGTGTTAGAAAGCAAACATATACAGGGAACTGTACTATTGCCTCCGCTTTCGATTCATACTTGATTTGAGCTGAACACGCCCCCTTTGACTACGCCCAGACAGAAGATGCCCTGCCCACTTTTGCATCTGGCCCCACCAGACGCTGGCGTGGAGCCCTCAGGAGGCTGCTTTGAAGGAAAGGCCCTTTGGCTGGAAGGTGGTTTCCCCCCCCACCAGCCCCCCACTCCTGAAGCTGCATCACCTAGCACAGCCCCGCCCCCTTAGAATCATCATGGCACAATCCCACATGCTCCTCTGTTACACTGGAGCCAGGGAACAGGAGGCCCAACGCGCGAGCAGGCGCTGCCCTAATCCCAGCCGGCCAGCCCCCCCCCCTCCCTCGAACCCCGAGAGGCGGCTGCCAATCCAAACTAACTCCCTCCCCTCCTTAACCGACGCCGGCTCGCGTCCAGTCATTGGAGGAGAGCCTCAAAACAAACAGCCAAGGGGACCAATGGCGGGCCGCCTCTGAACTCCCCTCAAAATCGGTTTGAGGGGGGAAGGGGAAGGAAGGGAAACGAAACGAAGGCTCCTCACCTCCCTGGGCGAAGAGGCCGAGGCCTGCAGCGAGGAGACATAACGGTCCACTTCCGCCCTGCTGCGCCTCAACATGGTGGCGGGAGAAAGAGGGCCCGCCGCCAACGGGCCCCTCAGGCTCCTTCCCCTGGCTCGAAGAGGGAGGGCGAGAGCGCGGAGTCCAAAGCCTGCGCCGGTCCGAGGAGGCGACGCCGCTCGAGGAGGAATGACGTGCTAGCCGACGCGCCGGCTCGCGCAGAGGGAACAGCCGCCGCTGTGGCGTCGGCGGCCTCGCGACGGAAATAGCGTGGGGGGGAGAGGGAGAAATCGGAAGTGACGTCCTGTCAACCCTAGAGCTGCGCACTGGGGAATGAACGCTCAGTTTCGCTTCGTAGAGATACGAAAAGTGAGAGAGTGATCCCGCCTCAGCGCGTGGCGGGCGGAATATCTCTACCCGCCCCCCCCCCCGCCGCTGTAGACAGAGAGCTACTAATAGATGAGAGGGGCTTTAGATGAGAGGGGATTTAGGTTTGACGAGGCCCTAAGCTACTGAAAGTAATGGGGCCCTTTATATGTCCAGCTATCACGACTGGACCTAATGGTCAGGGGTCCCTTTACTTTTTTATCCTTTGTCAACAACAAATTGTCGATTTTTTGTGTTGAATATGCTCATGCCTTTAGTCTATGCTGCCTGATCATCAGTCTACAAGCACTCTTTAATATTAAATAACAGGTACAACAGCTTGACCTACATTCAACTGTGCTGCTCTGCAGCTGCATGCTATGTTGCTGTGCAGCCAGTCTATGCAGAATGTAGGCACCCTATATATAGAAATGAGCAAAGCAGTGATATTTTAGGGAGCAGGCTAGCAGGCGGGGCCCATTACCTACATCATAGGCGCCTACACAACACAAAACACTGTTGCTGTATGTAGGTTTTATTTTGTTTTTTATCGTATATTTTGGAAATGTACATCCAGGTTTTTTCCCTTTAGTTTTTTTGGGGGCCCCCAAGAGTGGGGCCCTAAGCTATAGCTTGTTTAGCTCATAGGCTCCGACTCCATGGGGCTTGAGGGGGCCTGAGCCCCCTCAAAAATTCGTTTGGGGGGGCTCCGCCCCCCCAATAATCTCCGGCGCCCCTCCAGCAGAGCGCCATCGCCGCCCCTCCCCCAGCCCAAAATGCACAGGGAGGGGCGGGCTGCATGCCTCCTGCCCTCCCTCCCGAGCAAAAGCTCCACCCAATTTCCTTTGGAGCTGATTAATAGGCGCAGCACGCTCTCCCCTATTCGCTCACGAGGAGGCGGCGCCACTTTATTTGCATATTCATGAGCTTATTTATTATTCATGAGCTTTCCCGGGCCCCCCCAATATTTTTTATAAGTCCGCGTCCCTGGTTTAGCTTATACGTAAATCTGGCACTGCACACAACTCTCCCCAGGTGAGGAATGGGCACTGGCTCATACACCTCTTCTCTTACATCTGTTGTGCATCCTGGTTCCAACACATATGGAATCCATCCCACACACCCTGTTCCATATAGACAATGAGAGGCTCACCCCTCATGAGTTCTCTTCAGTATCTCTACAACATCTGTCAGGAGTGGCTGTGCAAGCCTTAGGTCGCTGGGCCAGATGCAAGCCAACCAGCTGACCTTGAATCCTAGAAAGATGGAGGCCTTGTGGGTGGGCGATTCCAGCATGTTGCCTGTTCTCGACAGGATCACAATCCCTCTGAAGGAAGAGCTTGGGGGTACTTCTTCATCCATCTTTGTCGCCAAGAGGCCCAAGTGACCTCTCTGGCTAGGAGCGCCTTCTATCAGCTTCAGCTAGTATACCAGCTTCCTGGGCCAGGAGAGCCTGACCACACTGGAAACCTCAAGACCCGACGACTGTAACACATTTTATGTGGGGCTTTCCTTGCATCTGGTCCAGAAGGTGCAACTAGCGCGTAACGTAGCAGCCAGACTGTTCACAGGAGCAAGCTCTTAGTACCATGTTACTCTGCCGCTGGGAGAGCCGTATTTGCTATCCGGCCAGGTTCATGGTTCTTGTGTAAATTCAGAGGGGTTTGGGCTGGGTGGTCATCAGTATGCAGATGACACCCAGCTCTACTTCTCCTTTAAATCAGAACCAGTGAAGGTGGTGAAGGTCCTGTGTGAGTGCCTGGAGGTGGTTGGAAGATGGATGGTGGCTAACAGATTGAGGTTGAATCCTGACAAGACAGAAGTACTGTTTTGGGGGACAGGTGGGTGTGGGGGATTCCCTGGTCCTGAATGGGGTAACTGTGCCCCTGAAGGACCAGGTGCGCAGCCTGGGAGTCATTTTGGACTCACAGCTGTCCATGGAGGCACAGGTTAATTCCGTGTCCAGGGTGACTGTCTACCAGCTCCACCTGGTACGCAGGCTAAGACCCTACCTGCCCGCAGACTGTCTCGCCAGAGTGGTGCATGCTCTAGTTATCTCCCGCTTGGACTACTGCAATGCAATTTACGTGGGGCTACCTTTGAAGGTGACCCGGGAACTGCAATTAATCCAGAATGCGGCAGCTAGACTGGTGACTGGGAGTGGCCGCCGGGACCACATAACACCGGTCCTGAGAGATCTGCATTGGCTCCCAGTACGTTTCCAAGCACAATTCAAAGTGTTGGTGCTGACCTTTAAAGCCCTAAACGGTCTCGGTCCTGTATACCTGAAGGAGTGTCTCCACCCCCATCGTTCAGCCCGGACACTGAGATCCAGCGCCGAGGGCCTTCTGGCGGTTCCCTCATTGGGAGAAGTGAGGTTACATGGAACCAGACAGAGGGTCTTCTAGGTAGTCTTCAGATGTGAAGGAAATAAGCAGCTATCCTGTCTTTAAAAGACATCTGAAGGCAGCCCTGTTTAGGGAAGTTTTTAATACTTAATGCCCTTTAGTGCTTCCACATGCCCCCAGGTTCAGCTGGCCATTACCAGGGACTGAGCTTTTAGTGGCAGGCCCTGCTGGCCAATAGCGATTCAGCAGGAGTCACCCCTGCTGGTTTCTAGATGTCTTCTAAAAACTGTTATTATTCCCTTTCAAACCCGAGATTCTTTGCCAACCAGCTTTTACTGATGTGTTTGACATTTCTATTGTTTTTGCTGTAACACTGTTTTTGGGTTGCGCACTGCCTTGTGGTATTTTATATGGAAGTGTTTTTTTAAAAATATTTGAATGAATAACAGGGAACTAAGGAACCACTGAATTCAGCAACTAGAACAGCCGTGATATAATCAAATAGATGACAGCAATGAAAAGGTCCAGCTTTGTGCAAGCGGATTTCATCTTTCACAGAAGTAAAGGGCAGCTGGTGTGAGACCTTGGCAGCTGGACCGACGATAAGGATGACAAAAACAGTCCTAATCAGAGAAGAACATAATCAGGCAACACAGCAGATAGTGAAACAGTAACATATTTTGGTTGGTTTTGAAAGTATGCTGATAAGAAATGTGACTAAGTTACTGGAAGGCAAAGGCGGATTTGTGGGAAGTCAGTTCTCTCCTTATTCCAGGAAGAGTTGGGGGCATGTATAGAAGGGTGAAGTTCTAGGGTCCACTTTCAGGCTGAGCTACAAGGTGACAAAAAGACCTGGTCACATCTGTTACCAATAGGAATGGGGTGTGAGATAAGAGAATACGATGATGTTTTTTTAAAAAATGTCTTTTTTGTAAATGGGTCAAAAACAGGGTTCCACCAAACCTGTTAATTCCACAGCATGTGTGACCTAGTTTATTGACAATGTACTTTTCTCTACTAAATATGATTTTTCTAACAGGCAGGGCAATCCTACCAAGGAAACAGGAGTGGGAGTGTTGTCTCAGAGCCCATGGAACAGTTTCCAATGTTTACTTAGCCAAGGAGGGAAGAAGATAAATGTACAAACAAAAAAGCAGAAAAATAGCAGACATACCGTATTTTTCGTCCTATAGGGCGCACCGGCCCATAGGACGCACCTCGGTTTTTTTGGGGGGGAATGAATAAACCCCCCCCCAGCCACGGCTGCTGCCCCAAGTCCTTGCGGACACTCGCCCGAAGCACGGGGAGCCCTCCGGAGCCTCTATGCTATGCTGTGCTTCAGGCTGCAGGCTGCTGCCCGCAAGCCTTGTGAGCCCGCAGGAACTCCCGCAGGGCTAGCAAGGCTTGCGGATAGCTTCCTGAAGCCTGGAGTGCAAGAGGGGTCGGTGCGCACCGATGCCTCTCGCTCTCCAGGCTTCAGCGAAAGCCTGCATTCACCCCATAGGACGCACACACATTTCCCCTTCATTTTTGGAGGGGGGAAAGTGTGTCCTATGGGGCGAAAAATATGGTACTCCAGTATCCCGGGGACTGTGGCACCAAAATGCTCACAGGCTGGAATCCTTTTCTCCCAAGGGGGACCTCAAACCTTTGTTCCAAGAAGGCTGCAATCCTCAGGAGCTGTGAACTTGACCTCCCTTTTCTTTATATAGGCTTTGCTCCTCCTAACCAGTGCTGGTAAGGATACCTGGGCTCTGGCAGGGGTGCAGTTGCAGCTGTTTATGCTGCTGGGGCTAATGGACACCGTGGCAATGGGATGAAGGGAGGTGTGCCAGAGGCACAGCATAGCATAGAGGCTAGAAATTGCAAGTAGTTAGTGTATTTTATTGACCTAGTGGCACAACAGGCATTCAGTTGGAACCGGGATGCTTTCAGATTTCTATTTCAGATACTCTTTTAAAATAACTAAGCTGAGTCGGAAAATGTGTTTTTGAAAAACTCAAGCATCTTCCATCATTAGAAAAAAACCAAATCTTAAAAATGCTTAACCTTTTCAAATACTGGGCATATATTTTCTGCATAAAAATACAAAATAACAGTATACAAAGGGTACATATTTTGACTAATATTGCTTAAGTATGGCAGAATAAGGCACAACAAGGAAATGAAATACAAAAGCACAGAGGAATATTTCTGTTACATAGAAGGATTCCACAAAATTCAAGTAGACATATTTCTTGCGATATAGAACTATTATGCTGCCGTTTCCAGCTCTGAGCTACAGTCTTCAAATGATGCATTCCAGAGTTGTCTTTCTGTAGTTCTTTGAGAACTACAGCCAAGACTCTGCTCACACCAATTAATTACAAACGCTATTAATCTCCGAACAAAGCATTTGTTGTATAGGCTTCGTTATGGTTCACATCCAAGGAGCTGTGAAGAATGGAATCTCTGTAATTTACAATGCAATTCTAGATGCGTCTACTCAAAAGTAAGACCCACTCAGTTCACTAGGGCTTACTTCCAGATGAGTGGATCTAAGACTGCAGTCTTGGATATTTAGAGTTCTTTCTGGTAAGTTAGCAGGCATGATCAAGAAGGCTTCCTGGCAGAATATGGACTTCTAAGGCTGAGAACGCTAGTTCGTTTTGTTTTTTAAAGCTTTCCTCAGGGCAACAGCAAATGTGAATGTCATTTCTCATTAGTTCGCAAACAGACTTCAAGCAACAATAACTCCTTGCCTCAAAAACATGAAGTGTGTGCATTAGACTCATAATTTTTAATGTATATCAGGGCTCACAGCAAAGGAAAAGGTACTTCATCAGCTAGAATCCTCTAATCCCTCACTTATGCCACAAGAACATTGGTAGAATGTCTATGTAGAATGTCTACATAGAATGTCTATGTGTCTGAAGCAATTCAATTCTACTGCCACAAGCCAGCCAAACACTCTTGTTGGGGTTTAGCTGTGCAATCCTACATATGTCTACTCAGAAGTCCCACATAATTCAATGGTACATACTCCTGGGTAAGTCTGTATAGAATTGCAGCCTCAGGGTATTTGCTTGAACCATGTGCTTCGCTTGCATGGCAAAACAAACTATGCCAGAGTTTAGTGTAAAATGAGGTTTGGTCTATTTGGTGAGGCGATCTGCTAGATATGTTAAATTAGGCTATTCAGCACCGACTGGGACCTTTTTCAGTTGCCCCTTACTAAGCAAATATACAATGTATATATCTACAAATTTATATACGTGTAAAATTCAGAATTTAAATGGTTGGATATGAGGTTACATAACATGTCAAGAGTTTTTAGAGGTATACTGTCAAGGTAGTGAGGCAAACATTTTAATATGAAGCTAGTCATGCAGAGGAATACTCTCCTTTTTTGCACTTGGGTTTCATAGACTCAACAAAAATAAGTCTGTAATAGCACTTCCTAAACTTTGCACAGCAAGATGAGATCTGGAGAGGAGGACCTCACTTTCTTCCCAACGTCTCAGCCAATTTCTTCAGTCGCTTCTTGAGCTCCAGTGGGAACTTCTCATAGCACTTCTTGCAGACAGGCTTCATATCAAATTCCACAAACTTGTTTCTAAAAAGGGTAGTGGGGAAAGAACAAAGTCTTAATGCAAATAATAACATTTTCATAGGTTTTGCTGGAAACTAATTTTATATATAAATTACCACCAACCCAAACTGAGTATAGGTTACACTATTTTTACTACTTCTTCTTTTTTTTTTTACAATTTTATAAAGACAAGGATTTGTACTAGTCATCTAAGGAATCATAATGTAAATTCCCACATCTGAGGGGAAAGTGGGTGTCTTAGGGCGGTTTTACACATATCTTTATTAGTTTATGCTTCTGGGTGTCATGCTCCCCCCCATAAAGAAAGAAGTGCAGACAAAAAGAGTGATCGCCACCTCACAATAGTGCTCTGCTGCATTCACACAGATGGTGTCTTTAAAAAGTGATTTTAATTTTATTTTTTTTAAAGTCAGACATGTTATGTTGCTTGTAAAGGTTATGGCTCTGAGCCCCAAAATGCACACCTAAAGTCACTCTTAAGGATGAAACGTGTTTTTTTAAAAAATAAAATCATTATTATGAATCCATTTAAAATGTTGGGAAACCATGAATCCACAGATTGCCATTATTTCTTATCATGTTCAGAGCTGGTCACAATGACGGAAGACTCTTTTCCAGTCATGGTGTACACATTGTAGAGGTGCTTCTGCAAGAAGTTCCCTGGTCTAACAGTATCCTATGAAAGGGGTGGCAAAACTTTGCTCTGTGGGTGCACAGGGTGGTAAAGGTAAAGGGACCCCTGACCATTGCGGCGCTCATCTCGCTTTATTGGCCAAGGGAGCTGGCGTACAGCTTCCGGGTCATGTGGCCAGCATGACTAAGCTGCTTCTGGCAAACCAGAGCAGGGCAGGGGAACATCGTTTACCTTCCCGCTGGAGCGGTACCTATTTATCTACTTGCAACTTGATGTGCTTTTGAACTGCTAGGTTGGCAGGAGCAGGGACCGAGCAACGGGAGCTCACCCCGTCGCGGGGATTCGAACCGCCAACCTTCTGATCGGCAAGTCCTGAGTTAGGTCCATTACTTTCCAGAGGTCTACTCTAAGTAAAAAACTTTGTTGACTACCACCCACTATCTTTGTTCCCAGGGAACTTCCTTGGGATAAATATTTTCAAATGCCTTGGGATAGATATGTTCAAGTTGCCTCTCACCTCAGCCTCAATAGCTATGTTCTAATAGACGCAAATACAAAACAAACATCAGAGCTAGAAGTGTATGTCACCTAGAGAGCTCCATATGTGTTTTGGGGACAAAGGACTTGCATGTAAATTAGTCCAGTTACTCGGAACGAAGTTGCCCTTTTGTGTGGTGCTCATCAGAGGACCACATCTGTTGTAGAAAAGTAAAGTAGACATTCATAGTCCCACCTACTTTTTGCCTCTTGGGCCACCCACCACTGATATGCGCCCCTTCGAAAACTGCCCAGAAGACAAGGGGCAGCAAAAGGTTTCTTGCCCCTGAAAGCTAAAAAGAAGAGACCTCCCTAAAACTGACCGAAAGGAAGAAAGGAAGGAGCGCAGTTGCTGGGAGGTAGGAACAAAGCATGTTTACAGGCAGACAGGCTTTTTCTTTTTGTGTTTGTCTTTATCCTTTGCTTCTCGCTCCCGTTTGGCGAGCCTCCTCTTAAATTCTTCCGGCATTCTCTCGTAACAGTGCTTGCAGACAGGTTTGAGATCGATTTCAACAAACCTGTCCCTTCACGGGTGGGGAAAAGAAGGAACGGAGGAGAGAACAGGATAGAATCAAGATACAGGTGAAGCAAAATCAAGGAGAATTCAGCAGGAAATGGAAACAGAGTTAAAGTAGTAAATGTACTAATAGGAAAAGTTGTCTCTGTCACTTGGCAGAGGCTGCATCGTTAATGGATTCATCAATGCTGGTGTAAGAAACCATCAAGGGCTTCCCCATTTCCACACACAGCCGAAGTCTCTAAGGGCAATTCACTAAAGACAAAAAGCACACTGCATGTGTGCTACAATGAAGGAACCCTGTGCTCCAGTTCCCATCAGGCCCAGCTAACATAGCCAATGTTCAGGGATGATGGGAGTTCAGCAAAATCGCCGACAGCAAACAGTTATCCAGGGTGTGTTAACCTGCAGAAACAAGCCATGCTGCGGCGCTAAACCAACCATGGTTTGACATCATGTACAAACATGGTCACATCACCGCTTCATGTATTATCATGAACATCTGATAAACTTACTTGAGTGTTAACTTAGTGTTGCAAGTAGAGCACGCGAAGCAGTTCACGCACCATGCCTTGTTCAATGCCGACACAACTGAGAAGAGAAATGACAGGATTAGCCGTCTGTTTACCAGTGGCAGAGTAGATGATATTTATCGGAATTCCATGGCAGGTAGGGTAAAAAAGGTAAAGGAGCCCAGGACAGTTAATCCAGTCAAAGGCAACTATGGGGTTGTGGCACTCATCTCGCTTTCAGGCCAAGGGAGCCGGCGTTTGTCTGCAGACAGCTTTCTGGGTCATGTGGGCAGCATGACTAAACTGCTTCTGGTACAACGGGACACTGTGATAGAAACCAGAGTGCACGGAAATGGCATTTACCTTCCCGCCACAGTGGTACCTATTTATCTACTTGCACTGGTGTGCTTTCGAACTGCTAGGTTGGCAGGAGTTGGGACAGAGCAATGGGAGCTCACCCCGTCATGGGGATTCGAACCACCGACCTTCTGACCAGCAAGCCCAAGAGGCTCAAGTGGTCAGAGCCACCCATGTCCATATATATATATATATATATACGAAAGCAAATATATATATATATATATATATATATTCCACAGCAATGTTTAAGAGAGTTACACAAAGTCTTTGAAATCACTATTATGTTGTTTGAAACTGTGTATTATTTACACAATAGGGATGCGGGTGGCTCTGTGGTCTAAACCACAAACTGTTTTTGTTTGTTATTATGGTATGTATTTTTGTGTTGCTAAATTGTAAACTACCCGTGAGCTTTGGATGAAGGGCAGTATAAGAAATTTAATAATCTCTCTCTCTCTCTCTCAGAACTTTCAAATCAAGTCCACTTTCATTTGCCTCACTATATTTTGGGATTGCTGTTTTTTGACTATAAGCTGACTTGAAAACCCACTATCAATGCCTAAACAGTTTCGTGAAATAATATTTCAGGTTCCTGCTTAGCATCATGAGTATTTCATGTGCATTTTGAGTATTTTATTTTGAACTCAACTTCAACTGTTATCCTGCTGTGTGCTTCTCCCTTCTTAAATCACTTGTATTAAGTGGGTTTTATTTACTTTTTTTATTTTTAAAAAACCCCTGAAATGAAGACACAAGTGCATCTGCACAGAGACTCACCATCTCCTTCAATCACACGATTACAGTGGAAGCAAACATCACCAAAGAGCTGCGGAAATGGGGAAAATATTCCATAGTCATGCAAGTATTCATAAAACTTTAGAAAATGAAAATCAGCAGTTGGGACATATTAAAAACATGTGTTTTCTCATTAGCAGAACAGATTAAGTAGGGGGAGGGGAAATCTCTTAAGTAATTATGAGCTGATTTGTTTAAAAAAGTAGCTACACACACTAGTTTGGATTGAGAGAAATATGCATTTAATGGTGTTTGTGGAAGCAGACTTTCCTCCTCCCTCCTGCAGCCCCCCCCCCAAGAAATGCTCCCTTGAGGGTGAAGTGGGCCGTGGTACAGGAGGCGAAGGTGAAATCCCCATTTCCCCCAGATATTTGGGGCTCCTCTTGGGCCCTTGTGTCATAGCCTGCCCCATTCAGCAGGATCCCTCAACCCCCAGGGGAGCTAGGGAAGAAGGGGGCCAGGAACTGGAGCCAACACATTCAGATATAGAACTGTAGAGTTGGAAGGAACCATGAGGGTCAACCGGACAAACCCCCTGCAATGCATGATCTTTTGACCATCGTGGGGCTTGAACCCATGACCTTGAGATTAAGAGTCTCCTGCTCTACCAACTGAGCTAGGAATACAAGAAGCTGTTTTACACCAAGTCAGACCTCCAGCTCAGTGCTGTCTGCTATACTGACTGCCACTGGCTCTCCAACAAGTCTTTCCGAGCCCGATCTGGAGACGCCAAAGGTTGGACCTGGCACCTTCTGCGTGCAGTGTGTGGTCTGAGCTATAACCCCAAGTGACCACTGGGCGGTGCACTCTTAAACAGTGCCCAGTTTAAAGTGAGCACAATGCACGGTCTAGGATTTCACAATAGGTTCTCATGCAGTACTCCACAATTGTACGGTGGCAGCTGTTAAAAACAAGCGCACACACAAAAAGCTATTAATAGGGGAAGGAGTCTTTAAGCTTCAACGACTCAGTAATAATTTATTAGAGATCACTGGAAATGTGAAAGGATCAATAGGACCTATGAACACGATAAACACACACACACACAAACCTCAGATGGGAAAGTTTTAAACAATCTGAAAGAAAGAAATGACTATATTCTGAATATTTTAGTCCATATTTTATATGATTTTTCTAATACGGTAATTAAACAGGAAAAAAAATGATTTCTATGTGTGACAAAAGCTGAAATGAACACACACACACACACATTTGAATTCACAGATTGGATTGCCACAGTGCAAAATATTGTAAATTTGCAATATAGTTTTCCAGCTTCAAATTTAAACCAGGTCTCCAAATATGTTTTTGAGGTGAAGAACCAATTTTTTTTAAAAAAGGGGGGGTATTCCAATCTAAAAGTTTGCCTATTAAAGGTAGGCTATCATGGAATTAGAAGCTTTACAAGCAAATTGTTGTTCAATATTTTTTTTTTTACCTCATAAAATGCTGTATATCCATTGAATGTCAAATCTACATGGTTTGACACATACCAGCACTTGCTACGAGACAACAAATGTGGACGAAGGGAAGTTTCAGAGTTAACATACTAAAAGTCTCTGGCCGAATGTACAAAATGCAAGACGCAGCAATACCTGGTTGTAATGGGTCTCACAGTACGCCAGCCCCTTCCTCTCATAGTGACGGTGGCCTAGGAATGGCTTCTCACACTTCGCACAAACAAAATGCTGCAAGGGGGGTGGGAAGAAGTATGGATTACCTTCAGTTTTATGTAGTGATAATTCATCTGCATTCATCCCTATGTGATCTTGAGCAAATAATTTAATTTTTGCTTCTTAACTCACTGTACCGGAGCAAGTTAAGTGTTTGCTCCAGAACATTGCAGCTAATTCTGAGGGCATGTGAGGAAATGAAAGGAAGGAGAGTCACATTGCACAAAGCAGAACTCTGGATAAAACCTTAAGTAAAACTCTTAAAATGATTAGATGAGGGTTATTCTGGTATTTTCCTTTGTACTTCCTTTGTTGTTGTTCTCTTTTGTGCTCCTTAAGGTAAAGGGACCCCTGACCATTAGGTCCAGTCGTGGCCGACTCTGGGGTTGCGGCACTCATCTCTCTTTATTGGCTGAGGGAGCTGGCGTACAGCTTCCGGGTCATGTGGCCAGCATGGCTAAGCCACTTCTGGCAAACCAGAGCAGCACACGGAAACGCCGTTTACCTTACCGCCAGAGTGGTACCTATTTATCTACTTGCACTTTGACGTGCTTTCGAACTGCTAGGTTGGCAGGAGCAGGGACCGAGCAACGGGCGTTCACCCCATTGCGGGGATTCGAACCGCCAACCTTCTGATCGGCAAGTCCTAGGCTCTGTGGTTTAACCCACAGCACCACCCACGTCCCTTTTGTGCTCCTTAAAGAATGTTTTTAAAAGTAAACTACCACAACCTACGAAATGACACAGAATCCCCTATTTTGAGGACTCCTTTCTCTGACCTATTATTATCTAGGTTGTTGCACCCATCCTTACAGTAGCAAGCAACACGCAAGGCTCACCTCCACATGCCACTGTTTGCCCATAGCATTCACCACTCGTCCTTCAATTGGCCTCCTGCATGCTCCACAGATGGGGACACCCATTTTGTCATGGCAAGGCAAGCAGTACAGCTCCCCCTTCAGTTCTCGGGCATCAGCAGTAAGTTCCTTTCTGTTCAGGAGGTACCAAAAGAAATGTGAAGACACAGCGAAGGAAAATACAGGCATGCATTTCAACTGGTGGATATGGTGGCAAAAGAAAACATATTATTATTATTATTATTATTATTATTATTATTATTATTATTATATATTTGGTTACAAACTGGAATGAATACCCGCAGGCAAAATATTTGGGAACTGTTGAGCCAGCAGCTGAAAACCAAATACAACGGCATGAAAGCTGCCATATGAAATGATCCTTGGGAAAACAAACCATTTTTCAGATTTAAACCCCATGGCATCCATTTCAAGTGGGGATTCCAGTTGCACAAAATGAGAATCGCCAAAAAGGGATGGCGAATAATGCTTTCGGTCTGTAGGCGCACCAGTGAAAATCTGTAGACGGTCCACGCAACAGAAGGCAGGTTGTTCAAAGTGATATCACGGAACTCCTGCTGAGGTAAAATACATCTGGGGCAAAATGAATAGAACCCTTCTCAAAAGTAAAAGTAACATCCTGCTTAGAGAATTAAAGAAGCAGGGACTGTAAATTGTGCCGTGCCTCAGCCAAATTCCTCTCATCTCAATAGGCTATTTTACAAGTTGAGTGTAGAAACCTGAAGAGTTTATACTAGCCAGAGCCTCAGCTAGACCAAATTCTTCCCAGCTAAAAAGGCCTTGCTGAGGAAAGTAAAGTGATCATATGCATACATATGACCTGGGACTTACTTCTGCGAAAGTATGTGCAGAATGGGTCCTACACACACTCACCCCGAACTGAACACAATGGAAATTATTTGAGACCAGGCTTCAAGAGGTTTATAAATATCTTATCCACTGGTAAATGTGTGGTAGGATTGTGTATTTGCATTCACGCTTAATTATCAACCACTTTGATACTAAAGTTTCCATTCTAAAGATTTAAAAAACAAAAACACCCAGTTCCTGTTACCCGCAATTGGCACAGTTGAAGTGATCGGGGTGGTAAGGGTCATTCTTGAAGATGAGGGGTTGTTCTTCGATGATAGCATGGCACTTCTGGCAAATGTATTTGCCCATGCCCCTGGCTTTCTCCCGATTGTGGCAAGGACGGCAAAGGTGTCTAAGAGAAATCAAAGGAGAAACAGCAATGAAAAGGAACCGGGTTCCTAGAACTGGGTTTTATTTTATTTTTAACCCACAAAAATGTAACAAGGGCTTTTGCTTCAGCTTTGTACAAAAGAAACTGGCAATAATCCATAACAAAAAACCCCACAAAGCCTTACCATAAAGCAGTTATTTTACTGGTCTTCTGGCAGAAAGTCATTCTCTGCCTTTAAATTTCTCAGATCTAATGTGCAAGGATAAACTTTGCCAATAAAAAACTGCTCTAAAACTATTTTGGTGCAGAACAATGATGTAGGCTCAGACCCGGTATTATAGCCTATGAAAATTGTCTCAGAATGCCATTATAGAGCTGAGGGTCAATAAGGCTTATAGCCCGCAGCGAGTTAAAAGTAAAGGGACCCCTGACCATTAGGTCCAGTCGTGGCAGACTCTGGGGTTGCGGTGCTCATCTCGCTTTATTGGCTGAGGGAGCCGGCGTAGCTTCCGGGTCGTGTGGCCAGAATGACTAAGCCGCTTCTGGCGAACCAAAGCAGCGCATGGAAACGCCGTTTACCTTCCCGCTGGAGCGGTACCTATTTATCTACTTGCACTTTGATGTGCTTTTGAATTGCTAGGTTGGCAGGAGTTAGGATCTTCTAATATCATGATCAGATTAAATATATTAAAAGTATCTTGTAAGGTAAAGGTAAAGGGACCCCTGACCACTAGGTCCAGTCGTGGACAACTCTGGGGTTGCGGCACTCATCTCGCTTTACTGGCTGAGGGAGCTGGTGCACAGCTTCTGGATCATGTGGCCAGCATGACTAAGCCGCTTATGGCGAACCAGAGCAGCGCACGGAAACACCGTTTACCTTCCTGCCAGAGCAGTACCTATTTATCTACTTGCACTTTGTGATTTCAAACTGCTAGGTTGGAAGGAGCAGGGACCGAGCAATGGGAGCTCACCCATTGGGAGCTTGTTTCATCTCCACAAAGTTGAATGCAACTACAACAGCCATGATTCTATGAAACCCGTTTGCAACTGCTGTCTTGGTTAGTTTTGAAATATGTTTAATGCTATGCTTCCAGAATGCCAAAGGTCGGCCACCATTTTACCAGCTATTGCGTTATTTTTGAGAGGACAAAATCCTGAAATTGTTATGATCTTGCCATCAATTTACAATGCTCAGTGTCAAGAGTCAATACAAAAGAAGTTGAACAATACCTGCCAGCATTCTTCACAAACCCAATGTCTGCCAATACCTGTTGGCAGATATCACAGCAGAAACATTCTGGGTGCCAGCTGTTGTTCATAGCTTTAATAACACGACCAATAATGAACTCCCCTGCAAGTCAATAACACACCAGGATGTTAAAAAAAGAGAGATTTAATTTTAATTGCTAAGGTGCTGGAGATAATAATATGGTGAGGGATATAACTAATGAGAGGGCAAATCGTTCCACCAGGATCTGTTTAGCACTTCGCTAAATTCCTCCCAAAATATCTGTGTCCTCCCGGAAGTAAACAAAGCAAAATAGCAGCAATATTTTTATATCCCTGTCTTCTGCCTTATTTCAACCTCAACAAGCAAATTCAGATAATTTTACCCAATGAAATTTATGTTACCCAATAAAATTTTGGTCAAGCTGAGTTCCTGAAATAATACAATACAAAGCAAAAATGAAACACAGAAATACAATGAGTGTCTGTCATACTTAAGAGCAGACTTCAGCTCATTAATTTCAATGTGTCTTTTCCAAATGTGGCTAACATTGGAGATCAGTCAATGGCTGTTAAAGAAGCTCTTAATCTGGAAACCTAAATACTGTGGAAAACTCTGTCTAAATACAGTGTCTTGTAATTTGGGCTTCCAATAATTTAATGCTCCTTCCACTCAAAAACAGGATGCCAATAAAGCCATTAAGAGGGCTGACAACAAGATGATAATGGACATGTGCAGAAAGGACTGGATTGTAATGGATAACAAAATAATAATAAAAATAAATAAAGTGTCTTAGAACTATAGTTCTCATATATTTTTAAGATGCTGCAATTTCCCTCAGTTTGGGAGCCAGCTCTCCTTTTCCAGCTCTGACATAAAACTTCCTTTTACCTTTCCAGATTTCACTCCTGCCTGCAGGCAATTCATATCAGGTTTCTCCCTAGGGGTGAACTGACCTGGAGATTCCTCCTTCTAGGCATCTAAACACAATTGTCATGATCCAGGGGGCTTTATTGGGTGTGGAAGATGGAGTATATGGAACACTTTCTCCTTCCAAAATGGGCAAGAACCAATATCCACTTGGAACATGCAGCTGCCTCAGTGCAGTATGGAAAGCGAGATCCAAGCTCCTACTTCCTATCTAATTCCACCCCTCACATTAAGGCAGAGCTCTGACACTCCTGGAAAAATCCTACTCAATTCTGCCTACAGCATTACTGAGACAACTCTCGGTTTCTTTCTGCTGACCTTTTTTTTTTTTTTTTAAAGATAGGTTACTTCAGGAATCTCCCAGTTAGTTCCAGAAATAGCATTCCTGTGCCTGATAAACAGAATATTATCTCATTCTAATTAAGTTATTTGACCCGAGTCTCTTGCCAAAGGGCACAGCAAGTGGGGGAAACAAGATATTTTAGTCTGGTTACTTTTGAAGGTTGAAATTCCTATTTAATAACCCTCACTTTGCTTTTAAGTGAAACAAACTTAGGGAGGCTTAAGTGGGATTCGGTACATGCCACAATCTAGAGACCCAGTTTAGCCTGCCATGGGGCCTTAATTGTCTGTGGAATAGTAAGGAGGCTCTCAGGCACAGATGTCACACAAAAATACCACAGTTAAAAGCATTTTCTTTTGAGTATTCAATAGGCTGTAGATTTGAAAAGTGTTTCGGAACTAAGGAAGTGTTAAGGATAATGATGCAATTTCCTGAAACTATATATTTATAAAATTCAGTTTTACTTCCATTTGGTGCATACACTCCGACTATTATCAATTTTTCGCCTTGCCATGTGACTTGTACCGCAGTTATCCTACCTTATTCATCTTTAAATATTTGCCGAGCCTCAAATTTATTTTTTATATACAAAACCACTCCTCTTTTCCTGCTTCTGTCTGATGAAACAAATTCATTTCCCAATTCTTTATTAATCAATACTCTTCTATGTTTTCTCGCCACATGAGTTTCTTGTAAACAAAAGAAGCTCCTGCAGCCAATCGGAAGCCCCGGAAGCCCCATCGGATGTTCAGCTTCCAAAAGAACGTTAAAAAACCGGAACACTCACTTCTGGGTTTCGATCATTCGGGAGTCGATTTGTTCGGGAGACAAGGCGTTCGAGATCCAAGATACGACTATATAGTCTTTACAAAGAAGCTATCAATCACCTAGAAGAGTTGTTTAGCTTTCTAGCTGTAAGCTACTCTGCTCCTTTGCATATCATCAAAATTTTATTTATACACATAACAGGAATCTACCTTAAGTCAGACCATTAGTCTATCTAGGTCAGGATTATTTGCACTCACTGTCTGGGTCTCTCTAGGATTTGAGTCAACCCTACTTGAGATGCTAGGGCAGGCATCTCCAACCTGCGGCCCTCCAGATGTTTTGGCCTACAACTCCCATGATCCCTAGCTAACAGGACCAGTGGTCAGGGATGGTGGGAACTGTAGTCCAAAACATCTGGAGGGCCGAAGGTTGGGGATGCCTGTGCTAGGGATTGACTCTGGGACCTTCTGCACTCAAAACAAACACACTACCACTGAGGTACATGGTAGCTTCTAAATCAGACACTGAGCCCTACAGGAGTAGAGCAGTCTTTCCACTACAAACTTTCGCCTCCTGACTCATGGAAGATGGTGGAGAACAAGCACCTTTGCCCATGCTTCCTTCTCTGTGTTAATCACGGGGAGAAACAAACAAATGCCCAAAGCAGGCTTATGTTCAGATGAATACCATCTGGGCATAGATAGTCATTATCCTGGCAGATATGTAACAAAATCTTCCTTGTGTTCCAGACTTGCTTTGTTTTCTTTAAACAGCATATGTGCCTCTCCTCCTATGTTTCGATGTCCACATTATCTTTATAAAATATTCTAAAATTATATATATATTTTCATTCTAGAACTTACCACACTGATGGCAGCAAGGAGCAAAAAGCATCTGAAAGTCATGTTCGCAATATTTCCTTCCTTCAAACTAGAAAAAGTAAGACATAGAGGAATTAAGATGAATACTGAAGAGTATAGCATTTCATGTTTCATACATATAAATGGCCGTACAATTTCCGGGTTCTTTCAATCAGGATCCAGCCTGATTTTATGGCAGAAAGGAACTGAAGCTCTGCTAATCCATCGGATTGTTTAACAAGTTCTGCTTGTATATTATTATGCCACAGGGAATGATTTGCACAAGAAATCTGGCAGGCTGCGGTGGAGTTTATGTTAGATGGCTGGATTCTGACAGGATGCTAAAAAAATCTGGGCACGGAATCAGCTCATAGTCACATTTGCTTTACTGGATCAAAAAAACAAACACCTGTGCTGGTATTCAGAACAGGAAGCACTTTCTGCTGGCTCATTAGATCCTTTCTGTCCTCTACATTTCCTGAAACCGCACTCTACTGTATTGCAGGAAACACGTCTGTAAAGACGGGAATATTCATACCCACCATCTCTATAAATGGGCATACAAATCATGATTCCAGAGACTGCAACCCCCACTTCAGCGTATGTGACAATGTACTTATTATGTCAATCAGATTAACTTCCAAGTATGTGTGTGGGGTGGGCAGGTACCCATGAGGCAGACTGCACTGTTTATTACAGAAATTTAAATATTTCAGGTTTCTCTCTGTGACAAAACTGCAGCCAGATCAGGACCCCGGGTGGATCTGGATCCTGCTCCCAGGGAAAGAGAAGGTTAAAGCACTAAACAACTTAGTACTGTAGACCCAGGTAGACCTGCAAAGGTGACTGGACTAAGAAAGAAGATGGTAAAAATGTTTTAGGAGATGCAGAAGAGTGTGCGGGCAAAATTTGCCAGGTGGTCGCAGCCAACCCCCTGGTGTCACAACAACAACAACAACAAATATTAATAATAATAATTTATTTGTACCCCACCCATCTAGCTGGGTTTCCCCAACCACTCTGGGCGGCTTCCAACACAGATTAAAAATACATTAAAATGTCACACAGAGCTGCCTTCAGATGTCTTCTAAATGTCAGGAAGTTGTTTATTTCTTTGATGGGAGGGCGTTCCACAGGGCGGGTGCCACTACCAAGAAGGCCCTCTGCCTGGTTTCCTGTAGCTTTGCTTCTCACAGTGAGGGAACCGCCAGAAGGCCCTTGGCACTGGACCTCAGCGTACGGGCAGAACGATGGGGGTGGAGACGCTCCTTCAGGTATACTGGGCCGAGGCCGTTTAGGGCTTTAAAGGTCAGGTGACCTCCTTTTGTTTGCATGGGCAATCAGTTGATCAATGGACTCACATAGCTCCATATGCAAACATGAGGCCCAAAGGTGTCTTCAGCTAACCAATACCTGACATCATACATAACACCAAGTGTAAGGCAAGTGAGTGTGGATTGCCCGAAATGAACAGGGACCCCTGGTTTGCTTAATTTGGCCCACAGGCTGATATTTCGCCATGCCTGCCATACACTATTAGTCTAGCCTGGGATCACAGGAGTTCCTCCAGTCAGGGGTCTAAATATTATGCTGGGCCCTGCAGATCCCTAGCACCGTGTGACACAAGGCACATACTGAACAAGTTCATCCAGCTGCTCAATGGCAAATAGAGCCCAGTTATTCTCAATAACTTTTGTAATTACATTCTAGTTTTTCTGGCTCATTATGCCTGATTTTCTGGCCAAGTCTACTTTCATCTTCCTCTTGATCTATCGGTGAAAGCTTCAAAGACCTGTAACAAATCCATACTTTGAAGTGAAGTTTGTTTGAGGGTGACGTATGCCTAAGTTCCTAGTATTAAAGGCTTCCAGGGGGGAATTTTGTCTCAAGTGGCCCGTAAGCTAGTTGCTAATCTCTATGCATTTTGCTAACTTTTTGGAAATTCCCACCCTCCCTAGCTGAATGTGTTGAACGATTCCTTGGGGGCATCTTGGGGACTATTATTCCAATAGATAAAACAAACACACTGACAGTATTCATAGAAGCAGCAAATAATTACACCCTACCAAGATTTGCTCAGAAGCAAGTCCAATGGATTTTAGCAGAATTTACTTCCTGGTAAGAGCGTTTAGGATTGAGATCTTGGTTTGCTAAAGTCGAACACGAAATAAATATGGGTTTTGGCATAAAGTGAGCTCACTTGGTTCTTCAGTCTCATGGATGAGAAAGGAGATCAAAATAGTACAAAATGACAGATAATGGCATTCATCGAAAATGTAACAGAGCACCTGGTTTGCATGTAAAAACTTCCAGGTTAAATCACCAGGGTCTCCAGATAGGGCTGGGAATGGAGAGCCGCTGCCTCTGTGTAGACAGTACAAAGCTAGATGGACCAATAGTTGGACTAAGATATATGGTAGCTTCCTACAGTGAAATAGGCAGCCTTTCAAATTATAATGTGTTGAGGTATCAACATAAGATAGTAATGATACTTATACAGAAGATAAGGTAAGGGGTGAGGACGACTAAGTCAAAAGAAAGATGCTATTCAACCAAACTCAGATTCAAAATCATTGCCTCAGCCTTAGAAAAACGAGCTGTAAAATCCCCAAGGATTGAACCCACAATGGAGGGAGCCAATGTGGTGCCCTACAGATGCTCCTGAACTACAACTCCCATCATTCCCAACTGTCGGCTGTGCTAACTGGGATTGATGGAAGTTAGAAGACCAACAAGCTCTGGAGGGTGCCAGAACACTGCTTTAAGGAAAGTTGTGATCCGTGCTATTTTTCTAGAAAAAGAGGTGATAGAACTCTCCATGAATGCCTCCCTTGTTCTCCTATAATGGCAATGGCGCCCACCTGAGAGGTGCCCGAACTGAGTTATTTGCAAAGCAGGTACTTTGTGAATGCACCACTAAAGCAATGACTTCATAGAGAACAGATGCATGCAAAGTTGGTACACTTCTTTAAAAAGTGTGCCCCCTTATTAAAAATATCTATTGTCCTGCATATGCCTTCCAGATTGCTAACTTTACCTATCATCCCCTGAGTATTCTCTTGCAGGCTAAAGTTTTCTGATCATTTAACTATGCAGCACCTCTGGTGGTAAAGCCCATCACAAACTATATTTGACCAGTGTGGTCAGCTCCCTGCCTTAAATCTAATCGTGATGACGGGCGCCTCTTAAACATGTGCCAACATTTCCGTGGACTTCCTCATTTACATCTAGCAAATACGTATTTGGTTTCATTACTCCTCTGGACATCTTGGCACTGGCACTCCTAATTTTAGCAAGCTCTTACGAGTGTTGCTAACTCTCTGTGTTGCAGCACGCTATGGAAGCTACAGGTGACCAAGTTCTAAGCCCAAGCGGTTGTACAAGATGTAGCAGATAAGATTGCCAAACTTGGGCCTTGTAGACCTGAGTTCTGGTCCCTACTCAGCCATGAACCCTCACTGAGTCAGTCACAATCTCTCCGTCTAATTGATCTCAATGGGTTGTTACAAGGTTAAACAGAGAGGCAACTTTTAGCTCTCTGGAGAAAGCATAGGGCAAAACTCTAGTTCATAAATAAAACAGAAACCATAGATAGGTAAGTCTTCACTCCGCAGATGGACATCTTTATTTACCCGAAACAGTGCTACTTTTTAAAGTTGAATTCTGTTGCCTGGTGCTTAGTGTCTAAACATGTATGTTGGGGCTGATTGAAAAGCTTAGTTTTCTAATAACTGCTGTATTGGATCAGCTTGTGGTTATGCTGTAGGGCAGCTGTGGCCCTCCAGATGTTGAGGAACTACAGCTCCCATCAGCCTCAGCAAGCGTGGCCGACGGCTAGGGCCAAAGGTCCCCCACACTACTGTGGAGTCTGTAGTTATGCTGAACTCTGCGGGTGCTCAAAATAGGCTATCTTCTGCATTTTCATTTCAAATGTGCTGGAGGTAGGTCCTGGCACTTAAAAAACAGGTTAAAGGAGAGAAGTTGATCCCAAGTCAAGCATGCCAGTGGCCTGGAATCAGTCGTAAAGAAAAATGACCCTGGGTTAACTGCCTCCCAAACGACACCGCAGGAAAGGAAGCAATATCTGTGGCAAGTCCTTGACCAACATACACAACCGGGCGCAGTACAGGTTTGGGAATAGTTAATATAAAAGTGAAAAGACCACAGGGAACCAACCTCATAAAAAAGCCCTTCGGGGAACTGCTGGAAGCACTGGGCACACACGAAACACTGTTCGTGATACAGCTCGCCATTGCTGTTCACAATCTTCTCCGCAGGTGCAAAACCTCCCCGGCAGCGCTCACACATGGCATTGGCCAGAGCGTTGGCCATGTTGCTGTAAGGATAACATATGAATGAATGAATGAATAAATTTATTACGGTCATAGACCAGAAGAAAAGAAAAAAACATAAAAGGCAGCAATAATTTACAAGGGAATGATGGTGTCAATTAAAAGTTGTAAAATTATACATAAAAACAATATACATATACACCCACACCCACACACACGCACATATACATACTCATATATGCACTACAGTATATGTATGGGCTTAAAAAAAGGGGGGGGCTTATCCAGGGGTCAGATCTTTTACTTTTTTACAGCTAATGCCCTCCGCTTGATCGCGGCCGCAGAAAACTTGGCCACTTTCAGTGTTACTTCTGGGTTTTTATCTCCTAGTAGGATTTTCAGCCGCTGAGATTCAGATCGACCTGGAAATTTCTGAACGATAGGGGAGATAAACAGTAACCTGATATCCCCGTAAAGGTCGCAGTGTAACAGCACATGTGAAGCCGTTTCCACCTCCTTCAGACCACATGGGCAAACTCGTTCAGCATAGGGTGTGCCCTCGTATCTGCCCTTTAGTAAGGCAGATGGCAATACATCAAATCTGGTAAGGGTAAACGCCCGCCTATATTTTGCGATTTGTAGGTCCAGCAAATATGGGGTTAGATTAAACCCTTTTTCATAATCTTGGATAGCTGGATATTTATCTATCTTGCTCATATGGTCCTGAAGCTCTACGTCTCCTATTCGCTGGCTCACCATCATTTTAGCCTTTTCAAAGCCTGAGGCTATGAGTTCTTGTGGGGAAAGCCCCAGGCCCCTCAATTTTTCATAAAGCGACAATCTCCATTTAGACTGGAACGGGTCTAGTAGAGTCAATGGAGCCACTCCCACTGGGAAAAATATGAGTTTTAGCCAGAAGTGAATCTTCAGGATCCATATCCTGGCATTAATAGGGAGTTGGCCTACCTCCAGCCTAATGGCAGTGTTAGAGACACAGGTAGGTAACCCTAGTAGGGAACGATAAAATTTAGTTTGTACAGATTCCAGGGACTTGAGTTTTTGACAATTAAATATCTGGGTGCCATACATCAATTGTGGAAGTATTTTTGCAACAAAGACCTGGGAGGCAGCAGGAACATATTGACCTCCTTTTCTGTAAAAGAATCTTATGATAGCTCTGGAAGATCTTTGCGCATTTACAATGGAATTCTTTATCTGATGGCACCAAGATCCCTTCTCATCAAAAATTATTCCAAGATATCTAAAAGATGTTACTTGCTCAATAGGTTGGTTATTAATTTTCCATTTATGTCGGAGTTTTCTCTTGGAGAACACCATAATTTTTGATTTAGTGTAATTTATTATTAGGTGTTCAGCTTCGCAATACTCTGTAAGAGCTCGTAAAAGTTTTCTTAGACCCACACAAGAGAAGGAAATAAGTGCCGCATCATCTGCGTACAAAAGGACCGGGATTGGTGTATTATTTAGATTTGGGGAATGAGTACTTGCTTCCTCCATCTTTCCGACTAAGGAGTTTATATAGAAGTTAAAAAGAATAGGGGCAAGAACACAGCCTTGCTTGACACCATGGGAACTTTGGATTTCCTTTGATAGGTTCCCATAACGGTCGCATCTAACACGGATCCGAGTATTTTCATGTAGTCTACGGATAAGAAGCAAAAGACGTCTATCGATGTTTGTGACATTTAGTTTTTCCCAAAGTCTGTGCCGGGGTATCGAGTCGAAGGCTGATTTGAAATCTATAAAGGCTACATAGAGAGAGCCTCCTTTCTTTGAGGTGTATTTCTCCACTAGATGTTGCAATACCAATCCTTGGTCTAGAGTTGATCTATGTGCCCTGAAACCAGCCTGGGCTTCCTTTAGGATGTGCTCCTGTTCCAGCCAGTCCGCAAACTTTTCACGTAAGTGAGTTGCATAAAGTTTGCTGATGATGCTTAAAAGACTGATTGGTCTGTAATTGGCTGGATCAAGTTTACAGCCTTTCTTGAATATGGGAACGATGATTGCCAATCCCCAGTCCTCTGGTATTATTGCTGTTTGATCTATGCTGGTGAAAAGGGTGGCAAGGACTGGGGCCCACCAGTCAATATTGGCTTTGAGAAGTTCAGGAGAGATGTTATCTGCTCCCGGGGCTTTTCTGTGTTTGAGTGCCTGAATAAGCCTCCTAATCTCCGCGACCGACACCGGAGGCCACTCATCACCTGCCGCACACTGTATTAGTGGCTGTGTCAAAGGCAGAGCTGAATATGAAGATTGGAAAAATGCCTCCCAAGTCCCTGCAGGTATAGTATACTCCACTTCTGAGGAAGTAGATCGCACTCCATTTGCTACCAGTCTCCAGAAGGTGGCCGAATCTCTCTCTCTGGATGCATCTATTAGGCATTTCCATTCTCTTTTCTGTGCCAGGAGTTTTTTGTTTTTGATCAAAATTTTATAATTTCGTTTATCTTCAAACCAGCCCGGGGGGAGTTGGGGTAGTTTGGCAGATCTATAATTCTTGTATTTTTTCAGTAAATTTAGCTTCATATCCTGACATTCTTGATCAAACCAGGGTTTGGAGTTTTTATATGCTGAGGATTGCCTACTTGGCCTGTTCCTTTTTTCCTTTAGGGAATCTTGAAGGAGTAAAATTAACTCCTGAAATAAATTTATCTTTAATTCATGGCTTGAGGAAGTTATAAGGTTTTCTCTCTTAGTGAGGAATTCCTTTGAGCATAGCCTACTTGAAATTTCCTTATGCAGTTCATCTGTCCATCTAATGCGCGAATATCTGAGCTCCAAAGCTGTAGGGCTCGAATGCTCGATTTTTTCAGCGCAGGATAAATCCTTTCCCGCAGCTACGAGTGCACTTAATGGCAGATGGTCACTGTCTAAGCGCTCCTCCACTTTGCATTCCAGAACTTTGTTTTGAAGATCATACGACACGATTATATAATCAATTGTGGAGGCGCCATTGTTAGATATAAATGTGAATTCTCCGACCTTCTCCCCCTCTGTACGGCCATTTAGTATAACCAAGTCCAACTTATTGACCAAGTGTAGTAAGCATAAGCCGGCATAATTGCAGCCTTTATCCTTTGAGATTCTAGCTGGTATTGGGTGGGTTTCCTCTATAATGGGGACTGTTTCGTGGAAATGGGCACACAAAGCCTCATCAGATTGTCCAGTTCTGGCATTTAGGTCGCCTGCCACCACTACAGAGGCATCAGGAAATTGATTTAGTAGTTTGTCAAGATACTGTTCTAACTGAGCCCAAGTATTTCTTATCAATCTTTTCTCTCTTTGTGGGGGTAGGTATACATTAATCAGCAGCCAGCTGTGGGTTCTCCACTGTACTTGCACAGCTGTGGCCAGATGGTCTAGTGGGTCTAGTTTTTTAAATGTGGCCCTTAGCCTTGTTGAGATTAAAGTAACTAGCCCACCTTTAACTCGCCCCCCTCTAGTACTTAAAAGACCTGGGAGGGAGAACGCAGAAAAACCATTTAACTCCACTTCACTTGTGCTCCAGGTCTCCTGGAGAAACGCAATGTCATGTCTCTGGATATATTTAGCAAAGGATTGGTCAGAAACCCTCTTTTGCCAACCTGCAATATTCCAAGTTAGCAAGGCAAGGTTGCACGTTAGCAAGGCAAGGTTCCCCGGCAGCGCTCACACATGGCATTGGCCAGAGCGTTGGCCATGTTGCTGTAAGGATAACATAGAGCAAAGGGGTTAAGCACACAAATAAGGTAGCTTTGCTGACCATGCTTCTTTTTCAATAGGCAGCTGTTCCAATTCAGCTTTTTCCTACTTACTTTACTGCCTTCCTGGCCCTCCTGTTCAGGAACCAGTGGCAAATGCAGCTCCCACTTCCGGAATGTTGTTATTTATTTAATTTATATCCCATCTTTCTTCCAAGGAGCTCATACATGCTTGCCCCTCACTTTCATTTTATCCTCACAACAACCCTGTGAGGTGGGTTAGACTGAGAAAGAGAAGCAGGAAATATCACCCTGTCAATCAAGCCTGTTTCCTATTGTGGGAAGTTTCTGGGAGGAGGTGGAAGAGGAAAAGTGAAAGGAATAGCAGTGGCAACAGCGGATTAGATCTGCCACAATCATCTTCCAAGCAAGTGAAGAGATACTTTGCCTCCAGTAAGGGACTCGAGTTGGCTGAAGGGAAGCTTCCCCTTCTCTAAAGAGACCCTTGGGAGTTGTGTGGTTTATTGCTGGCGACCCAACTTCCCAGTTTTTCTTTATGAGTAGCTTGGGGGAGGCAGAGGGGATGCCAACAAGGATGCTACTCTCGCCTCAGGGTCCAGGCAAATGTCTCTGCCCCACACTCTCAGGTGGGACCACCCAAAGCACCTCTGTCCACTCTGCTATTGGGCATTCTCCATCTTTGTGGAGCCTTCCAGATATTGCTGGACTTCCAACTCCATGGGTCATGGTGGCTGAGGCTGATGGGAGCTGGAGCAACAACATTTGGAAGGCCATGGGTTCCTCATCCCAGATGCATTTATTTCAATGTGACGTGTGAGATGCTGGCCTGGTTCACATCATCCCACAACACGTAAGACTTTGCAGGCAGGAGGATGCAACAGAATGCTGGGAGGTCATGTGATCACATGCCCCTTTTCCTCTTATGGAACATCACAGTATACCTGGCAAGAGAGCAGCTGATCTCTTCTGGAGTGAAAACAGGGCTGCATTTATGACCTGGACACCTACAACTTTTGTAGAAGTGCATGCACAAGCCCAAAACACTCTCACACTCCACTATATGTAGGACCCAGACTTCCGCAGAGTACAGTGGTATGTCGGGTTGCAGACGCTTCAGGTTACAGACTCTGCTAACTCAGAAAGAGTACCTCGGGTTAAGAACTTTGCTTCAGGATGAGAACAGAAATCGTGTGGCTGCGGCACAGCGGCAGCAGGAGGCCCCATTAGCTAAAGTGGTACCTCAGGTTAAGAACAGTTTCAGGTTAAAAACGGACCTCCAGAACGAATTAAGTTCTTAACCTGAGGTACCACTGTATATGAAT